TCTCACAATTAGCAGTCATGGTGAAGAAAATAAAAAGAAAGTTTGGATGCTTCATGAACAATTTCATTTAGTCTGAGTCAAAAATGCAGCTATGACTTTGAAATTAAAACGTTTTTCTGCTATCCCATTTTAATTTACCCTTACTGGATTTTAGTCACTTTTTTCTATAGCATCTTTTACTAATGAAATGTTAAATGTTATTTATGAATCATTTGGGTCTTGAAGAAGAAAACGAAAGTGCAATTTTGATTATTTTTATCTTATTTATTAGTGCAGCAATGCAGCATCATTTTGAAAATGGAGAAAGCATTTTTATTAATCCAATATAGTTAGAAATCTGATACACATTTTCTTCCATACCCATGGCTTTCATTCTGCTTTTAAAGTGACAAAATTTACAATAAAACCAGTCCATCTGGTTAATGTGTTTTACTGTAGAAAAAAGAACCACAGGGTATAAATTTACCTTACCCACCTTCTATTGTGAGCGACCTAACATGAAGGGGGGAGAATAAGCTCAAATGTCAAAGGATGGGTATGGCAGAGCATCACATCAGAACAAAGCCCAACACTGGATCCTTTGTACGTGTCGGATTCAGGTCCAACAAGAGAGGTCGTGCCGAGAGGAGAGTTTGTGTGGCAAACATAACAAGTACAAACATTTTTAGCATTTCTGCAATATTTTTCTCCTTAAATGGACTAATGGATTCAAAACCATTAAAGTGCTGCTCAGTCTCCCACATAAACGACCTCTTTTAGCTTCTTGTAAACGCAGGAAGCGAAAGATAACATCACTGTGGGAGAAAGTGAAATGAAATTAGCTAAATTGGGTTACTTGGCTCAAAATCCCCAAACCTTATCAGGAAGGAAACCTCTTCTGAGACTTCTGTCGCTCTGTGTTTTTTTTTGTGAGCAGACATGTTACAGTAGAGCTAATAACACCTGCAGCTCCACAGTCTCACCTGTGTTTGTTTACACCACCCCAGTCTCCATCAGACAGCTGAACTTGATTAAATCCCTGATACATCCTTTGTGTATGCAGTCCTCCTAATGACTGCTCTGTGAATTCTTAAATGCTCATAATGCAAACACTGCTATGTTTTCTCGTCCAATGAACGGTTTCAAATGTGAGATCATCCAGTCATTCACTGAAACAATACACATGGTATGCTTATTTTGTTCCTTTGTCTTTGCCAAATGGTTGGGTATCTCTCTGTGCATCTGGCCTCCATGTTTTCCAGTAATTCAGAATCAAATTACTACTGAAAGAGACCTTCCTCTTTGCTTCCTCGCCCCACAGTCCTGCTTGATAATGCATGACTAGCCAGGAAAACAAAAGGCAGCAGTCTTCAAGGTTGGATGGATCCTGCTGTACTTATACAAAGTTTTCTGTAGAAACTTCTTCTGATTTATTTTTTATCCTTCGGCTAAACCAAAGCTGTATCAGAGGTAGTTATTATATTTGTTGGTACTTTGGAGAAGTTGGCAATTTCACAATCTTTCAGCTTTGACATGGTGCTGAAATTTATGGTGCTGCTGGTTTGTGCTGTTATTCCTTTTGAAAACATCAATAGAAATTTATTGAGGTCGTCAAAGGTCAGAGGAGCTGAAGGACGCTACTTAAATCGAAGTAAATTCTACTTCATAGTGTTGGTTTTGTGCTGTAGTGTTTTCTTTTTATTTTGTGATGCTATTTTCCTTTTTTTACGGTCAGATATATAAAAAAAAAGGGGGACAGGAAGGGGAGGGCTTAAAGCAAAGGCTCTAAGGTTGGGAGTTAAACCACAGACCGCCACATCAGTTACAAATAACCGCTGCTTAGGACATCAGCTATACTGCTACTGGGTCTCATTCTGCTTTGTTTGTGTTAATGTTGGTGCAAGAAGAGCTTAAATGGCTTCCGTAATTTTAGTTTGATTTGAGTAATAAAGGACTGTTTGACCTTTGATCTGCTTGGGGAACCTTTAAGATTCAAGATTTCTTTATTTGCCACCAAAACCTAATCAGTATCTTTAAAATCACAGCTTCATAAATGAATATTTCTGCAGTCCAACCAGTGACCGTCTGTTACATTACCTGGAGTGATGTAGTGTAACAGAGCGGATTAGGTTTAGAATGAGTTTTAATTCCAACATTGCTTTAAAGCGGAGGTCTTCAACTGGGGGTCCGCAAACCCTAGGGGGTCCACGGAGGAAGTTTTGGTTGATTAGACTTTTTTTTATATTCCCCCTGCAATTTTTTCAACTAATTGAAATGTCTTTAAATACACATTAACATGAATTCAACACACTGTAGTAAACAGATAAATGGAGGCAGAAGATGTCTTTCACTCCTTAAAACACACATTCAGCGACACACAGGAGCTCTTTCAAGCTGGGCACCGTTTCATTCACAACACCTGTCCCATCAACCAGAAATACTTTAATAATCCCAGGGAGAAATTACTTTCGTTACATGACTCCATCTGTAATAGAGTGACTATAGGACCAGTTTGATATAACACAAATACATACAATATATATAATTAGGGGGTCCGCGCTCCATCTCACTATCAGTGTGGGGGACCTTGGTCTGAAAAACATTGAAGACCCCTGCTTTTAAGGAATGCTCCATGAATCACCATCTTCATTCAGTCTCTTAGTAGTGTTATCGTTTCACTTAAAATCATAGTACTTTTAAGAACCTGATATTGTGGATCTATGTCCCTTGAGCTAGAATTTGCAGTTTGATCAATCTGGCTCCAAACGTGATCCCCAGTTCTGTTTCAGCAAAAAATCAGAGCTCTAGATTCCCTGATTGTTCCCCATTTCAACTCTGTGGTAAAGTGACAACATATATATCCATCCATCCATTATCTGACACGCTTGTCCCAATTGGGGTCGCGAGGGGTGCTGGTGCCTATCTCCAGCTGTCAATGTGCGAGAGGCGGGGTACACCCCGGACAGGTCGCCAGTCCATCGCAGGACAACACAGAGACAAACAGGACATACAACCATTCACGCACACACTCACACCTAAGGAGAATCTAGAGAAGCCAGTTAACCTAACAGTCATGTTTTCGGACCTTGGGAGGAAGCCGGAGTACCCGGAGAGAACCCACACATGCTCAGGGAGGCCTACAGTAAATATTTATTTTTGAAAAGTTAATTTCTTTCTGTAACTCCATTCAGGGAACTAGTTATATAGATTGACCCAGACTGATGTTTCTTTAAGCCTTTATATGTGATAAAAGTTGTTTTTAAAATATACTTTTAATCTGACCAATGAGTGAAGATCATGACAGAAGGAAGGAGATCCCAGATCAGAGCAGTAGAGGAGCTTCCTCTCTAGGCCAGCTGATATCAGCCTTAAAGATGAGGAGCTCAGAGTAAAGCTACTGCTTCTCTCCTTCAATAACAAACTGGAGCAGAGGAACAATAAATTTCCCTTCTGGCCTTGAAACCTTTAAGGTAAGTCTAGAAGGAGCTAATGAGTGTTGCTGGGGGAAGGTATGTCTGGGTTTTAAATCCCTCCTTGACCCGTCACCCCCGCAACCCAATCTATTAAAATAAAAAAAATAGCTGGAAGGAAACATCGAAGTGAATTCTGGAAAAGTTATCAAATGATGATTATGAACAAAGCATTGCTTTATATTTAAGACTGTGGGGAAGCAATGCAATCCAAGAAATATCCAGATACTACTCCTTTGCTGTGAGTAAATTCCTCCTCAAAGACTGCCGAAGGTAAAATTTCTCCCTAGAGAAGCATGAGGAGGGAAGGGTGCCTGGCGGGTCAGACAAGAGAGAAAGTTTACTGCCATAAACTACAACTATAAACAGGACACATTCCTGCTGTAATTCTGAACATCTGGTATGCATGTCGCTTCCCCTCCTCTTCTGCATGAGGCCTAAAGTCCAGTCAAAATATTCAACATCTTGGCACAGCGTTCCGCCCAGTTGTAGGCCCTTGAAGCTTTCTCACACATTTTCGTTGCTGCATATTTTTAGAAACTAGTGATCCAAATCTATTCTCCTGAAAATGTGTAGATATTGGGTCTTTAACCGCAGAACCACGCCCTAGTTTGGGTTAACTTCCATCCCCAGACAAACAAAATTACCCATGTTTCACTGATGGGATGATGAGCAACTGTCTAGAAAACTAATTTTAAAACAAGTGATGCATTGATGCTCTGTCTTAGTGACGCAGCAGTCGTAGCTGTAAATGTAACTTTTTTTATCGATCCACTGAGCGTCACATCTGGAGTGAGCTGGGTGAACGCAGCAGAGAGTTGCGCCTTCTAATCTGCAGACTGAATTATAGCTGCAGGTTAAGAGGTCACGCCGACAGGACGTTTGTGGATTTTCCTTTTTCTCTGCAGCTGAATGAAGGTTCCCTGTACAGAAGAAGAAAATACATTTCTAAACATTTTTCTTCAAAAGAACTGCTGATATGGTCCGTTTCAGACACTGGCAAAGCTCCCTTCTATTGTTGCATTTCCTCATTTTTAAGATTTCCCCGTCTGTCCTTGTTTACAAGCATTTGGCTCAAAAGGAAGCAATTAGTCAAAAGCTTCTGTCATACAGTTTCTGTGTCTGTGTGTGTGTTTTTTCCTCCATAGTTGTCATGTGGACGTAAACTGCTTAAACTGTGTGGTCTAGGAACAGAAATTGAAGCAATTAAGTTTTAATTTGATCCCAGTCAACAAGCTGCCTCAGGACATCTCCTGCGGTTTTTTCATAGTTGGTTTAGATAACGGATCTTGCATTAATCCTGATAGCAGCATGTTGTGGTGAAAAACAAAGCGAGACTGAGGCTGGAGGAGATGTGGATCATCTCCTGCAACAGGATGCAGAAAGTCAACACAGGAACTGAGGTCACGGTCCAAGATTCTGTGCTGTGTACTGCTGCTGGCGCCACAGGCTCCTGCAGCAACTCTATAAATAGATAAAATGGGGGAAAAGTAAACTTTCTTTTTTTGTGAATGAAATTAATGCTAAAATTTTATTTATGTATTTCTACAGAACTCCATGAATCTTCCTCCAGACAAAGCTCGGCTGCTCAGGCAATACGATAACGAAAAGAAGTGGGATCTGATCTGCGATCAGGTGAATTCATTTTGAGTCATAAACCTGCCCTGATTCTGGATTCTCCTGCCTATACAACTCTGTTTGCATCAACTCACATTCCAATGCCCTGCTGTGTTTTTAGGAGAGGTTTCAAGTGAAGAACCCCCCTCACACCTACATCCAGAAGCTCAGAGGATACTTAGACCCAGGAGTCACACGAAAGGTGGGAACATCATAGCGAGTGGTTTTCTGAAGGGGGAGGGCGACGGATTCTTAGTAAATCTGAAAAAAAAAAAAAACTAAAACTAGAAAGTACTATTTGTTTGTTGTATAAATGTGTACGGGTTTATTTGGATGATAAGGCTTTTCTAGCCATTTAACACATGACAAGTTATCACCACAATCATTAACCTCTTTCATTATCATTTTATTGGAATTATAAACATAAAATAATACACAATTGTGCAGAAAAAAAGAAAAATTAATTAAAATTAATGTATAAAGATACAACTGGCATGCATTTTTATTTGTCTATAGGCCCTTATTGAAATAAATCTAATCTAGGGCACCCTGCTGCTTTTAGAGGTCACCTAATTAGTAAATAAACCCAAACCTGTAGTTTGGTTTCATTGATGGTACTGGTTAGCACCATGCTTAAGGAAACTGCTCTGATGATAATGGATGGATGGATGGATGGAGGGAGGGAGGGAGGGAGGGAGGTAAGTACTGGGCAATCCTGAAAGAAAAAGCACTATGTATCCTTCCACTTCAAAATTATGCAATATTTTAGGCTGATCCAGCTCATAAAACCCCAAAATATAGAAGTTTGTATTTGTCTGTGATAGTTCTGAATACTGTCTAGCGCTGTAGACTGGATTTTGTTATGGGAGATGAATGCAGTGATGTGCAGCATCAGGGGCGTATTATCTTCAAGCAGTGTGTAATCTCTCAGTACCCTTTTAATAACAGTTTGTCATGATGATGAATCTGCAGCTAATGGTTTTCGTCATGTTTTCAGAAATTTCGGCGGCGTGTGCAGGAATCTACAAAAGTCCTGAGAGAGCTGGAGATATCACTGCGGACCAACCACATTGGGTAATCGGCTCTTATCTTCTGATGAACTGCACAGCTGTATTTACTGCTGCACAAAGCCCTAAGGAGGGGGGGGGGATTTTATTGTTTTTGTTTTGTAAAGACTGTTCCTTTGTGGGCTGCTGCAGGGTCCCAGAGCTTTAGTGTCCAGATCAACACTTATTGTTCTAACTTGCCAAGCTCTGCAGCGATGCTTCATGGAGCCGCTCCTTATAATGCCCAGATGGTAGCCATTGTGATGCCTTGTCCGCTCCTCCTAACTGTTAAGCAGGAAGCTTTGTTGTGTACGCCAGAAGGACAGGAAGCCAGGCTGACCATGGGATAGCTGGACCCACTGAAAAACACAAAGAGACTTTTCTGACTGCATTTCATGCATTGAAATCAAACTTTTACACCATTTCACGTGTAACAAGGTGATTTAAAATACAGTGATTTATTTTTTTTAACTGATTCTCACTCTATAAAAATGTTAAAATGAAATTTAATGCATTTCTAAGCTTCCTAAAGAAGCATAAAAAGCAACAAAGAGAAATATTATCTGAGGACCTATGTGGGCAGACCAGAGAATAACAGATGTTGGTTTATTCTGGATGTCTGTGTATGTGAGTGAATCCCTGCGGCCCTGCTGCGTGTTAGTACTAACTTTGCCAAGACAATCAGAACTGGCAACTAGTTGGACAGATGTGCAGGAAAGTGTGAGGGGGTCCCAGGCTGGAAGGGATATGGAGGTGGGGACAATAAGCTGATGATCTTTGCCTGTCTTTTTCTTCTGTTTCTCTGCTCACCTCTCTTTCCTTTTCTCTCTCCTTTCCTCCGCTTCATCTGAAGGTCTTTATTGGTTTCCAGTCTGACTTATCCATCGGACGACTAGCAGCCGGTAATCATAACCAGCATTTGGGGACTATTTTAAGAACCTTTTACCCCAATCTTACCCCCATGGAGTTTCCTGATGAAATGGGGAGGAGCTGCAAGGGGTTTCTGCGGGGGAGGTAGACTAAACACTGTGGAGTGTCAGGGCTTCGACCTGAGCCCACTTCCCTGCCATATGCCCTCCACATTCTTTCTCTGGGTGCAATGGGAATTCCTTTGTTTAGAGTGGGTTCTCTCCCTGGAAGACAGAACTTGAAAGAAATCCAAAGCGTTTTGTTTCCACTGAGTTTTTCCCCCCCAACTTTTTTAATGTCAAACAGGGAAAATACTTTAACAGTTTATAGATGAAAAAAAGGCACCATGTTATATTTGACATGACAGCTTGTAAACATAAGGTTCAGATCTATTATTGAAACAATAACTAAAGGAAAGAAACAAACAAAACAAAAAAAAAACATTGCAAAGGGAACATTTGAAAACTTTTTATTTCCTTTGATGCTGCAGATTTGTGTTGGAAAAGGCAAAAAAAAATCACCTCATTTGCAGTCAAGACTTTCCTTTTTCTTTTTTTACTTACCGAGAAGGTTATATTACATTTACTGTATGTAAGACACGACTGGAATCACACCTTAAACCAAGAATTAAAACTGAAAAAATTTATAGAAAATGCTCCATGGATAAGCTCTATGTAGAAGAATAAAAGTCCAATAAAATAGAATTACTGAAGCATATAAAAGTGCCTTATATTGGTTATTTAGATGCTTGTCTGGTTAATAGTATGATTTCCTATTTTCCTTTTAAAACAGAACACCATGTTAGATTATAACTGCAAATCTTGAAACACTACAAGCTGTTGTTGTATTATAATGTTTACAGCCATGTAGTCCGACTGCGGCAAAGAATAATAAATCCATTGGTCGTCTTATGATGATTCCCATGAACTTGCTTAAAAAAAAAAAAATGATTATATATAATTCATGAACATTAGGGATTATCTTGGGGCCTATTTATTTGCCATCAACATGCAGGGTTATTAAACAACAGCTATTGTGATTTACAGAATCTAGCCAAAGTATACATAACCCTGGATCCTTCTCACTTTTTTACATCAAACCCAAAGTTCAACTGGAGTCAGAATGTTTTTACATCCCTTTTCTTATCTGAGTGGACAAATATGATGTGTTAGCGTGCTTTTTTTTTCTTATAATCCCACCACAGATTCTTGATGGGATTAAGGTGTGGATTCTGACTGGATCCGTCTAACACATGGATATTCTTTCTTCCAAAACATTCTGTTTTTAACCCTTCTGTGTTTTAAGTCGATTTTTTTTGGTGGAAGCTAAACATCTTTTTAACTTCCTCCATCTATTGGAGACTAAAGAAACTTCTCTCTTGCTGTGTTTAGCTCCTTCTTCCTTCTATCAAGTCTGATCAGGTTTCCTGTCCTTGCCCACAAGATGCTACCACCACCTCCGTGTTTTCTTACCACGAGTCTCAGATGCAACTCCATCTGAATTTCCATGGGCCTCTTGGCTACTTCTACTTTCCCAGCCTTTTCATTTTCATTTTCTTTTTCATTTAGGTGGACTACTATATATTGGTGCTCTTTCCTGCTTGTTATTACATTATAGTGTTGAAGGCTGGGGAAGTGTTTTATAATCTGATTCTGTTTTGAACCGCTGTGTTCTTTGGTCTCCATGATGCCTTTTGTTGCTATATTAGAAGTGAAGCTTTTACAAAACAGTCTGCAATTTACACTAATATTAAATGACACACAGGTTGACTCTGTTTAGTAACCAGGCGACATTTAGAGGCAGTAGATTTAATAGTACGTGGAAATCAAAGTATAGTGAATGAGAGAAAATACACAATATAGTCTGATTAGTTTATTTGTCCTTTTTCTTTACTTTCACAATTAGGTGCTAATTTATGATAATCTATCATATAAAGCTGTAATAAATATTGAATCCACCTCTTAGTTTAAAATCTGTTTTAGTAGCAATAACTGCCCTTGAACCCTATGTTTACTCTTTTATTACTTATCACATTTGGACATAATATATCCAGTATCAAACTGATGAAGTATTTGCATGCTTGCAATCATCTGAATCTGTTAGCATATGCAATTTATCGTCAGTTATCATGATTGCATACATCCGCCTGTTTATGCCGTAGTGACGGCACGCATGTTTTCCATTACTCCATTCATTAATCTTGTACCGAGCCGTTTTAGTGCCATGTGCTTTTGAATAGCCTCTCATTACAAATATTTTCCATTTCTTTATTAAGATGAATTGTTTTCATCTCCTGCATTATTTTTGTTCTGCCTCCAACCTTTTGCCGTTTCTTTTTTTTTATGTATTTCCTGGATAATCAATTTAACACTAATTGAATTGTTTTTTTCCTTTCTACTTTTATATTTCTGTAATGAACTCCAGGGTGTGCTCCTGGTTTGGTAACCCCTTTCTGTTTACACAGGTGGGTCAGGGAGTTCCTCAATGATGAGAACAGAGGTCTCGATGTCCTGGTTGAGTACCTCTCCTTCGCCCAATGTGCTGTCATGTGAGTACACCCTCACCTTCACACCTCTCCTGTCCATAATCTTTCCTGAGGAACTGGGATGGGCCGTGGATCCAGCTGCTGCGTCCTGTAGTGCTTGTGGGAACTCTGCCTGTGCATCAGGAAATTGTTTCTTTTAGTTCTGTTTAAATGCCTTGTTGCACAGTGAATGTAAATCTGTAGAGCTGCTACATGGTTTAGCTTGGAGCTACATGTTGCGTAAAATGAGCCCGAATCTCCGTGCTGAGCTTCCCGTCCTCCAGTTCTCCTGATAACGCCTGGCTTTCTACCAAGCTGTCTTGCTGACCTAACCTCCCTCATCCCTCATCTCCTTCCCTGTGCTTCTGTTGTCGGCTTTCTCTGTCTGTATGTGCGTGGCCCAGGTTGGATTTTGAGGGGCTGGAAAATGGGGAGGATGGCTTCTTGGACAAAGCTAAATCATGGAGCAGGTCCATAGAGGATCTGCACCATATGGGCGCCCAACCCTTCTGCAACACCCTGGTGCGCTCTGCCCATCAGTCTGTCCTGCGGTACGTAACTCCCCCTGCTTTTAGCTCTCCCTCTTATTGGCTATCTGTGCTCTATCTGTGAATGCTTTAAACATGAATTAGCATGCAAGCCTCTGGGCTGATGTCTCTTTAAAAGTCTGCTTTGATAATTAATGGGATTAGTTTAGCTCTTTCTTGGTCTATTATGCATAAACTCAATCAAACTTAGAAGCTGAGTGTCTTTGACCTTTAGCACTTTGTGTCTCTCATTGTTAGTGGCTCATCCAGCCAGATGTGCATCCTTTCTTTCTACAGATGAGAGCCAGCTGTTAGCAGCTGCATATGTCTGGCAGTTCTCCCTATAACTGCAGCATACAGGGGAATTAAAGAAGTATTAAAAGTTACGGGGGATTAAACGATATATTCAAAATTCAAATAAGTTTGATGATTTTCTTGTAAATATCCATTAACTGTAGCCTATTTACACATTATTTTAATAGAAATATTTATAAAACAAGTGTCTCAGTGAATAAGTGTAATTTTAATTCATCAATTCAGTTAAAAGGGTGAAACTGATATACAAATTCATTTACAAAAATTTATAAAAGTATTGTTATTTATGCTGATGTATATGGCTTACAGTTGGGGAAACCTAGATCTTTTTTAATATGTCCAAAAGGAGAACAATGTTTTAAACACAGTAGTTCTTCTCCAGTCTTTTAATGGCCAATCATGCAAAAGTCTGTTGGCTTTTTTTAGATGTAGGCAGACAATCTCTGACAATCACTACATGGTGGCTGAACCACTAAGAAATGCATTTAAACATAGTCATGGGAAGTTGAGTGGAAGTAAAAAATGGGGCATAAAGAACAGTGATAATAGCTTAGAGAATGCATTTTATGGAAATGGATAAGCTAGACTAGGTAAGCTAAGCTTAGTAAGCTCTTAGAGATCCTCTACCTGCAGACAGATCTCACACAGGGGCTACGAATGTCACATTTTATCCAACCACTCCTGAACTGCAGAAAACATCAAAGCTTTTTCCCAGTCATAAGAGTTTAGGAGAAGTGAATAGTGCTGGATTGTAGTAACGGGGGACAGTGCAGAAACCCTATAGGGGTTAGATGTTTGTTTTTTATTTTTTATTTAATGCATTCATGTTTTTTTTTATTTTATTTTTTATTTTGCACTTGCAAGACGTTCAAGCCCATATCATTTTCTATAATATGTTTGGAATTTCATCTAGATGAAGCAAAAAAAATAACAATATCAAAGTATCACTAATAACCCAACTCCAAGTACGTGATCCAAAGTCCTTTTTCCAGGTGAAAAATACGAGAACAAATTGGTTACAATCAAGGCTGAAGAGTCAGGAGAGGAATCCAGAAACAGCTTTAGGTTGACGTGTTTATCTGCTGGCTTTTGCCCACTTTGTTTAATCAATGTCTACAGTAAACAGTTATGTAGCAGCAGATTTTAAAGGACCTCATGCTTCCCTCTTCTGACATTCCTCATGGAGATCATGGTTTTAAAGTACCAATACCTGCTTTGGTCGCCACAGGGCGAGGGTGCTTAGATGGCAGGTAGGCTCTACTGATCTAAACCCCAAAGAAAATCTTTGAATTGTATAAGAACTAATTATAAACTTAAGAACAATGCAGATGAGCTGAAGGCTGCAGTCAAAACAAACTGGGCTTCAATTACAGCTCATCAGAACCACACTCTAACCACTTCCATGGCATTGATGCAGCAGTTGATGCAAAAGGAGCCATAACCAGTTGTTTAGTGTGTACGTATATTTCACAATACATTAACTTATCCTTCAGCAGACGGCATCTTTGCACCTAAACTCTTTTCCTTTTTTGATCCCCACTTTTTTTAAATAGTGTGTTTAATGTTTTCTAACTCCATAAATAAAAATTCAATTTTGAAGTATTTTTAGAATGATTCCAGTTATAGGCAGTGTCTGCTTCACTTTTTGAACTGAATTATTTGAATAATTTACCTTTTTTGTTTAAATCCTAAACCTCTGAGCTGCACCTTTATGTATTTTGGCCTTAATGAATAAATGTTTTCAGTGAAAACTTTTTAGAAACGGTCTGGGAAACGTGTACTTTAAAGTGCATTTACATAACAGCTGTTTGTAAGCTCAAACTTTAATCACCTGGCAGCAGAAAGGAAACCAAACCTTTCCTAATATGCATATGCAACCTCAAAAAAAAAAAAAAGAGTCTGTCTTCTGCTATTTTTTTCGCTTTGTCTGAGACGCTGTAGTAACGTCATGCTGGAGGCAAATAAACAGCAGATATACATGAATATATCATGAATAAATCACTGGAAGGTTTGAACTTGTTTTAACTTTACTCCATCTGTTGCAGCTATGGAACACTTTCAAACAGCAAAACCATCAAGAACTCGCGGCTCGTAAGCCAAAAAGACGATGTGCATGTGTGCATCATGTGCTTGAGGGCAATCATGAACTATCAGGTATTGAGCAGTTGCACCTGCATTTGACTTTACAGAGTCCTGTGTGGTGCAGTCTGACACAGATTAGATGATGTGTTTCCTGTGCTGTCAAGTGCAGAATATGAAGGGTTTTTTTTTCTTACCACATCCTGTTCACTGTCTGACTCTCTCTCTCTCTCTCTCTCTTCATGCAGTATGGCTTCAATATGGTCATGTCTCACGCACATGCTGTCAATGAAATAGCTCTCAGCTTGAACAATAAGAACCCACGGTAAGAACCTGAGGACGGCCGTCCCCTTAGCCAGATATTCAGCTAGCTCATCCAATATGTTTCTTTATTCTCCATGGGGGCTCAACTTCTTGAAGTTAAGGATCAGAGGCATATATGCAGGCTGTAAAAGGGATGTTTACAAAAGACAGATTAGTGGTGAAAATTGCCTGAAAAGCTAAACATTCCAGTTCCAGATTTGAACATCTTGTACTGATGAGATTCTCCTGCTCTTCTAGGACAAAAGCATTGGTCCTCGAGCTCCTCGCTGCTGTCTGTCTTGTCCGAGGAGGTCATGAAATCATCCTTTCAGCTTTTGACAACTTCAAAGAGGTGCCCAACATTTGATTCTTTTTTTTTTTAGCCATTTGAACACGTGTGCATTTAGATACAAGTCATTGGCCTTATGCTTTTCAATAATTATCACCACCTTCACAGAGTGTTAAAAAAAAACATGTTAAAACATGAGGTGATTAATCTTTTTTGTGCAATGTCGTTAAAAGATAGTGTATTTGAAATGTTCAACTGTGAGTTTAGAATAAATTTAGAAGTCAGACATCTGAATGGAAAAGGTTTAAGTTTATTTAAAAATAATATAATATGGCATATAAATTTAGTTGCAGCTGTAGTAAAATAAAACAAAAAACACAGAAGATAATTTTTGTATCCGACTAAATCCCATAGACAAGCAGTACTGACAATTTTGTATTTTTAAACATTCTCTGAGAAAATCAAACATGCAATAAATTGGATAAATCACCTTTAATAAACCTTATTTGTTTGAATCCACCTTTCTAACAGATAACTCTAAAATATCCTCTGAATAATAAACAATGGACACTGTTCAGCACAAGTACCACTGCTTATACCACAGTTTGAAGCTGTAACTCTTTCATTTATATCATGCTAAGAAATATCAAATTCAGTAAATTGCTTTAATTCCCACAAGTACATCTTTGCATATGGGGATAGGATCACAAATGGATTGAAGTTCATCTGCTGAGATTGTCTGTAAACCTCTGTGGTTATTAGTCTCCTTCAGACGCCAGGTGTGAGTCAGGTTTAAGGAGTGATAAGGATCTGCTCCTTGTGGGAAGTGGTGGACCCTGGAAAACTAGCTTAGCTTCTCAGAACTCTAAAGCAGGACAATTACCACGCAGGCATAAGCCTTAGGGAGCTAATCAACTCCCCAAATTAATGTCCTGTGGAGCTATTTTGCAAAGTGAAACTATTATAAAAGGAGACAGTCTTAGATAAAATTCAGTTCCAGACCAAGAGCTGTGAATTTAACAGAAATTCAAGGCTTTCTCAATTTGTTTTCTGTAAAAAAAGAAAAAAAGAAATAGAAAATATTTAAATTTCACCTTAACAGTTTAAAAACATTAACATTTTTAGTGTTGTCTACTGTTTACTAATAAGCTGTTTGCAACGTATAAGCTAATATGAGTGTAATCAAATATCTTAATATATCATGTCTGTTATCAATAGCAGCGCTGTAATCCCTGCATATTGACAAGGTTAACAATAACACCGAACTTGTAGGTAATAGACCAGGTATTTTATTTAAATCAACATATCAATTATATAGATCAGAACAGAAATAACCTTTATTTTCCAACAGTGGGAACATCAGGTTTCTCAGCAGCAAAGGGAAATGTAAATGATAGCATGCAGATACACACCAGGGTAAATATCATTAAAAAATTTTAATGAGAGATTCTACATTAAAGCCAAATTAACAATATGAGAAAGTGCTTGGGTATTAAAAATGGCCTACTTAGGAAGTGTGCAATTAAGTAGGATGATTTTAAAAAATGGGATATTGGGTGTGTATTTTATACATGATGAAAATTAACATACTTATTACAGGAATGTAGAGAAACCATTTATGCACAAGCAATGTAAAAACATGGGGTTAATTTTGAACAATGATGGTTATGAAATTTAACAGCTGCTGGGAAGAAGGATTTGCGATTACACTGCTTTATGCATTTAGAATGCAGCAGTCTGTCATTGAAGGAGCCCTTCAGCTCTGCAACAGCTTCATGCAGTGGGAGACACTGATGGCAGCATCATGGCTAATGTGAGCATAGTGCCCAACTATAGCATAATATGTGATAGTTATTGATAGCTAAAGCTAGCTTATTGGCTGATATAACCCAATACCCAGCTTTATGTAAATGTAAATCCCTTTATTGTCCTACAATGGGGAAATTCAAATTTGCATTTTGACCCATCCCCTTGGGGAGCAGTGGACTGCCATCGTGTGGCACCCGGGTGGCAATCAAGGGTTAAGGGTTTTGCTCAGGGAACACAGAGTGCAGGCTGTGGGGATCAAACCGGGTACTTGCAACCTTCTCAGAGCACAAGCGCACTTCTCTAACCCACTAGGCCAACACTCCCCTTACTTCCCTATTATAATCCCCTTAGCATAATAGATTATTTTTAGGTTTATTTTTAGTAGTAACAGGGAAAACTTTGCATATTGGCAATATAAGGTTGATACCTAAGATGATTGATATGAAAACAAATGCTAATGGTAACCTAAAGGCCAGTGTGTGTAATACCCAACTTCAACAGGATTGATGTTTATTACTGAAAGCATTATTACTGTTAGCCACATGTTAGCTCTAATATGATAAATAATGCCAGGACCAAAGGAGAAATGTTTTTGAAAGACAAATTTCCCATCTAAAGCTGAGATGCAATTTATAAAAATTCTGCATTGCTGTACACTCCTTTTCCAGGTCTGTAAGGAGAAGCAACGCTTTGAGAGATTGATGGATTACTTTCGCAGTGAAGAGGGGAACATCGACTTCATGGTAAGACGGCCCGTGTACTATCCGTAGGTGTTAATTTTGTTCAAGTGGAGCAAAAGGTTTGGATTTTTCTAGTTGGGTTTTTTCCCGCATCTCTGCACAAAATGAAACCCGTTTTAGAGGCAGGTGTAAATGCAAGACTCCATGGGTTTGGTGTTATTATGCAGATACAGATCACACCACATGGTATAATGAACTCTTGGTCTGTTTGCATCTGTGGTCTAGGTTGCGTGCATGCAGTTCATCAACATCGTGGTCCATTCAGTTGAGGACATGAACTTCAGAGTCCATTTGCAGTTTGAATTCACCAAGCTTGGACTGGATGATTTCCTGGAGGTGAGGAAATAATTATTCCCTAGTCAAAATATTTTGAATCGCACCAAGAGTGTATACAGCGTCACTTAGCCTTAATCGGTCGCTCTAATTTCAGAAATCGAAGCACACGGAGAGCGATAAGCTGTCAGTGCAGATCCAGGCCTACCTGGATAACGTGTTTGACGTGGGTGGCCTCCTGGAAGATGCAGAAACAAAAAATGCAGCGCTGGAGAAGGTGGAGGAGCTGGAGGAGCACCTGTCCCATGTAAGTGCACCACCCAGTCTGGACCACCAGTGCTGCTGTAGATGCCCATCTGTGAGAGTGTCGTGCCTGTTTAACTTGGCCGTCTCTATCTGGTAATTAGAAATCTACTCCGTGTTTGCTTTTCACAACTGGTTGGGGATAATAATTGGGTGGGGGAACGCTGGAAAATAGTGTGTGAGGAACAATGTTATTATTGTCCTCGCCGCGCCGCTGTGTTCATATTTTTTTCCAATCCCACGCTGCTTCGCTAAAGGCCTCCTTCACAGGGAAAAGGTCGTAGGCAGCCCTGACATCATTTGAGGAATTTCATAACAAACGCTGCTCTCAAGGGTCGGGAATGATGGGGGAGGATCAGAGTGAAGATTCTTGGTGAATTCCCGAGCAGCACGTGTAATGTGATCAAAATCAAACTAATAGCTGTGTCATGTTAATGCTGCATTATCCAACTGGCCACAACTCATTTCTTATTGATGATGTATGAGCGTAAAGGAGGAGGAGGAGGTGGTAAAGGAGTGCTCTCATTACTCTGTTGCTATCTCCATCTTGTCTTCTCAGGTGACTGAAAAGCTGCTTGAAGTGGAGAATGAAACAATGATGAAAGTGGCAGATTTGGAGAAGCTTCTATTCCAGAAAGATAAAGACCTTCAAGCAATACGTGTACGTGTTTGTTCCTTTGATGCAATTTATTTCCTTTTACTTATTTTAATGGTTCTTTTCCCTGTTTCAACAAATATCTGTTTAAAATAAGTTTTGATAAAGAAAAATTGAGTCAAAAGTAAATAGGATGTTTCTATAAGCTGGTAGGGTTGCCATAATGTGCTCTTTACTACCCCCTGGTGGCTGCTCAGGAGACGTACGAGTCGACCAGCACCCAGGTCAACACCCTGAGGAGGATGATCAAGGAGAAGGATGCTGCCTTCCAGAGGCAGGTCAACATCGAACGGCGGCTCCTGGAGCTGGAGCAGCAGGGCACCATCCGTTTGCACAAGAAACCTGACGGCGACATCTCAATTGAGCCGCTGGGTGTCGGCGGTGGAGGCAGTGGGATCGGAATCCCTTTGGGTAATGTTGGGCAGCTGATGCTGAGTTCGACAGCTGGGCTGACGGAACCTGGAGGACTAGATACCAGCTTACCACCAGCAAGTGAAGCTCCACCGCCTCCTCCACCACCCCCACCGCCTCCTCCTCCCCCTCCCTCAGGTGATACATCATGAATCAGAGGGTTTGTTTCTGCTGACACCTGCATGTGAAAGTTGACTTTTTTTTTCTTTTTTGTTCTTTACTCTTTCATGCTGGAGCAAGGTGATGGGTCACAGCACTGCTNTGATCTTTACTCTTTCATGCTGGAGCAAGGTGATGGGTCACAGCACTGCTTAGCTAAACCAGACAGGAAAGGGAAGCTAAAACTGCTTCCTTTGTGGGCAGAAAGGCTCCACTCAGCTCTTTGAATTACTTTACTAGATCATAGTTTATTTGGAGTAAAACTATCTTTTTACATTAAACAGAAAGGTTATAAATGTGTAAACCTAGCTTAAATGTCATTTTATTTGTTTATATTTTAATCACAGCTTTAACAGCACCACCACCTCCTCCTCCTCCACTTCCTCCTCCTCTGCCAGATGCGTCTCCCTCCGTCATCCTTAGCCTGGGTCTATCAGGTGAGATCATTCTAATGTTCTTTTTCTTGGACGGCTTAATCCTCCTCAGCCTAATTTGATTTTGATTGTGTATTTAAACCCTCCGCAGCTATCAGAATCAAGAAGCCCATTAAGACAAAGTTCCGCCTGCCCGTATTCAACTGGACGGCCCTGAAGCCCAACCAGATTAATGGCACGGTCTTCAATGAGATCGATGATGAGCGAGTGCTGGAGGTACATCCAGCAGAGGAGAGCTCCGTTACATTTTGGTTCTTTTGAACCTCCTGGTTGCATTTTTTTTCGATCCTCCAGCAGCTTTTTGTTACACTTTAAGTTAGTCTTGGATACAGCTGCTCAGCCATTAAACATCTGTAAGGAAATTCACTATAAGCTGTTATCGAGCCCACATTAGGGTTGAAGATCTGTAGCCGTACACTCTGCAGAAAATAGCCGAGCTCTTCATACTACCGGTATGCTTCTCAGCATCCGCTGACTCTGCTGTGATTTGATTTTACACAATGAAAAGGTTACTTATGACGACATTTCATAAATGAATTTACTGCACAGCTGACATCCTATCATGGTACCATGCTGGACCACAGTGGGTTCCTGTGATTGTCCCACTCTCTAAGAGCCTGTAGACACAGTCCATATGCCTTAATCCTAGTTTTTATATACGTGTAAATGACTGAAGCAACTAAATTCAGTAATTCAGAGGGGTGACCCAGTACTTTTGGCAAAGAAGGGCAACTTTTAAGAGGTAAATGTTGACACTTCTGTTATTACTTCATTTCTGATTCAGTTTAATATCCTGTTTTTTTTCTTTATATCTCTATGGAATTGATCAGAAAACCATGTTGTTTGCTTTAAAAATGGTTCAGTTATACTTATTTTGAAAAATGGTGACAGGAACTGGTTATTTGGCCACTAGTGCTTTCTAAAGACTGCTTATATCTTCCAAATTTTCAGTCTGAGATTATGCTTCTGCAATAAAAGATTGATATATTTTAGAGCTTTTTACAAATGTATTGCATATACTAAATATGGCCAGCATCATTTGTGAAAGTAAAAAAGGCTGAATATTTCCCTTCTGTTCAGAACCAAATGGTAATGATTGTTTTATCTACAGGAGCTGGATCTGGAAAAGTTCGAGGAGTTGTTCAAGACCAGAGCCCAGGGTCCTGTAGTGGATCTTTCCTGTACAAAGAGCAAAGTGGCGCAAAAGGCGGTGAATAAAGTGACCCTCCTTGATGCCAATCGGTCTAAAAACTTAGCAATCACGCTGCGAAAAGCCAACAAAACCACAGAGGAGATCTGCAAAGCAATAGAGAAGTATGCATCTCTTATAAGTTAAACAAGAGCAGTTGTTATTCAATGAGCAGATTTCAGATGAGTGTCATGTTTCTTCACAGGTTTGACCTCAAGGCTCTGCCTGTGGACTTTGTTGAGTGCCTGATGCGCTTCCTGCCCACCGAGGCGGAGGTGAAGGTGTTCCGTCAGTATGAGCGCGAGCGGCGTCCCCTTGACCAGCTGGCGGAGGAGGACCGCTTCATGTTGCTGTTCAGCAAGATCGAGCGTCTCACCCAGAGAATGAACATCATCACCTTTGTGGGGAACTTCGCAGACAGCATTGGGATGCTCACTCCACAGCTCAACGCCATAATTGCTGCTTCAGGCTCGGTGAAATCATCGCCCAAGCTGAAGAGGATGCTCGAGGTGGAAAGGGTTTCTGAGGCTGCTTGGGTTAGGATCGCATTTTGTTTGGCTAAAAAAATAAAAACGGATCATTTTGTTTGCCTTTTAGATCATCTTAGCTTTGGGAAACTACATGAACAGCAGTAAACGAGGCAGTGTTTATGGCTTTAAACTACAAAGTCTTGATCTGGTAAGTCGGAAACAAGCACATGCAGTCAATGGTTCGTTGTTTTGTAGTGTTTTGTTGATGACGTCATCATCCTGCTTATTTTTATTGTTTTTTTGTGGTGCAGCTGCTGGACACAAAGTCCACAGACAGGAAAATGACTCTGCTCCACTACATCGCTCTCATCGTGAAGGAGAAGTACCCTGAACTGGCCAACTTCTACAATGAATTGCACTTTGTGGATAAAGCTGCAGCGGGTTAGTACGCTTTAAATATTTCTCAGTTGATGGGAAAAAGTGTTGCTGACCCATCCTGACTGTGTGCAGTGTCTCTGGAAAACGTGCTGCTTGATGTTCGAGAGCTGGGCAAAGGTATGGAGCTGATCCGGAGAGAATGCAGCATGCATGATCATCCGGTGCTGAAAGGTTTTGTCCAGGCCAGCGATCCGCAGCTGGACAAGCTGCAGAGGGACGCCAAGACAGCAGAGGTACAGACTCCCTCAATTTCCAACTAGCTATCCAGAAAAGATGATAAAAATAAGTCCAAAGTACATATTTAGTCCTCTTTCGGCTCTTTTGCTTCTTGTACGTAATCCTGACTCAACAGTGTTTATAAACTGTGCTTCCACTCTCCTCCCGCTCAATTCCAGGAAGCCTTCAACAGTGTGGTGAGCTACTTCGGAGAGAGCGCCAAGACAACTCCACCCTCTGTGTTCTTCCCTGTATTTGTGCGTTTCATCAAGGCCTACAAGGTGAGGATGCTGACATGGTGCAGCCTTCTCTATGGGCCTTCTGGGAAGTTCCCTGGTTTGTTTTAAGCCCCGCCTCAAAGCGGAGAGGAGCAGAGTTTGGAGGCCTTTTAGTGCCACAGGACGTGGCGTGTAGTCTGAAGGCAAATAACAGGAAAGACTAGCTGGGCCTGACTTCATAGTTGCAGCTGTGGTGTTTAGACTGCCCCCCCAACCTCTGAGCTTTTTACCCCGGACAGCCGCGCCCAGACCCCGCCACGCAGCACACATCCTGGGATTGTTCTGGGACTCGATTTATGGGATCTGCTTAAGGAAATGTACAAGACAGGGGGCACATGTCTGAGTTCAAGCAGAGAGTTTGACAGTCGGTCCTGAACATCCAACACAAGGCAACACCAATAATACTTCTATGTTAGTCGTGGTGAATAATCAAGGCTAAATCAGATTCCTAGAAATAAATGAAGAAAATTCTATGTTGTTATTAAAAAACTCCAGATTTCTTATTTGTTTTTGAGAAAATGGTTCTATGGGACAAAGTAGCAAAATCCTCTGAGCTCCTTCAAGCCTAAATTTAGCTACTAAAGTATATTTTATTGGGATCTAGTGTTGTCCAACACAAAGTGCTGCATGACAGTGACGTGATAATATTTCACATATAAGCATCGGAAAAGTTTTGCATAAATTTGTCTTCCGATCTGTTAATACTAAAGCAAAGCAGCTTATCCCTGTATTGGTCCATATTTAGCTTTATCTTCTTTATGCAGATTTGTCTTGAATGCTATTTAACAAACTTTTAGGCCTTCCCAGACAGAAATGGTGCTGCGACTTGTGAAGGTGTTTTATTAATGGGTATCATATTTATAACACCTTTTCTTTTAAACATGATTATTTTAAGGAATGTAAATGACTTTGCAGCTCCCTTTAAGTGTTCGCAGAAGGTTAGGCGGTACACCATTGCAGAGGTTACATCCTTCTAATAACTTCACTGTGTCTGCTGAGTGTTTTCACCCACCCATGGCTGCATATGTGGGCCACTGATTGGTCCAAATTACTGTGCTCTGCCCACAGACAAGTTGCAGGAAAGGGTTCTGCTGTGCTTGTGATCTTGTGTTCCCACAGATGCACAGACTGGATTTTAGTTTTGTTTTATTTGTAGGTTATTCTTACATTTTCATTTATGTATTTTTTTAAACATTCGGGATGTTATGTTTTGGATGATTTGTAGAAAGGAAAAAACCACTGATTTAATCAGAAAAAAAAAGGAAAAGGATCCCATCTGCTTCCCTGAGTACAGTCTCTGCAGTTATTTAGGTTTTGTTTTGAAAAGATTTTAGATACACGGGTTTCCTGTTTATGTTGGCATTCTGAACCTGTTTAGTGTGCTAAAATGGGCCCCGCTAGTCTGTTGACTTAGATCAGAGCTGTAGTTCATTTTTCCCCCTTCTCAACAGGATGCAGTGGAAGAAAATGAACTGAAGAAAAAGCAGGAGGAAGCCATGAGAGAAAAGTTACTGGCTCAGGAGGCCAAACAGCATGACCCCAAGGTACAGCCCAATCAGAGCTGACTGAAACCTCGGCAATGTTTACCCACTGCTAAATAAAGAACCTGCTGAATGCCAAAAAACACACATCCTCTCTGCTGATGCAGGTCCAGGCCCAGAAGAAGAGGCATCAGCAGCAGGAGCTGATTGCAGAGCTGCGAAAGCGGCAAGCCAAAGACCATCGACCGGTGTACGAAGGCAAAGACGGCACCATCGAGGACATCATCACAGGTGGGCCAGAAAGAACCATTAAAGGGCCCCACGTGGGCATCGGCAGCGGCCCCAGTGTCCCCAGGCTGAGGATGACTGTGGTCATCGACTGCTCAGCTCCTTTGAAGTGCACCTTGTGCTATATATTGCAGACGCCAGCCCATCTGGAGCACAGCAGCCCTTAATGGCTGCTTCATAACTTACCGTCCAGCCAGCTATGAAGCGTACAGCATCAGAGCTGCCTTCATGTCGCAGTTTGATGCCAGTTATGCTAGAAATTAGGAAACATGTTTAAAGTCAGTTGGATTTCCGCAACTGTTCCTGTAAATACACACGGATACGCCTGCTTGTGCAAAATATGTTTACGCTATAATCCATAAACAAGCACTCAAATGTAAGTTGCATAAACGCTGCATAAAGATGAACCTTTATGATGTAGTAACACTTGTAGAGCTGTAACAGCTTTTAATCACCGGCCAGTGGCTGGTCATTGATCTGAAGCAAGTTTCAAATTGTTTTTAAAGGACTAAAATGTTTCAGCATTGCACTGCTGCTATGGTTTAATCCAATTTAAGAATAAGCAGGAAAAATAATCAGGTGATTGAAGTTTCTGCAGTTGCATTGAGCATTAACTAACTATGTTATGCTAACAAATCCCTGCTGTTCCTCTGCACTGATGGTCAGCTGGCTGAAAGAAGGATGCTGGACCTTTCCATTAAGAAAAGCGATTAATTGGCTTATAGGAAACAGTTTGATTCACATACAAAGCTAATAGAAGTTAGGGAAATATCCCGCAATGCATAAATGTAGTAACCTTGTGATTGCTAAATGTTTTGGATTCCAAACTTCCTGCTTTCTAGATACCCCTTAGAAAAGAAAGCAAGCAAGAAAAAAAAAGTATTATTTTCAGCCAGAAAAGCCTTGTTTCACTTGTAATTATTAGACCGTTTTAATTCAACATCATATTTAAGCTTTTATAAACGGCCTGTTTTGACATATACCCTCAGTAGAAAATAGTCGTTTCTTTTTGGTTTTAAATAGAAGAAGTCAACCTATTTTATGTTCTTTGGTTAAAACTTTTAATTAGAACTCGGTGATACTGCGGTGTGTCATGAGTACATTCAAGGACATGCTCCGTGTGTCCTTACCCAACTAAAAATCTGAATTTTTATCCTGTTTTTCCCTTAAAACGTATTTAAGTAGTTTACATACGGTATTTATTATTGCAGGTTTATCAGGTCCTCTAAATAATATCAAGTCAGTTTTTCCCCCCAGGGTTAAAGCCGTGTCAGTGTTTTAGGTGTGATGTGTTTTTCTCTTCCTCTCCCTGCCCCTCCCCCCCAGTACTGAAGAGCGTGCCCTTCACCGCCCGCACTGCTAAACGCGGCTCACGGTTCTTCTGTGAAGCCAACCTCTGTGACGACGCCAACTGCTAGCCCTCCCTGTCTCTAATGCCAAGGTTGTCCAGGTGTCTCCCCGTATGACTCTTAACCCCACTGTGCATGCAGCATGATCCCTGTCCCCCACCTCCAACAACAAAAACCAACCTTCTTAACTAACTTGGGCCGTCTCTCCTCGGCTGATTGAGTTTTTTTTTGGTTTATCTTTGAGACGGCTTCTGTCAGGCATTCGGTGATGATAGGCAGCCAAACCTCTTGGCCTGGATTTGAGAAAAAGCAGCTGCTCAAAACCTTATTTTTTGTTGTTTTTTTTTTTATGTCTGAGAAATGAAAAAAAAAAACATGTTGACTCACTTACAATACTTTCAACAATGCAAGTAAGCATTTATACAACCTGCATGGCGCAGATTGCTTTTTTTAAGCTCTTTCAAGTAATCCAGAATCAAACAAAGAGGTTTGGCTATAACGCCGGTTTTATCCAGTGAAACTAACTTGTTTGGTGTTTGGTTTTCTGGCTAACTTGTGACTCTTTTTCATTTTTTTCCCCTCTTCAACCACTGCTGGTTTTTCCACCCCATTTCCAGCTGAAAAGAAGATTAATGACAGTATTTCCCACTCCTAAAGAGCGGGTAAGGAAGGTAGCCTGGCTCGTATCTGGCCTGCTTGGCCCTCAGGCTCCTGTGTGCTGCTGCAAGTCATGTCAGCTGCTTCAGCTAGTGCTTCAGACAAACCAAAAAAAAAGCTTTGCAGCACTAAAATTTCTTTTACCACAGTTGAAAAACGAAACTACAATTATTTCTAAAGCAAGGTAAAGGTATATGAACAAGAAGTAATGCCCTAACCGTTAAGTGACGTTCCCCTTCTGAGAGGAAGTTCCCGTGTTACTTTCCATTTAAATGTCCGCCGAAGATCATCCCGATCCCTTTCTAAAATGTGTTGCATGTTGTCTGGTGTTACCATGTCCGCCATGTTTGTCTTTGCTAACTGTCTGCAGCGTGCTCAACAGCTGTTTGGTCAGCAGGCTCAAGATGGTAGAAATACATCATAACTTAATAACAGTCTGGTTAAAATGATTATTGGCATAAATGCTGTTTTGCAAGTTAGTTGACCAACTAAAGAGCTTGTTGATCACTGTAATGTTAAAGTGTTGCTATATCTGCATCCCCAAAGCCTTGAATTTCTCTTTTTTCATGTAGACGGAATACAAGGTTATGGGAATCTTTCATCTACTGTTAAATTTTTATATATTTATGCTCTTATTTGGTGTTTTTGTGCCTCACATAAGTATTCCTATTCCTTGAAACTTTTATCACATCACAACCACAAACTACAGCCTGCACGTGTATCCCCGTTACCCTGATACCCTACAAACATTAGTGAAACCAAAGATTTTCTGAAGTGACTTAAGTTAGTGGAGTAAATCTTTTTTTTTTTTTTTCTCAAGACCAGTCTAGAACCATATCCCCATTTTTTTTTTTTTTTTACTGAATCCTAGCATTAAGCTTTTTGCAGCATAAAAATACAACCAATAAAGTTTTTTCTGTAAAAAAAAATTCCTCATGGCATCTGTGCCACTATGTATAGAATATAAAGGATTAAAAACAAGGAGAAACCTTTTCCAGTCGAATACTTAAGGTTTTTTTTGTATGCGCAGCTTGCAGAAAGTAAGACATCTAAGTGGGTTAGATCCTCCTCCTCCACCTGTTGCCTCCAGTTACTCTGCTGCAACTAATGCTAAGTGAGTTAATGTTTAGCGGGCTGTATGCTCTCTTATAGTTTTTTGTTTAACTTGTTAACAGCCTGTCAGACTTTATTAGACGAATGGCATGGAAGTTAGGGTCTGCTCACACAAAGGTTTTGGTTTATGTAAATCATGGTGCAGAGACCCTGACTGAAAAGATTAGCAGGACAAGTGCAACCAGTGAGCCTAGAATTCTATCGTTGCTTATGAACTGTGGAAGGCAGACTATTTTTGAAACATTTTAAGCAACAAATATGTTATTATATTATTATTGGTTTTTTTTTTTTGTTTTACATGGTCTCTTTCTCCCTTATTCTTTTAATAGCTAGTCTTTACTAATTACTTCATTATCTGTGAAGTATGGTGGTGGCAGCATCATGCCGTTGGGATGCAAACAGGTTTGAAAAGCTTGTACCGTTTTTATTCCACTTGTTATATTCATATCCCAGTGATCTACATTAAAGTTGTTCGTGTGAGAACTCAATAGAGATAGGAATACTTGTGTGAGGCATTCTGTATGTTTTTTACTGAACTATGATGAGCCAAAGACTCAGCTGGCATTTTATTAGAAAACCTGATCTAGAAAGGATGTTTTACCATGATAGTTTTTGAGGACTGGGTTCTTTTAGGCTTTTTTATTATTATTATTTTAACTAAGCTGAGTGGGCAAATTAAGAGAGATAACTGCTCCTCAGGTTGATTTAATAAAATGAACGCTGAGTTTGTCTTGTTGCACTTGTTGCTTAAAAACAAAGAGGCAGCCTGAGAGGAGACTGAGCTCCTAGTCATCTAACCAGTGTGTCTCCTCCCTGTCTCTCACCCCTGTTTCCTCACCTACTCACAGATCTTCGAAACCAGCCCTTCCTGCGAGCTGACGCCTTGATCCGGAGCGGTTGGAAGAGACCCTAAACCACTTACCTGCCAGTCCCTCTTCCCTTTGTAACACTTCTCCCTGTGTCCCAGTGGTCCCTTTCAAACCCTGAGGTTGCATATCGGAAAAAAAAAAAAAGACTCCAAAGGGAGGAAACAAGGCAGAGCTCTTGTTTTGGCTGAATAATTTATTTATTTATGGAGGTCCTCCTTAACAGCCACTTTCAGCGAGCAGGCATCATTAACAAAGCACAGTAAAGATGCTTCCTCTTTAACTCTCCCTGCTGTGCTGGCGCCGAGTCAGACCAGCTTGAAGGCAAACTGTGGCACAGGTGAGCCCAGTCTTCAGTTTGACTGGTGGACGTTCCTTACATGGCTGCAGTCGCCGTAGGACTGAGACTGGGAGGCGTCGCCCAACGGCTCCATCTGCAGAACAATCCTCCTAAACGACGTGTCATAATCAGACTCTAGTGGACTATTTATTAGAGTTTTGCCAAGTCTTAACACATGCAATCGAGACTCAATTTGAGGAATGTTTATGCAGATTGTATTCAAGAGGAATATTTTTCCTGATTCTTCTAGATGAAGCTAGTCAAACCAAAATGTCTCAAGATATATCTTTAAGAAGTGCCTTTTGTGTAAACAGTGTTATTCTCAATCAGCCATAATTTTTCAAAAGTTTTACTTTTTTTTTTTTTACACAGCATGGTGTTGCCTGCAACCTTATAATGCTGACAATATGGTAGCCGAAAAACAGGCTTTTTTTTTTTTTGGACACAACACACAGAAGGTAATTTATATTAACTGTCAAGTAAAAGGGGTGGGGGGGTCTTATCCAAGAAGTTGTAAAAGAAAGAAAATTGAATGTTAATCGCATGTATCTTGACTAGACTTCCTGCTCCACTTTGAGTGGCATTTTGGAAGTGATTCATCTATCAGGAGGTCTCCAAATGTGCACATGATGTTGAAGGTGTCTGACATAAGGTGCATCTCAGTAATTTAGTTTATTCTATATATAGTTGTCAATTCAAAATATGAAATTTAGTGATTCATTGCACAAGGGATATCATTTTGTGTTCATTCTTGATAGATATGCTGATTGTGGCTTATAGCTAGTGAAAGTCCAAATTCAGTTTATCAGATAGTGTAAATAATCAAGATTTAAAAAAGTATTTTCAATGTAGAAAGCTCTGGTTACTAAAGGTGTTCTATTAAGTATATGATCTAAATTGTTAAAAAGGGAACTTTTCGCTTGTTTTACTGTATAAGTGCAGCATCTCATGGAAAGAATAAGTCTGTGGTTCTCCATCTATGTTTAGAAAGCTTAGGTTTCTTTAACAGTGACCTTCAGCCCAATTTCATTATTGATTTAATTTGTTTCCTTTGCTTTCTTTAGGGGGTTTAAGCATGGTATGCTTTAAAATCACATTGTAGAATACTTTGGACTCAATTAAACTCATTGTAGCAACAGAAGCATATGATGCAGTTTCACATTAGGCCTACTGTATGTAAACAATGTCCTGTTAGTGCGTCTTTGCAGCTTCTTTTGAAGCTTGGACTCCAGCTGCTGTCCATTCCTTGTAGATGTCCTCCAAAATCTTCCGTGGGCTTTACTTCAAAAATTTTCTCAAGAAAGCAGCTATCCCTGATGGTCACCTCCACACTTTTTCCTTCCACTCAACTTTTCCTTGACATGGTCAGGTACAGCTCTATGTAAACAGTTAGCTTCTTCATGAATGACATAAGACTGTCTGTGGAGGACTGTCTAATGGGCAACAATCAGATTAGCAAAGATGATGTAAAAGTTATTTCTATATTTAACATTTTTTTGATTTTGTCTTATTCAAGGAGTTAAGAAGTATTTTATTAGCTGCATGCCAAAATCGGAAATGAAGTAAACGCAGGAGACACATCATTCTATGTGTTATCGATCTAAATTAGTTCCCAATAAATTACTAAACTAAGTCAACTATTTTAGGCTATTCTGATTTACTGAGATACACCTATATTGTGTGGCTGTAAGCTTTATTTTTTTATTCATTGCAAATGATTTGACCTTACACTACATACTTAAAAATGCTTAAAAATGGTATGAGACACTATCCTTTACATGAAAGAGATTTTTATCTGTAAATAAAAAAAAAGTCATGTTCTTTGTAAAGAAAATGATTTATGTGACCATCAAGTGGCTGAAAGAAGACACTTCCTGTTTATTAATCACATTGAATAAAAAACTGATTTGAGTTCAGGGTTCTGAAAACAAAAGTGTTTGAGTTTTTTTCTTTGACAAACGTAACTCTCTACATATTTATGTTTGAGCACAAGTTTATTATGTTCCGGGGAGTTGATATTACATTGTAGATATATAATTGAATAAGACCCACGAATTGTTACAAATACTCAAATTAGGCAGTCAATAAAATGTACTGGGTGAAAATTTGTTTTAATCAGAATTATCTTTTACTTTCAAACTAAGAAGAGTCATTGTATTGCAATCAGATAAAACAAGATTATATAAATGTCAGTATTAGTATTTAAAATAACAGTAACTGCAACAGTGATTTCAGACCCAGACCTCCCCTGTGCAGAGTTAAAGTGTGCTATTTATTATTTCTATTTATTTTCCATCCAGTGTCTTCAGGTATCCTTGGCATGAACAGTAAAACAGCATAACAATTTAATATCCTTTTAATGCAGACTCATTTTCCTCCTTATCCCAGTAGCAGATAACTAAACTGTTTTCTAAAGTTTGGCTAGAGTAATTTAGCTTGATTCTTCATGATTTCAAAGTAATCTTATTTTTTTTTTTTCAACAAAGGCAGAATCACTCAAGTGGATTTGGAAGTAGCATAAACAATAGAACTGATGAAGCCTTTAGGTTTGTTTTTACAGCAGTCATCAATCACTTTCTGGCATCACTGGAGATAGTAGTGGGCTTTTGTTTAAGAAGTTGTAACATCCTTTGGGTGGCTTTGACATTTATGTAGGAAAAAAAAAATAGAAAAACCCATAGGAATAATGATCCACTTTTTTTGCTGGAGTCTTAGACAAATAACTTTTTTATTGTATAAAATTGACCTCCAGTAATAAAGTAAAAAACTCATGGTGTAATTTTTTTTTAACTAGGAAATGTCATTCAAATCCTATATTAAACAGGTTTCTAGGATTTAAGTGAATCATAAGTGAATAAAAACATCCTGTCCATGGGTGGCACTGGAAATTCCTCCATGTGTATGTTACATCAAGGTTAAACTATAGTAATTCTATGCTATCAGAGAGTCAATGCAGGTAAAAGCCTTAAGGTGATCCAAAACCCTGCAGCTAGAGTTCTTGTGAAAAACATGCTACTCTGTTTCAGCTTTCTTTCATCAGCTCAGTTATATCAAGAAAGTAATTGAAAACTCTGCTTCCTGTGTATGAAGCACTCAGTAATTAAGGTCTTATATCACAAATCTGATTATTTATTAAGGAGACACCCGGCATACGTTTAAGACTATGCTTAAATGTTTCTTTGTGATAAAGCTTATGGTTAGAGTAGCCTACGTTATCCTCAGCGACCTCTATAATTAGGCTGATAAAGGCTTACGCTGCTGGAGGACATAAATATTCCCCCACTGCTACATTCTCCTACCATTCTCTAGTCCTGCACATTTGCAGGTTTCTTGACTTTCATCAAAATTCTCCCTGTTTTTGCTCTGATAGTAAGTACACGTGGCTTGGTGTTCTGTTCAGTTGTAACACTGTCCTCAATGGTAATATCCACTGGACTGCTGCTGCCAACATCTTCCTGTTTTTCGTTCTACAGAAGATCCACCTGGTCCTGCGTTCCATTGGTTGATCCCTTTCTTTTTTCTATACATGGCTGTTTGCTTATCTGAGCCTTTGTGAATGTGCTCTTAATACAATAGAGTGGAAAGCTGTCTCAGAGTTTATCTGATTTAGTTACATTTGTATGGTAGATGAAGCTACCAAGGAACTACCGGCAGTAACCTTTTACCTTCCTCTCACATAGAAAGTACTGCTGGATCAGCTTCTGCGATCCTTTTGCATGCGTGCTTGCTGCACAAATTTCAATTACTCAATTTATTTATTTTATTATGATTGTATAGGTCTATCTTTAGGAAAACCGTTCTTTTTAGCTTGTTTCATTTGCTGGAACAGAAATTTACTATGTGATATTTTCCTCTTTTCATTCATTTTACTTTTTTCTTGTTATTTTTAAGTTTTATTGACTTCATAACAGATGCCTTCAAATGGCCAAATTGGTGGAATAAGGCCAGGTTTAAAATATATTTAATCACTCATTTTATGCTAAAAGAATCAAGCGCAGTAACATCAATACTATAGGTTATACTGTAAAGATATTTTTCCATTGATTTATTTTGTTAAATATTCCAGAGCATCGTTTCTATAATCCTCTGGGCTTGACACCACACCTCAATGCTTCTTCTGCCAAGTTGATGCTGTCAGGGTTAGGGGTCCTTGCTCCATCTCTCCACCAATCTGGGGGTTCTGGACTGAAAAACATTGACGAGCCCTGCTTTGTAGAGCCACACATCAGAAAACACTATAAATACAGTCATGCAAAAGATAAAACAAAATTAAAAATAGATTTTTTTTTAATATTTTTAGTGAGATGACTGCATTATAGCGCTGAGAATTTTGGGTTAGGATAAATGAGTAGACAGGAATGCATTGAAATTCTTCCAAGTCATTAATGATATTCTTCTGTCTTACTGCAATGTAAGATAGATGTCAGAGGAAAACTTATCATCCAAGTTTCAAAAAGGATCTCATGTGGTCTAACAGATATGAGGCAGCCGTCAATGAAAAAGATAAAAATAAAACAAAAGCTGAATTAAGTTTATGGGAAAATAAACGTAAAGCTTGTGCATGATAATTTCCTTTATTTCCTTACTGGTATAATTAAGTCAGTCAACAGAACTGAACAGGGGACTGTTTGCTCTCACTATATTGTAACTTTGTTTTTATTCATTTCTTATGAAATCTACAATCAATTCCTATTTTTTATTTACATTCAACACAAGATAAGCGTTTCCTCTCCATATTCTATCAGCTCTTTGTACTCAGCTGCTTCTACCTCTCCGATAAACTAGTTTTGGTGCAACTCTTGAGTTGTACTTTACTGTGTACACAGTACAAGGAAGATTATCCTCACAGTGGGGTAATAGAAGCTGGTGCATGGAGATGTCTTCAACTCCCAACTCAACTTCCACAAGCAAACAGCAGTTTGTGCCGATATATGTGCTTGTTTGCTTCCTCAGAATAACCATTAGGAATCATTCCAGGACCTTTATGACATGGGATTCCAGTGAAAAAGGTCTAAAGTAGTTGAAGACAGCTTGATGAGCGTTCTTCGACACAGTATTTGAACAACCATTAATGCTAACACCATAGAAAAATGCAGCTTAAAGTTTATTCAAATGCATTTCAAGTGGACTTGGCTGGCAGGAGGGCGAGGGACAAGGAGCATTTAATTCATGGACAAAGTCATGTAGCTGCAGGATCTCATATAGTACCATTTCTTAAGAGGGGAAAAAAAAAAAACCTGAGGTCACCTTTTAGCTAATTTGGTAGATTTCAACTATATATTTTCCCTTCCGATGTACTGTTTTTGACTAAAAAAAAAACCAAAAAACAGTCTGGTTAAGATTGAACACTAAGCTTTATATGTGAATTTGCGTTAGCTCCAAATGACAGACAGGGTCGTTTTACATTTCTACTAGAAAAATCCATTTAATTTCTTATATCAAAAAGAAATAAAATTATAACAAAACAATCAGATCCACAAACCTGTGGGCTGTTTGCTACCCCCCCGACCCCCCCCCAAAAAAAAAAAAAAAAAAATCCTCCAACCAAAAATGTGAATGTTCTAATTTACATGAGTCATTTCAAATGAACATTGTACTTAAAAAAAAAAAGTGATGAATACTGTTAACAAGTGAGGGGTAAAGCCAGACTTTCCTCAGTGTGTACGAGTGTGAGCACCATGCGGTGTGGTATGGCTGATGGTTTTTAAAAAAGCAGCACAGTGTGAAACACTGTTGAGGAAAAACAGAGGGTTAGCAGCAAAGCAAAATAGCAAATATGCGTTTATCAGGATGTAGATCAGACTCATTACTTGGAATGGACTCAAGGACAAGCGTTTACCTAAGGTACATAGATTAAAAGTGAAAAAAAAAAAAGAGAGAAAGTTCAATCTCACACATGTCGTACCATCAGTCGGTCTCCCTGGCCTTTCCTGAAAGTTTACAATCAAAAGACAAGTAAAAGAATGCTAAAAGCAACCTCTCTGCTGATTTTCAGTGAATTCAGACAATTTTGCTTTTCTTTAAAATCCTAAAACACGGAGCAGTGTCACAGCTCATCATTTCTCAGAGTCCCGGAAGATAGCTTTAAAAAACAAAAAAACACCAAGGCCACAGATATCCATTCCTGGACCTTTTTTTTCATCCAGGAATGTGAACTTACAATCATTCTCATAAACTCTAAAACTGCAACTGAGTCATTCAATGCTGCTGACAACGATTACACAAGGACTTGAAATAATAACAAATATTACAAAGTACAGACTGCTATTTGTTACGGTTTGTTTGTATTCCTGGGTAATATTTTCAAGACACTTTGTTAATAAATTCATATATTTTTATATATGGAAATATAGATTTATGCATTTATATTTCACTTTAGTCTGTGCAAGGAGGTAAAAGACAATCACTTGAATGTAGCCCGCTGAGTCCTCGGTGTGTGTATTCCTCTGTCAGTCTCCTTCCGGCAGCAAACTAAACATGCAGATCTAAAGTGGAAAACATCCAGGAAGCATTCGTGGTGAGCACTGACAATATTTCCTACCAGTAACTAAAGACTTGGCAACTTCTTCCTCCAGGATGGAACAATACTCCCCTCCCCCAAAGACAATTCATACAAAAAAAAAAAAAAAAGACATCTGCTTCACAGCAGGGTTTTCCCATCTTTTACATTTGCACAGAGGTAGTGGCTATATGTAAAGACCAAGTGAGCAAAATTAAAAATAACTGATAAAATGTCTATAAAATGGTTTGTTTTCCCTCACTGTTTTTTTTTTCTATATGTCAAAGAACAAAATATAATACTGCAATCACTTAAAAAAGTAGTCCTTCATTTTTATACATTTTGTACAGAGTTCTTGCGTTTCTTTTTTTCTCCTTTTGTTGCTTTTCTTTTCAGCTGGTGAAGGCATATGATGAGAGAATAAAAAGACAGAGAGAGAAAGAGAAAGAGGAAGGAAGGAGCTTCTAGGCTCAGCTCTGGGTCGGATGAAGCCGGGTGACTTCGGCAGAGTTCAATCCCGCTGAGCTCTACGCCAGCGGGTCATTCATGTCGTCGTCGCCCTGGGAGAGAAGCTCCTTCTTTTCATCCGTACTAGCGAGAGAGTTGCGGCTGTTGTGGGCACCCATGTACAGCGTGGCGTAGACGGGGTTGGTGAAGTTGGTGGGCTGCCGGGCACACAAGATTACAAGGTTACTTAAATTGGTATGATGCAGAAGCCAAGTTTCAGTGAGCTTAATTTAGAACTTTTTCAGGCTAGAAAAAAAAAGATATAAAGACAAAGTGCATGGATTAATTAACTGATTTTAAACTCAAATTGAAAAAATAACTCAACTAAGGCAGTTTTACAGCTTTGGGATGTGACTTTAACTTATGTACACATTCTTTTTTTCTGTAGGTGTAAACAAAATGAAACGCATAGGTGCTCAAAGAGTAGTGTAGTGATTTCTGTAATGATCGATGCTTAAATCGAACTAAATCCCAAAACTCCCCCTGAGGCATTGGATATTCCTAACATTGAATACAGAATAATTATCTTTTGCCTACATAAATCTAAGGATGCAGGCAGTCATGGGCAACATCTACAGGAACTGATATATAAAGATCTGGCTGTTCCCAGTGTGCTGTACTCAAGTGTGTAAATAGAAAATGGTGGAAGGATAAAAAAAAAAAAAAAAAACACAGGTATAGATTAAGCCCAGAGAAGATTGTAAAGCAAAACCTAGGGAAGAGTTTAGGGGAGATTTACAAGGAAATTGGCTCCAGCTTGGCAGAGGCATAGCCAGGCAATAACCAATGTACACTGAGGGGTGGCCGAAAGTAGATAGGCACCAAACCTCACAGTAAATGTACACTGTTCCAACAGAAAAAATTAACGAGCAAAACATCCATATTTTCTAAATAAAGACAAACTATACTTTCCCACATCCTTTGCTAACAAATAGACGGATATATTCAAACATCTGTGCTTTATAAAAGGTATAGTGGATAAAATTGTTTCAGGTTTGAGTTTTGCTAGAACATCTTTTCCATTACTTACCTACTTTTATCAGTAATCATTCTGCATAGAATTGATATTTACAAGTACTAATATCTACATAAATTAATTATTTAATAAGTTTTTATTAAAATAGTTATTTATCTAGGATTTCAAGACTCCTAGATGACTTTTCTCTTTACCCCATAAAACACAAAATATATTTCTGCTTGATTTCTGTATTTATCATCTTTAATGTTAGTATATTGAGGTGCATAATTAATCAGTGTTTTTGTTGTCAAGTAATTGTTAATATATGAAAAATTTAAATGTTTTCAATATTCCACTTGAGAGTATTACTGCTGCCACCATCTGTATTAGAGGGAAATAAATAGTAGGGTGGCCACAGGGGTGGCCAATGATTGGCTAAGGGTAGCCATGGCCACCCCTGGCCCCCCATCTAGCTCCACCCATGCAGCTTGGGTTGGTGGTTCTAGAGCCACACAGACAAATCGAGGACCTGCGCTACAACTGCTGCTTCTGTTAAGCCATTCATGAACCAGATACAACATTAGGGCATTCCTACATGAGTAAAGGAGAACTCTGTGGCTAAGTTGTGTAAAGCCCACTTTTCTGCTGAAGTTAAAGCTGCATTTTAATGCGGAAACCAAGATGTTAGAATCCAGAGGAAGAGCAGAGTGGGAGAAAGTCCAAGCTGCTTAAAGTTTCTGCAGTCAGTTATGATTGGAGGAATGATGCCATCTGCTGGTGTTTAGTCAAGTCCAGTCTGACCCATTTAACAGAGGGTTTTAGATCACTCCATGCTTCCTTCTGATGCCATTTTTAATTTTTTTTTTAGGAGCCGATTCTATTTTTGAGCACTTTACAGCCTTCACACGCTGCCAACGTCATTGTAAGAGACATTGGCATAACTGTGCTCAATTAGTCAGTAGACTCCCTTCAACCCAACAATGCATTTATATGTTAATTCCTGCACATAGCAATCATACTAAGCATTAAGTGCATATGCTTTTTAGTATATGGAAATACTGTTTTGGTTTTAAAATATATTTTTCAATGTGTTGTAACACTTAATGTTACAACACATGTTAGGCTGTAAACCTGAATAATCAAAATATAAAGGGATGAACATTAAAATTTTATTTTAAATCACTAAGAAAAAGTCTCACTTTTTGAATGTTATTAATTAAATTTTTTTTTTAAGATAAAGTATTATAATTTAGTGAAAAGTACATTTAGGTTACCAGACTTCAGTACCTTCTCAAACGTGTAAACAGATCAAAAATACTGCAGCAAAAATCCTGTTTGATTAAAAATAGGCTAAATAACAATAGAGTTGATAAAGAAATTAAATAAAATAGTTAAGACAAAAATAACTTTGAGACCTTCTATGTTGGAGCTAGATGTCAAAAAGATTGTTAATGCACTCACTTAGGATTATTTAAATTCCCTTTATTAATGTTTTAAACCCTGTTGAAACTTTAAGGATGGGAGAAACTAGTTTTTAGAGCGGAAGCTGATCTGATTCCTGAATGGATGTAGGAACAAATCAAAGAAATCATGTCATGGGTGTTTCACAAAGTTTCTTTCATTGCGTTACCTTTTCTGGGTCCAAAGTGAAATCTGAATCTAGCAGCTCCCCAGCATCATCATCAGGATCTCCTTCATAGATCTTATAGGCCGGGTTCCCAATCTCAACATTCATGGCTCCGTTGGTCATGCGGTGATGCTGGAAGCCCTTCGCTCTGCACAGAGTCAAAAACACATTTATTAATCATCGTTATTTTCTTAGATATGCTGCTCTTTGGGAGAAACAATAACAAGCATACATCTATAGACATTTAACACAACCAAGACATCAATATAAGGTCAAATGAGCCTTTTTTGTTTAATTGGAAAAAGGCCATTTGATTAAAAATTAATTTTATATATAGCAGCACGTCTAGTTCAGGGAATACTGGACGTTGCAAATATTCGGCTCTTTGCAGGCTTGTGAACATTTAAAAAAAATGAATCCATAATTGAAGGTTTTCCTTGCAAGCATGTGGTGAGAGCCTAACATTTACACATTTAAACACAACATGAAGAAGTATGAAGATGCTGGAAAGGTGTAAAGGTTTTACTCCAGGTAATTACAATGCTCCCGCTCTGTTGCAGGGGGAGTCCCTGCAGGAAGGGGAACAGGGCACACAGGAAATGGCAAGCAAAGACAAAGTGACAGAAAGAAAAATGAAACAGACAAAAAGAAAAAAAAAAGCATAGCCACTCTAACTATATATAAGAAGGAGAAGGAGAGGAGGGGGCGAAAAAGCTGTGGGTGAACTATTTAGCCCTATCGAGTTACCGCGAGTACTGAGAGCGAGATTTGCCCGGGCACAGAGACCTGGGAGACAGGAGATAGAGGTGGTTATCAGAATGCAACACAGAAAGAGAAGTTGGAGAGAAAAGGGTGAGAAATGGAAGGAATCTAAAATTTATTTTTTTTGTTACTGTAAGTCAATACTCACCCACGCATTCTTCGCTTATACCACAAGATGGCGCCTACAACCAGCAGTGCCAGCAGCAGCAACAGGAGGATTGGGATCACAATGGAGGCGGAGCCTGTGAGCAAGCAAATAGGGTAAAAAAACAAGACCAAAAAAAAGATGTTTTCTTAGAAAATAGAGGTGGTAGTGAGCTGCTTGACTTACTGCCACCGGCAGCTTGAGACTCCACAGGTACAGATACTTCAAGGTCACACCTGTATCCAGACCATCCAGACGCACACCTGATGGCAATAAGAGATTAAGATGAGAGCTTAATCAAAAGAAAAGAAGGAGGAGGAGTAAAGGCTGGGCTTTCAGATCTTACCTGCATGTAGGAAGCAACGTGCGAGTGTCGAATGAACACTGGCCGTGAACACAGTATTCCAAGCATGTGTAGCAGCTGGACTGGGTTTGACCATTGGTGCAGCTTAACAGACACATGGAAAGAGGGTTAAGCCTCTTCACAGCCCAACTACAGCAGCTTGTCACACAGTTACAGCAAAAACCCAAATCTAACAAAGAGCTTAACATATAACTAGATTATCACTAATAGGTTCATTTATTATAGAAATATAAAATTCTGTCTGTGTGCAATGAAGCTATTCATTATGCAATAAATGCACAACTTTTTGTATGCTAGAAAATTGTCCATTAAAATTGTTCAATTTCTAAGACTAGTCTCCAAACATCCTTACTTGCAGGTAATTTCTCCCTTGGATGTCGTCCAACACTTGCCCTCCCCACAGAACTCGCACTTGTTGAGCTCACACTGGTGCCCCGTGTACTGAATGGGGCACTGACACAGCTTAGTGCCATTGGAGGTCTGTAAACAGGTTCCACCATTCTGACAGAAGCCTTCACATTTACCTGATGAGAGGAATAGGGGAATGGTGAGAAAAATAGCCACTATAAAACAGTTCAGTCCTTCTAACCTAAAGATCATCTAAAACTACCTAAAAATGCTGCCACTTACTGTACTGGCACTGGTCTCCTTGGTACTCGGGTTTGCAGCTGCAGGTTGGCTGGTTACCCATGCTGACCAAGCAAGTTCCTCCATTCATGCAATAATCCTGGCAGGTGTGGAGGTTGCAGTTTGGTCCTGTGAAACCTTTTGGACATCTACAAGTAGGTGTACCTGAAAAAACAACTTCCATTACTACACAACATGCACCCATCTTTGCTTTAAACCAATGCATTTTCAGCCCTTAATTTTAGTTTCTGTGTAGTGGAAAATTAGCTTAATGACATTAAGCATATGTAAAAAATAAATAAGCTACAAAAACTAAAAAGAATAAAGTTATAACTACTCACTGAATACTGAACTGCAGTCCATGGAAAGGTTTTTTTTTCTTGAAAACAACTTCAAAAATCTATTCCTTAGACACATTAGGTCTCATGCAAGAAACGTTTGTATGAATAAATTCCTACTTAAATTGTTCATAAAAATGATCTTGGAGTAAATGCTGGATTCACAATTTTTGTCACTATTTCAAATCATGAAAACTTTGCTCCAGACTTAACGTAAGAGTCTTGCGCAATACGTCAGCTGTTATCCAAACCTATTATTTCACTGAATTACCACATTTTTTGTCCATTTTACTAGGCTACATCATTATATAATATGCAACTCTGCAATCATAAATTAAATCTTTATTCACTGATGAAAGAAATCGGTCTCTACACTTGCAGCTGGCATGTCAAACCAGTGTCCACTGGTTTAATTTTGAGCTCTATGTGGGATCAAGCTAAAATTGAAATATGGAATAAAAAATGGACATAGGGTTCAGCAACTTGCTACCGGAAACTCTTCTAATGGTAAATGGTAAACATTCATAGCAGCTCCTTGGCTTTGTTTCTGCACAAAATGTGGAAAGTTTGTTTTTGTCTGACCTTTTTCCCGTCATCGTTTTTACGTTGCAGAGTTGCATTAGAGATATAAAGAGTAGTAGGCTCTTGAGAGATGGCAGATGTGGTCTGGAAATGTAGAATACACATGTGCGTGTGTATTACAAGGAGATTTAGCAGAATGTTGTCATGTTGGTTGATGACTCATAAGGTATTTACATCATATGTTGCCTCCATCAGTAGTTTTCATTAACTGTCTTGCTTTAGCTAGGCATGATTCTGTATTTTCTGATTAAATAATTATTATTTTTACTTCTGTAACAGTGCAACCATATTATTTAAAGCTCTTGTTATTTATTAACCATTGCTTGGGTTTTACTGGTCCTTTCTGCTACTCAGCTCTCGGCCAGCAGAACTGCAATCTCCGAACCAGTAAAGTCTCTGTTCTTTGTCTTAATTGCCCTTTCATGAATGAACACTTTCTGATATTGTTGGAATTTGTAGCCTTATATGGAATTATTTGGTTCATAGTTATGCAGATTTACATTTCTCAGGAACGTGCGGGCTCACTTAAGCACAGGTGGAGTACATCACGTTTACAAGGATCATTTTACTGAACATTTTTGGAATCTGATTTTGGTGCACTCATAAAAGCTCACAGAAGGAGAAATGTACAACAAGAATATCAAAATGTTTGTTGCATGAGGTCCAATTAATCTAAATTGTATGAGATTTTTATAAGCATGTTAGCCTGGCTGAAAATGGCCACTACAGAATGAGCCTACCTGTATGGGAGGAGGTGCAGGTTCCTCCGTTCTTGCAGTAGTCCCTGCACTGGTTGACCTCGCATCGCGGTCCGACGTAGCTGGGCTGGCAGCGACACTTTTGCACCTGATGGGCGTTGAAGAAGCAGCTCCCCCCATTCAGACACTGGATATTGCAGGGCTCCGATGGTGGAGCTGTCCAGGGAAGATTGGAGAGGAGGACATCACGTTAAACCCCTCTGGCGGCTGAGATTCATTGTAATGTTGATACATATGCAGGACTTACAGAAAGATGAAGAGGTGGGGCTCGGTCTCTCAACGCATGTACCATTGTCTGCAATGTAATTGTTGGGGCAGGTGCAAACAGGTCCACTGGGGCTGAGAAGACACAGCCACTCGCACTTCTTCTTGTCACATGGGTTAGGTACTGATGCAAAGATAGATTATACACTCTGTAAAAACCTTCAGAGTCTTTAAAGGCATATATTATGGTTTAAAAATGTTTTTCTACTCACTGTCTGGCTGCTTGTAACGGTGGTACAGGACTATGTCAGTGGCATGGTTGATGCCAGTTGTGAGGTTCTCCATTGAGCCTTTGCCAAACTTGTTGACCCGGAAGACGAAATTGTTCATGTAAGTGACTCCGTAGATGTAGTCCTCAAATATATCTATGCTGAAAGGATGTAGCAGGTCTGAAAATAGAGGAGAGACAAGGAGAAAAAAAAAAGATTAAAGCAATAAGTTGAAGTTTCTGGATTTATTCAGATCAGCGAGGAAGGAGCTCAACTGTTTTTGATGCCAGAGATGGCGATGACGGGATCTGAGCCATCCAAACGAACGCTGCCGATGACCGAGAGCTTAGCATCAGCCCAGTAAAGGCGCTCGTTGAAGTAGTCCACGGCTAATCCTACAGCAGCAAATGAAATAAGGAGAATTTAAATGCTTTCATTTGCTTGGGACTTATTCAGCCTAAAAGAATCATTCTGTGATCATGCAGCACAGACCTGTTGGCCACTGGATGTTTTCATGAACAAGAGTCTGCCTAAGAGTGCCGTCCATGGCAGCCGTCTCAATTTTAGGATGGTTTCCCCAGTCTGCCCAGTACATGGTGCTAAGGAGACACAATACACAGTTATAGGAATCAGAAAAAAACACCTAAAAATAAAAGGTTCATCTTACAAAAGTATTTTTATACATTTATATAGGTAGGGGCCCTTGTCCTAAAAATTTTTCCCAGGCCTAGCCAAGACGTTCCGCTGGCCTGATTCTATCTACATGTAATGCGATAAGTGTGACAGAAAATGCAGAAACACAGGATCAACATAATGAAACATGGTAGTGGCTGCATCACCATCATCAGCAATGGCATGCTGGTCAGAGATGATGGAGGATTAAAACAGCAGGAGAGTAACAGTAAATACACAGCCAGCAGAGTCTCCTCTGGACAAGACGCAGATGTCCATCTACATCTTAAGGACAAAGGACACTCCTTTGAGGACCAAATTGTTCATGTTGGACAAAGAAGACAGGTGCTTTGAAATTGGTGTGAAGGAAACCAGTTATGTTAAGAGAGAAAAACCAACCTTAAACAGAGGGGGTGGACTCAGATTTCAGCTCTTAAAAATGTACAATACAGCGATAGAGTTAATTCCTTTCCGCTATCATTTCACACCTCATCGCCATGAAGGGGACCAAAACATCTGACCAGGCCAACAATGACCTTAATGACTCCCTTTTCAGAGGAATAGGCCAGTATCAGGTTTTGCAAGCCAACAACAACCTCAACGACTCCCCATTACTAAGGGGTGGACCTTTTTTTTTTCGGTTCAATTTGCATGTTTTCTAAACCATAACAAGGCTTTTGTTTTGGCCACTCTATAAGCCTGGAACTCAAACGCTACTCCAGACAATTTGAATTGAGAAATCTTTCTGGAGTGGAAGCAAAACGTCTTCAAACTTAAAAAAAAAAAAAAGTCCAGTGGTTTGTTTTTTAACCTTTTTTGGGGAATATTTTGTAAGACTTAAAAGCTGATTTTTTATAGGTGCTCTAGATCCAATCCGATTGAGCTTGATCTATTTTGCTGGTACAGACAAACCCAAAAGTCATAATGTGCAGCAAATCTTTTGATTTGAAAGCCACATTTATCATATTTCTATTTTTTCATTCAAAACATTCAAACATGTTTCTGACCTTCTCTGTGGATCCACAACGATAGCATAAGGCTCATCTATCATGCCAGAGATGAGCGTCTTGCAGTGCTGCCCTGACATCTGAGCCACTTCAATGACGTCTCGACCAGAGTCAGTCCAGTACAGGTTCCCAGCCACCCAGTCTACTGCTATACCGCGGGGCATCTTCAGCTCTTTGATCTAAACATGAGCAGAAAACACCATTAAAAACTGATCAGTGGGGATTTTCTTTTTTTTTTTTAACCTCAAATTTTTCAGCTTTACCTGCAGGTTGGTGATACCGCCTTCATTCTGCTGTCGGCTGCCGTGAGAGTTTGAGGAAGACGAGGACGAGGATGAAGACGAGGACTGCTCCGGGAGCTCGTAGGAGGAGATCCGGCCCGTGTGCCAGTTAGTCCAGAAGATGCGGTTGCTCTTAACGTGCAAGTCCATGGCGTCGATTCTCACACTGGCATCACCCTGAAATATCTGCTCATAGCGCCAGTTAGGCATGCCGGGGTCCAGGCTGCGGATCTCATTGTCATCGGCTATGTAGAGAATCTGTCGGCTGCTGTTCATGCCTTGGAGGAGAGGAGGGAGAGCTTATAGCAAAGATTCTCAATATTCATTTCCGGTGTTTTGAGAAGTTAAAAACTAACAGTGGTCTGATCCTTACTGTCAGCCTTGCAAGTGTCATTGATCCTGGTAAAATATTTGTAGCAGCTGCATTTGTAGGAGCCCTTGGTGTTGTTGCAGATCTGGGAGCAAACTCCAAACTGTAAACACTCATTCTTATCTGGGAGACAGAGAACAGGAAGGAAATGTCAGTGAGAAAATACTAGAAACCTATTCCTTGAGTCTAAAGTGTAAGAAAGTAAGTTACTGCAGCGAGTTATATGACATGCCCTGGTGTGCTCTGCAGCTATACCTCCACAGGTGCGGTGTCCTTTCTTCTGGAAGCCTGGTTTGCAGGAGCAGAAGGAGTCCGTGCCATTTGTGACACAATGGGCCTCGTCTCCATCGCCGCACTGAGTGCTGTTACTGCGACAGTCGTCCAGCCTTTTGTCTGCGATCGAACAAGCAAAAGTTGAAGATGAGATGGAGCATTCAGAGGTCCCATGTCTCAGAGCTTGGATGTTAGGTCACAAAGATACCTGTTTTGCAATTGATCTCGTCAGACCCAAAGTCCTCGCAGTCATTAAAGAAGTTGCAGCGCAGGTTGGAGCTGATGCATCTGCCGTTTGAACACAGGAACTCATCCTTCTCACAAGTGGGAGCAGATTTGTGGGCCTCTGTGGATGCAACCGCAGACAGGTCGGTAACAATCCATGCTGAAATATTACAGATTTTCTCTAATCTGAGCTTTCTTGGAAAGGCTTCTGTGGTTTCCCTCAAACATGTTCAATATTTCCTCCATCTGAACCATAAACCTTGTGTTTTATTGGGGGGTTTGCAAAACAGACCAGGTTTATTGAGGGGAACATTAACGAGGGGGGCAAACTTTTAGAGGCTGTGAAAGATTGAGACCAGGTTCACCTTCTACTGAGGCAAATAACCTGAACATGCAACCAGAGCTACAATGAATTGGTTTAGATCAAACTACCCATGCCTTTAAGATTTTTAATTTGAGGAAAATGTTAGAAAACCACATCACTGTCCTACATCTGATTCAGACTTATGGTTGTAATCATCTCCAATTCTTACCACAGTTGAGTTCATCCGAGTTGTCTCCACAGTTATTAACACCGTCGCACCTCCTCGACATGTGCAGACACACACGGTCGTTAAGGCAGCGGAAGACCCTGGTGGGAGGACACTGGAACTTCCCTGAGAGGAGAGAAGAAAAAAAAAATATGTCAGAAAACAAGATTGCGATTAAGACAGTTAGGAAGTGTGGAGCTGAACTCACTGCATTCGTCTGGATTCTCATCAGAGTTGTCGCCACAGTCATCTTCCCCATCACACTTCCAGGCAAGTGGTTTGCAGAGAGTGTTGTTGCACTGGAACTCGTTCTGAGGGCAGTGACGTCCTGCTGAGAAACAAAAGAATGAGGTAGAGGTGTGTTTTTATTATAGTCTTTGAGCACTATTTCATTTTTGGTCATTAATAAGCTGAAAGTGAAGCTTACAAAAGACTTCAGTGTCACAGCAGCCTAAATACCCATAAAACCCCAAAACTGTTTCAGGAAACTTCTCTTCATGTTTCTTAAGGGCCCCAAAGTTGTGCTGAAGTCCATCCAACTGGCCCAATACATAACCAGCTTTTAAAATGTCCATGAGTGAATCTTAAAAGATGGTATCCAATTAAATACTGCATCCAAGTGGATTCATGTGATTTTTAACACTGCACATATAGATACTACTGTGGCTGTACTTTTATATATGATGCTGCTTTATTTCATAGCTTTTTTTGGATCTTAAGCCACTGAACTCTGGATCATAAGCTGTTAAAGATAAAAAAAAAAAACACCTTCGAAAAGGCTAAATAAATAATGGAGAAGAAAGATTGGAAGAGCCTCTGGTTTATGTGAATCAAAAAACAAAAACTGGTTTAAACTACATTTGCTTTCAGTCACAGGATTTATTCCTCCAGGGAAAGGCTTACCGGCGCTGCCGCAGTTCTCCTCATCACTGCCGTCCATGCAGTCAGGGTCAGAGTCACATCTCCAGCGGATGGGGATACAGTGACCACTTTTACACTGGAACTGGTCGTTGTCACACTTCAGATCACAGCCATGCTAAAGATAAGGAATGTCACACAGAGTGAGTTTACAATCAGATGTTACAAATGACTTGATGTAGAGGCCTGTAAAGAAGTCTGCTGCTGCAGACACTAAACTAAAATCTGTTAGCTTTTTACTGTGAAGGACATTTAAATCTGCCTCATGTGACAGGGTTTGATTTAAAAGGTAAAAAAAAAAGAAAAAGAAATCTGAAGTAATACACAAAATTTTTTTATATGCGAAATGAAGATGCATGCCGTGCCCAATAAAAATGTCATGAAAAAAGAAAACCCGCTTAATAGGCAATACAGTTTAAATCATTTTTTAATGTAAAGGTCTGACAAAGATATTCTCATGATGCTCTCCTGAAGATAAAGTCTCCTATGCAAAATATTTTATCTCTAGTAAAGCAAGGAGAGCTTCTTTTTACCACACATTTATGTAACAAGGCAATCCAAAGCAACCAGTTCAAAACTTTCAAAAGGAAGCTGCAGGTTATCATTTTTTGGTTATCTGTCAGAATTGCGTAATTTTCTAAATGTATGCTGTGTGGAAACAATTTATGACATTCCTTAAGAGAAACAAATAAAAACCTCAGCATCAAAAAGTCAATCAAGCACCCCTACCTCATCAGATCCATCAGCACAATCGTGATCTCCATCGCACTTCCATCTGCCAGCGATGCAGCGGCCGTTTGTGCAGGCGAACTCACTCTCTGAACACTGTCGAGGCTCTGAAGAGGGGGGGAACTCAGTCACTGACAAACACTGACCAAAGTCAGGTGAGCAAAATTTTACCGGAGATTTAAACACATATATGGGTAAACCACAGTTCACAAGATGGTGTGAGAGACTGCAAGGAGATGGCGCTTTGATTTTTGCTTTCATTCATTCTTAATTTTTAAGAGACTATATGATTTAATCAAAAAGATTAGAGAAATGAGTATTAACGGCTCTGCTTGTTGACTCTCACAGGTCGGTGGGACAAAATAGGGGCTGGAAGGGACACAGCAGAGACATGGAGGTGAAAGAACTTACCTCTGGCTCAAACCAACAGGACAGTATGAAATGAAACAAATATATGATGAGGTGAGATGCTTTAGAAATGTTAATGCAATGACTTTACATTTAAACTTGTCAAGTTGTTAAATGTTACAAGTAGAAACGTGATTTTTTTTACTAGTGGATGATATATGCGGAGTAGTGGTAGTGGAAACAGCAAGATAATAGATGCAGAGAGGATTAGGAACAGAGGCATTGTTTAGCTGCTAAGAGCGACACTTACGACATTTCTCTTCGTCCGAGTTGTCACCGCAGTCGTTGTCATAGTCACATTGCCAGCGGCCTGGGACGCAGCGGTTGTTCTTGCATCGGAACTGGTAAGGCTCACACGTCCTCTCAGCTGAATGATTTACATAAAAAAAGGTTGCAGTAAACAATATATACCTGTGAACATCTGCATCATCAGCTTCTCTGCAGGGTAGATAAATCCTACCGCATTCTTCTTTGGGTTCATCGGAGGAATCGCCGCAATCGTCTTCGCCGTCGCACTTCCACCGTGCGGGGATGCAGCGTCCGGAGTCTTTGCACCGAAACTCATCCACACCGCATGTCATCTGAGCTGCAGGGAAGATGAGCATTTGGCCAGGGTTTAGTGATGCCCATAAGAGGAACATAGAATAAGGTGATGGGGTCGGTAAAACTGGAGTCTTACTGCAGTTGGCTGGTTCATCAGATCCATCTGCGCAGTCATTGTCCCGGTCACACACCCAGAGGCGGGGTATGCAGCGTTTGGTCATCGCACACTGGAATTGAGTGGGAGCACATGTGACCTCAGCTGTTAGGGGGGGAATAAAGAGAATATTATTAGTTATGATTTAAAATGAGTGTTTTAAAAACTAAGAAAAAATAATCCCTTACGGCAGTCCTTCTCATCTTCGCCCTCTCCGCAGTTTTCTTGGCCGTTACAGCGGAAGATTCCTGGGATGCAGCGGTTCGGGTGGGAACATTTGAACTGGCTGGGCAGGCAAACGTGAATATCTGGGAGAGAAGATTCAAAGCAAGAGAATGTACTTCTTTTTCCTTTTTTGTTTAGGAATTATTTATAAAGTCTGAAGACATTTATAGCTGCGCTGATTTTAAAAGCAAAGCAAAGACCTACCACAGTTGGCTTCATCTGAGAAGTCCTGGCAGTCGTTATCTCCATCGCAGATATAAGCAGGGTTGGTGCAGATGCCTGTGCCACACTGGAATTGTCCTGGTCTGCATTTGAACGCCGCTGCAAAAGATAAGTCATGGTTTGTCAACATCCTGCTCAGCATGAGTAGATTTACGATTTCATCTCCTCCAGGTTTCTTTTTCATGCAGAGATAAAGCCTGCTTACGACAGTCTGCCGGCTCATCAGATCCATCTCCACAGTCATCCTCTGTGTCGCATTTCCACCAGAAAGGAATGCACTTGTCGTTCTTGCACACAAACTGGACCAGAGAAAAAAAAATAATTCCGACTGGGAACAGAACTCGAGCCACGTGGCATGAGTACAGAAGAAAGCAGATGACAGAAATAACTATGATTCAATCATAGAGTTTTAATAAAGAAAATGAGTGAGTCTTAACCTTTCCTTTTAAGGTATTCTATATCATAAATTCAGAAATCATCTGACGCAGATGCAAGTCTAAGCGTAAAACAATCAAACCAAAAATAAATAAAAATCACACAAGATAGTAAAGGTGATCATGGTTATTTTTCAAAAACAAAATGACAAACTAATTAAGATAAAATAATACATCCCAGTAATTAAAGCAGCACAAACTGGCATGACTAAAATCGTCTGAATAAATTGTCAAATCGATTTGTCCCACTTTTATTTCAAAGAAAATTTTGCAATGACAAAAATGTTCTGTTGGGAAACAGTTTAATGTTTAGGTATAATAGTAATATGACTTGGGAAAATCCTGGGCAGCCAGGAAATCTCAGCAACGAAAATATATTGCTTTCCAACTCCGATCAGAACAGTGACATTTCCCTGACTGATTGAATTCTTAAAAAACATTTTCTGAACCACATTGAAAAACTTTAGAATCCACATTCATGGACTGCATTCCCAGAAAGCAGGGTGTGGAAATTCCAAATTTGCTTGACCTTTGTACCTTACTCACTAACATGGGCATTTGGTCTTTTGCCTTGCTCTTCTGGTCCTTCTGTAATCGTTTTTTTTTTTTTTTGACAAGGAAAAAAGAAGTGTTTTTTTGTTTGTTTTTAAATCAACCCTGGCCTATTTGTGTGTAAATATATCAACTTAAACAACAAAGATATTTATAACAGAATATGAAGTGAGTTACAGCATAAATACTAAAAGCTGCTTTCTCAATTACACCAGAATAACAATTGCTTCATTTGATCACTTTTTATTATGAATCTTTATTTCAGCATTACTACTTTCTGCACTCTGTTTTTTCTTCCTTTAAAGTTTAATATCATTTAGATTTTTATTCACCTGTGTCGATGCATATATTAATAACTATATGAATTCTTAAGGATATCTAAATTATTATATCTACTGTTTACTTTTATATGTTTGCAAAATGTTTGTTTTATCTGTATGGTACAAATACCCTGGAAGCTTGAACACATCTCTTTATATAAAAAATAAGAAAAATAATAACATGGACATTTTTAAAGGGGAGGCTTGACATGGATGGAACAGAGAGAAAAAAGAATAACACTGAATGTTTACACCTCTTCCTTTTTTTTAATACTTCTGCAGACATGGGAGCAACTTAAAGTACATTTGTTACTCTTTAACTACTTGGATGAAATGCTGAGCCCACAGCCTGCTTACCTGGCTCGCTGTACAGTTGGACATGCACGTCCGCTGGTCGCTTGCCAGATAGAAGTTAGTAGGACAGGCACATTTGTAGCCTCCTCCTGGTGAAAGGAGGCAGAGGTTGCTGCAGCCACCGTTGTCTGTCTGGCATGGGTGGTTGAGAACTGTGAAGGGACATTTGTTTTACAGCAAAAAACTGGTAAGCATTCAATCTTGCCCTGAAATATTTTTGTGAATCACTATCAAGAGAAAAAAAATAACCAAACTTTCTAAAGCTCTTACCTGGGGGCTGGCGGTAGGGATGGTAAATGTGAATATCCATGGGCCGGTGCAGAGTGTTTATCAGGGTGGTCTTATTGGTGCCCATGGTTTTATGTGCCCTGTTAATAGACTTTGTCTCCCAGTCCGTCCAGTAGATGTACTCCTCAAACAGCGTCATGGCAAAGATGTGAGGGATGTCATGGTTAAGAACTGTGGAGCATAAGACAATTTTCCAGTCAGATCCTAACAGTTGACCACTGTAAATTAGTGTTTAGGTTTTCAGGGACAATTTCAAGTCTTTTTCATCATCTTAATGTTGTCAAAGCGATAAATACAAAGTGACAATTCATAATGGTGTCTTTGCTTCCTCTGTAAATGAGAAATGGTGTATTATGAGAGGTTTATGTGTGAGAATCGAAAGGCATACCCAAAAGAACTCAACGTTTTTTCCAGAGTTAACATTACAGACTCAAAATAGTGGAATAGTGGAATGACTTTAATACGTCTGTTTAAAATGATAGATGAGAGGACAGCAGTAAGAAAGGGAGTCTCCCTGCATTTAAAATCTTTCAAAAATCAAAGCTATTATCTTCACTCAAACTGTTTCACACATACCTTCATAACTGTGTAATAAAAATTTAAACAAACATTACTGTCAGTCTATTATTTTTGTTGTTATTTTTGATGGATTACAAAGGTAATAGATGATACAAATGTTTAAAGCTTAGTTATAATCAAAAGTAATCTGAATTGATCTGGCTTTTCTTCTGCCTAAAACCAACTTCAGGACAGTAAAACAGAAAATACATTTATCAGATCATTTTTGGGACGCATTGGGGTTTAAATCTTAAGTCTAAATGATTAATTAATTAGCACACATGCCATTACCTTCAAGATATCTGCCTAAACCCAAAAGTCCATCAAAGCACATGCTGTTGGTTGATGCACTTTTGAAGAGAAAATGGTTCAAGCTAGATTTGTTTCATCAAAAATTAAGAAAAAGAAAATGGTAGCTAACCTGTAGATCACATATCTAAGCTGTTACAAGAGAAAAATGACTTGATTTCCATCTCTGACCGATTAAACTATGCACCTCTGAAACAGTGTTGGTTTGCTGTCAACATAGAAGTATAAATATCACCCAGTTTCCACTGATTATGGTTCTGATGCCTATAGTGAAGTATAACAACAGGACCCCAGTGGATTGAGGCAAACCACTAGATGATAGATATCATTCGGTGGAGTCACATATCATATTTATGCAGTAAATAATGCAGGTGAAGTTTTTCAAGCTACTTTAGAAGATGCATGTCAAAAAAGGAAACTACAAAAAGCAAAACAGGTAAAAAGACCTGGGGTCTCGTTTATAAAGCCTGCACTAACACAAAACTCAGGGTGCACATGTGCAGTCGCTCACTCCAACACTAACATATCTGTACAAATACGGACCTTAGGAGGAAATTTGAAAATTGATTGTTCCCTCAGACATAAATCATCCCATCATATGAAAACATTCCTGTCAGCTGTTACCTGTGCAAATTGGTCGCAAACATAATCAACAATTAATTGACTGCCTCCCTTAAACCACTTTTAGGGAACAAACAAATTCTGTGAATTCATCCATGAATCTGAGATATCAGTCAGCAATAGGTGACTGATATCAGACTCTGAGTGTGCCATTAATAATACTTCATTTTATTAATTGTAGATACCAAATATATTTACCTGGCTTACACCAACATCTTGGTTAAAATGCGATTTTTCTGCTCCATTGGCTGCCATTAGTAGCCATTAAATAATATCGATCAACTGGATCATTTAAATAAACAATGGCAGCAATGCGGTGCTTTATGGTTGAATGTTGGTATGAACATGGGTCCAACATAAAGTGGAGCCTCGGATGCAAACTTTGCGGCACAACTATGATCTATAAAGGAAAATGGCTTGGTTTTGTGCATGCAAATGGTTTTAGAAATCAGGAATTATTTTGCCGTACTGTTTTATAAATGAGACCCTGGGAATGTACCAGAACATCAAGGCACTGGAACGTTTGAATTAATAGAAATTTTTTTTTTTTTTTCAGCACATTTAAAACCATGAAAACCTTCAATTAAAATTTAACTAATTATTTTAATTCAGAACAATTTTCCTTATTTTAGACAAAAAGGGGTTTTTGTTGTACAATGGTCTGCTTTCCTAAACAGATGGAAGGGAATTGTGCAAACAACCCCCCGAAAAGTACATTAGAAATCCATACAGTAAGATGGTGAGCAAATGGAGCAATCTATAGCAGCAAATAAAGTCCTGTTCTTCCGGCTCAGGTGTTCCTGCAGAGAGAAACTTCCTGTTCTGTTAATGTAAAACTAAGTGAACAGATAGTCTCCATCATATCCATGTTATGCAATAACATCTACACCTCATTAGGTTTTACAGTCGAATTGCTCTTCTTTTTCTTGTGGTGACACATGTATGTGGCGTCTCATTCATGCTGATTGTACTTTAGAGACAGTGGGTTCAATAAACCCACAGAAGCAATTTAAAAACACACATCTGACAGAGCAAACATGGAAACCTGGTAACACTACTTAAAAAACTGTAAGTAATAATAAAAAATCAGCAATGATTTTCACTGATTATCCTCTTTAATGCAATTAATACATAACGGTAGTTTTACAGCCTTGGAACAAGCTCGGATATTAGCTGCATTAGCTCAAAGTGCCCTTCAGTATGTCCTTATCTCAATCCTGCTCCTCAAGCACAAAGGAAGCTACAGAGGTGCTTAAAAAGTATGTGACATAGTGAAGTTATTGATAAATAGACAACAAAGCTGCTGTGTGATTATGAAAGAAAATATCTTTTGTAACTGACGAGCACAAAGTTTGATAAGAAGTTTGATTTATTGATTATCTCCAATCATCAACCAATATTAATTCTAAAATATTTAGCAACAATAATTTAAACTGTTTTATAATATAATAGTATTATACGGTACTATTATATAGAAATAAAAATAGAAAAAATAGAAATAGTATTTCTATTTTTTTAAGAATATAATTTCACTACTTTGCACTGAAACTGTGCTGGTAAAATCTCAAAATGATGTACATCTTAACAGTGAAGAAACTAAAACTTGCCTGCCATCTCTTCCAGTGCTTAACAAAGTTTATGATAAAATCCGGCGTGATTTCCTGATAGTGTGCTAACTGGGTTAGACGTTGTTCATCAGACATTAATTCATTGGTAATTAATCATAAAGCTAGGCAAAAAGAAAAAAATGGAAAAAGTTGTAGCACTCCCCAAGGCGCTGTTCTTGGGTCACTCATATTTATCACGCACATGCTCCACCCCCCTGTCCTGCTTAGTGTAAAGAGTTGTCCAACTTTTTTCATATATTTGCTGATGATATACAACTTTATATCACTGAGCAATTTCATAACCATAGCCAAATATGATCCTGGAGTCAATAAATCTGTAAGTGATGGAACAGATAATTCTACTAGCAAATGCAAATGAGATGGAAATCTTTGTTTCTAGTAACGAAAATGCAAGGATAGCAGTCAGTGTTTAAGAGAGCTAAACACAATAATACTTGGAGTTGTGGTGGATCTAAAATCTTAACAACAGCATTAAGTCTGTTAATAAATCACCTAAAAAAATAAAAATCCATCAATCAGACATCATATTAAAAAAGCTGCTGTCCCCATCTAGTCAACACTGGAAGAATGGATCATAATATATCGGATCATAAACTATTGCACACAGATGTAAAAGGATCTGCTTGACAGTTTTGCTATTGGTCCATAAAGCACTAAATGGTCGGGGAACAAAATACATTTCTGCTTGGTTAGTAATAAAACCATTTAAGTTAACAAGAGAATAATAAAGAAATGTTATTAATAGTCTCACTATCCACGTGGTTTTTCTTTAAAGTTGTAGAGATAAAAAAATAAATAAAAAAAATGAATTTGTGCTTTTAAAACGTAGTGGAGTGTGTCAAGGAGATGAGTTTGTTCTTTCAAAATGAGTTCAGTTCTCATGGTTTAACAGCTTTAGTAGAGTCCAACTTCAAGCCATTTTACATCATATCCTTACCCTTAAAAATTTTAAGACCAAAAAAATACACAAAGTTAGGGGTTAACATATTAATCTGTTCCTAAAAAATGAAATATCACAAAGCTGGAGTTGCAGCAAAGTTCTGAACGGTAACTTCACTGAAACATAGATGAACTTCATGTTTTTTTCCTGTTGAATGTGCAGACATTACATTGCTATGATAAAGAAAACAATATATGGAGTTTAAAAACTTTTTGAATCTAAATAACATTCAGTTTAATCAAATTACCACGGATTGTCTTAAATGCCTTTATATAAGAGGTTTTAGATAGAAAAGGCAGTGATTTTGCCAAGGACTATATAGTTTCCATTTTCTGTTGGAAACTCAAAACCCGAATAATCAATTAAGCTGAGAAAAAAGAAAATCAACTTTCTATGTAGCCAATTAAAGATAAGGAAACATATAAATCTGTGTAAAAATCCAAACTTTTTAGAAATTTCATCAGTTTAAAGTGACAACTCTATATATGGGAGTAAAAGAATATTAAAAATCCTGAGTCTGACATTGTTGAAAAAAGAATATGGGCAAAGATGCCGGAAAAAGCCAAACACATTCTTTAAACACATTGTTTCTTTTCCTAAAAAAGCCTGAAAATGATTTCCTTTTTAGTGAATTAATTCAGTTTCAATAATTATTTAGGTTCATAGATTAATCTTGAAGTTGTAAATGGTATAAACTGGTATGGACATGCTGAACCCACATTGAAGAACTGTTACCTGTGTGTCTGCTGGTCCCGTCCAGGCTGGCAAACTCAATATAGTCCTCTCTGGCATCTGCCCAGTATATCCGATCATTAACAAAGTCCAAGGTCAGTCCGTTGGGCCAGGTGATCTTATCCTCCACGATAATTTTTCTGTCCGTGCCGTCCATTCCAATTCTTCCAATGTGAGGGTTATCACCCCAGTCGGACCAGTAAAGGTATCTAACCAGCAGTTAACACAGATTAACTTGAGTTACAGATGCCTAAATCTAAATCTTCAACGTTACAGGTTAAAAGTCTCTTACCCATAGCGGACGTCCACAGCAACAGCCCGGGGTTCCCTAAGCCCACTGTTAACCAAGACCGTCCTGTAGGCCCCATCAAGCTTCGAGACCTCAATTGTATCTCGACCCTTGTCACACCAGTACAAGTTTCCACCAACCCAGTCAACAGCCAGACCATCTGGGTTATTCAGGGAGGTTCGGTGTAAAACCTGCCAGATTATTCAAGCAATAGAAAAAAATAAACTTTAATCGGCTTGACCTAATAACCATCTCTGATTTTTTTTCAAACATTTATTGAGCTTTACTTCTGACCTCCATGTTGGTTCCATTCATGTGCATCCGTCGAATCATGCTTCCCTGAGTGGTCACATCTGTCCAGTATATCATCTGCTCTGCGTAGTGAAAGTCCAATGCTACAGCATTGTTCAGACCCTAAATAAACATGACATATCAGAGCTAATAGTTATCTTTACACTGAGAGAGTTTTTTTTTAAAGCCATGAACCAGACACCTCACCTGTTTTATAAGGGTGTAGTTGGAACCATCCAGGTTGAGCTTTCTCAGATAGTAGCGATTTGCAAAAATTAAATATGGCTCCACTTCTGCACAAATGTAATTTAAAACACATTATTCAGGACTGACCTACACAGGTCCAAAGTGTGAGTAATGAATCCCACCCATGGCTGCCTTACCCGAGGTGGACTTGCAGATGGTGGGGTCATTGGGGCTGACTTCAAAGCCGTCTACGCACAGACAGCGGAAGCTGCCGTGTGTGTTCAGGCAGTGCTGAGAACAGGGGTAGGTGGTCGTGCACTCGTCTATATCCACACACGTCTTCCCATCGCGCTTCAGCTGGAATCCAGGATGGCATCTGCACTGCAGGGACCAACAACAGAGAGCATGTGTTAAATCCCATAGAAGCGGTCATTCAAGCAATCCTCACAATTATTTCTTTGGTTGTGCTCCACTTTCCCATGATTCAGAGTGAAACACATGCATGTGGCCCGCGCTCTCTCTCCTTCTCCAAGTATGGGAATAAGAAACTAAGGGAATATATTCAAAACAAAAACCCTTTTTCCCACATTTCTTACTTGTGAAACCTCCATTCACATATTTGACACTCTAAAATCCTTGCAAAATACCTTTGACTCAGTCATATATTATAAAGCAATATATCTTCAGGTCAAACAGCATTAATTTGATTAGCTTCTTGAATTTGGCGTGATCATTTTGATGAGCTGCAGACTCTTTTACTGATATCTTGCTTTCAAATTTGCCCATTTAGATCTACTCATCCTTACATTTAAAGATCCGTTTTAACTTTGTCTGACCAAAACTTCACAGGTTTGCTCTGCTGTTTACATGGTTCTTATCAAAAGCACCAAATGGACCTCTATGGGTAGGGTCCCTCCACTTCACAATTCTTTTCTATTTTATGTTTCATTTGTCACATAAAACACAGCAAAGTGTGTGGATTCAATGTTTGCATTAAGGGGACATAAATGTATGGAGGTGGTACAGACACTAGACCTGATCAGAATGTTCCTTTGCCAGCAGAAAGCAAGTAACATGTTTGTCAGTTGAAGAAGCTCTGCCCTAAATATCTGCACACCACAGCTGAGGCAGTTCACACAGAGTTCAAGCTGCCCCTGAACTGGCCTCCTTTCAGATATGAAGTCCAAAACAAATTTTCATTCTGCATAACTGTAAACCTGAAGAGAAGGATGTCAGATCTTTTCATACCAGAACCTCCTGAACAAACAGCAAAGCAGTTTCTGTTAACCCCATGCTCCCAGTTGAAGGTCTGTCTGTTTTATAAGAAGTGAAACCAAACAGAAGGGAGATATCTTACTTTAAAGCCGATCTTGAGGTCGTCGCAGAGCTGCGAGCAGCCGCTCAGCTTACTGTTCAGACATTCATTGATGAAGCAGTTGAGTTCGTCAGAGCCATCGCCGCAGTCATCGTTCCGGTCGCACAGCAGCGTCTCATTCAAACACTTCTTATTATGGCACATGAAGGCTGATTCATTACAAGTCCTCTCTGAAATCACAGATGTACTGCGTCAATGTAACAGCTTACATCCATTTTTCTAAGATTCACAGTTATATAATTTGCAATTGATTATCGGCTATAAAATAATCGAAAATATGTAGCTGATAACTGAAAATAAAATCTGCTACAGGAAAGACAAAAAAAGGATAATCTATAACATCTTTGATGATCATTGGACATTGTGTGGAGAAACGTGAAAATCAAGAAATAAAACAAAAATACAGAGAAAAATATATAAAATGAATTTATCTCCTTAATTTGCAGCTGGTCTGCAGCAGTTGTTTTGTAAATTTGCCAAATGTCACACATACAACACATTTATCCTATGGTTTAAACCATCCATATAGTAATCCATGATCTTCATTTATAGGTATTCTTATTATGAAACATTAAGCAAGAACATGAATTAGCACCCCTTAAATTTTGTGGTAGTTTTTATGCACTCATGGTGCAGAATATTATACTGTTTTTCAAGCATTGCAAGCTCCCGTTAGCTGGTTAATTAGCCCTGCTGTCTGCTGCAGCAGGCAGTCTGCAGCTGGCTGCTTGGCATACAGTTAATGGTTTTCCCATCTGTTATTTTTCCACATTAGACATAAACAAGCACATTTTTTGTTTCGGGTAAAGCAGCCTTCTTTGACCCAGCTTAATAGCAGTGTTATAGGCAGTGATATGTTTTTTTTTTCTGCCTTAGTAAGTTGTCAGTCTGGAACCTTCTCCAGCATTGCAAGGACTTTAAAACATGGTAATAGAAAAGTGTTTGGTTCCCAAACTTTCCGTATACTTAATACCTGTAACCAATTTTTATTCCATGTATTATTTTGTGCAAAAAAGGAATGCATTTATGGTGAAAATACCTGAATCTATGCAGTGAGGATTTTTGGGAGCTTCGTCAGAGTGATCTGGACAGTCAAACTCTCCATCACACTCCCACTTCTTCTGGTTAAGGCAACGACCGTTGGCACAGCGAAACTCATCTGGGCCACATGGCGGATATTCTATACAAAAAGCACAGCTTATAGAACCTTAACCTCACAAAAAGCAGGTAGCTGAACAAGGACACAACCCATTACTAGCTTTATACAAATTCCTATATAATAGTATAACATAGTAAAACTAACCACATTCTGGGGATTCATCCGACCCATCGGAGCAATCAATATCATGGTCACACACAAAGTGCTTAGGGATGCACTGTCTGTTCTGACACATGAACTCATTCTTGGTATCACATGTATTGTTGGTGTACACTGAAAGCAGAAAGAATTCATTTTATTAAAAAACAAGATTTTCTGTTTTTTTTTTTTAATAGTCATTTTTTTTTTCATCTGCCTTACTGCATCCAGCTTTGACGCTCTCATCAGCTCCGTCGGGGCAGTCATTATCTCCATCACACTTCCAGCGCTGAGGAACACACACATGGGAACCAGGGCACTGGAAAACGTCAGGGCTGCACGATTTATGTTCTGTGAAATCACGGATTAGTCGGTTAAAGGTATGACAGTTAAATGTTTTTAGTGATTTTGCAATAGTAAGTAAGGGTAACGTTAGTTACCACATATCTGGGCTTCGTCCGAGCCGTCACCACAGTCGTCTGAGCCGTCACACACCCAGTTCTTGGAAATGCATCGATGGTTCCCACATTCGAACTGAGTGGGCGAACAAAACTTATCTGTAGGAAAAGAGGAGTGATTAGTATCAGGTTGTGAAAACAGCAAGTTTTGTGTTTTTGGAAAATTGAGAGCTTAAAAGAAAACAGACAGTTTGTGTTTTTCCAGGAAACTTTGGGCTCTCAAAAGAGACTGACCACAGTGCGTCTCATCAGCTCCATTCTCACAGTCATTCTCTTTATCACAGGTCCAGCTCATCGGGATGCAACGCCCACTTGGGCAAGCAAAGAAGTTAACGGGACATTTCAGCTTCCTTTTGTCTGCAAAGAAAGAGAAAAAAAAACAGAGTGTATCTTCATGGCATTTGATAAAGCTGAATGTGTTAGAAGAAAAATAAAACACATCCCACCTGGACAGTTTCTCTCATCGGAAAAGTCTCCACAGTCATTGTTGCCATCACACACCCATGAGGACAGATAACAGAGTGTGGTTTTCTCACAGCTCCGGAAGGAGGCACCTTTAACTCCAAGGCGGAAGAAACGAGAGCAGTCGGTGGGTTCTGAGGAAAAAATAAAGATTTTTAAGCTATCCATTAACTTCCTCTCAATTTCTGAAAAAAATCCCATCAGGTTATTCTTTTTCATTTAGGTTACAATGCTAAAACATATGATGGATGACATACGGCAGTTCATTTCATCACTTGCATCCTCGCAGTTGACCGCCTGGTCGCAGCGGCTGTGGTTGGAGATGCAGCTCCCGTCTTTGCACTGGAACTCTCCTGCTTTGCACAGGGTCACTGAAAAAAACAGCAATGTTAGATCAACAAAAATAGTACAAGTTCAAGGTTACTTTCAGATTTTTACTTAAAGAGAAAAAACTTTTATGAGGCAACAAGAATCACATCGTGGACAAAGCGGACGGACTTTACTTACTGTTGCAGGGCAGCTCATCCGAATTGTCTCCACAGTCATCTGTTCCATCACACCAGAACTGGTGGCCAAGGCAGCGACCGTTAATGCACTTCCTGTAGCCCTTCTTACAAATGCGATTGGCTGCAGAACACAGTTGTTGTAGTGTTGTTGTTTTTTTCACTTATAATAAACAAATCTTAATTATTTTGTACTTTACTACTTTTTAAATCTTTGAATGTATAATCTCTTTCTACACACCAAGTATGACAAAAATGCAACATATCTGCAATGAAGAATGTCGACATTGATCGCTGCAAATGTTTTATTTATCAAATGATTGTTTAAAATCCAAACTCACCACAATATGACTGCTTTTCATCAGATTTGTCTTTGCAGTGAGCCATCCCATCGCATGTAAGGCTGTAGTTGATGCAGTCACCATTTCCACACTCAAAGTCTTCCACACTTCTACACGACATGTTCAGTGCTGGTAAAACAGAATTCAGTGTAAGAAATATTGACACAAAGCTTAAAAATTTGTTTGTATTTTTTATTTTTTTTTTTTTAGGTTTTTACTCCTGATTTCTTACCGGAGCAGGTGTTGTCCTCCAGGAGCTGTCTGTCCCCACGGCAGCTGCAGTTCACGCGTCCATCGGATGTGGGGAGACACAGATCCTGGCAGCCGCCGTTATTTGTTCGGCATGGTGAATACTCACCTGGGGAAAAAAACATTGAGTTTTTTTTTGGTTGAATTATATTAATGAGACATTTTTCTCTGCATAGAAAGAAAGTGCTCAGTGGAAACTTCCTTATGCAAAAAGAAAAAAAAAAACACACAACAAATCTCTCTTCCTAGATAAATATCCAATCGAGCCAACAGGAACAATTTCTCGTGTGGTTTTGTGTGTTTTAGCTAAAAACGAAGCCATTCAGGGAGATATTAATTCCTTTAACTTTTTGTCCAGTTTGTTTTGTTTTTTTACGACGACTACTGCCGAAGAAGAGCCTCCTTTAAAAAAAAAAACCCCGTTTAGAAAAAAAGATAGAGAGAGAGCTGCCAAAAAATGAATGAAAGAAATGGTTGGTTAAATTGGGCCGGTTGAAAAAAAGGGAATTAAGGGTCCAAAAAAAAGCATTGAAATAAGGTAAAAGAATACATGGAAACACTTTTGTTTGGTCAGAGAACAATTAATCAATAATTTGGGCTGACGAGTGCTCATTTAAGCATTGCAGCTGTCATCTAAAAGAAGCTGGACTAAAATTAGCAGATGAGTAACGTTCTAACAAATAACTGTCACAAATGAATTGACATCTGCCACGAAACATGTTAAACTTCAGATGTATATGCAGCACAGAAATGCTCCTTTTAAGAATAAAGTAACTGTCAAAAATAATAAATAACATTAATATTAATATCCCAGGAAGGATAATAATAAAATCTTTATTGACCTAACAATTAAATACTGAAAACCATTACACATGAAAAATACTCAAACATTTATTAAAGCATTTCATTATAAACCAATAGATTGATGCAAAGATTGAAAATATATCAATTTTTTACTCAGTGTAACCACAGAGTAAAAAAGCAATAACATAAAACCCATTATCTCGACTCATGTTCATTGAATTAGTGCAGTAATTGATACTCACAGCTATTGGTATCATTAGCCACGGCAATGATGCCCATAGGCTGCTGAGGGATGTCGGCACGCAGCACCTTCATGTCTCCTCCTGTAAACTTGTCGGCCCTCAGGACAGCCCTCCTCACCCAGTCGGTCCAAAAGATGTAATCTCCATAAACAGCCAGACCAAATGGATGAACCGGGTCGTTCTTCAACAAGACCTGGTGCATGCAATTTTAAATGTTTATTGTAAAGAATGTGTTTCAGTGTCAATGCAGGATCACCTTCTTTACAGATAACATGGAATTAAAGAGTTCCCTTACATAACGGCTGCTGCCATCGTACTCGCAGCGCTCAATCTTGTCCAGAGTGGCATCTGAGAAGTAGAGCTTCTCAGCCCGGTGATCTATTGCCAGGCCGTTTGGAGTTTTAATGTCAGTCCTAATGATCTGGATCACATTGGCTCCATTTAGAGAGGCTCTCATGATGCTGGGATTAAGCTCGTTCCAGTTTGTCCAGAACATGAGGCTGTGGTAGCAAACAACAGATGACATGAATTATGAAGCATATCTAGGAAAACTTGTTATAAAAGTTGTGGCTCACTGGAGTAGAATAAATAAACTTGTAAAATATCTGACACAGCTGACTCACTCCTGACACTCGTCCAACACGAAGGCTCTGGGGTGGTCTTCTCCAGACATTGTTACCACAGTGTCGCGGTTATAAGCCACAGAGCGGCTCTGATCCACAGTGTGGCGAGTGATGGTGGAGGTGGTGTAGCTGGTCCAGTACAGTGTGTCCCAGCCTCTGTGGTATGCCAGACCCTCAACTGACCCAACATCTGGGACACAGAGAGAGAATGAGTAGATATCATTGTTTTAATACTACAAATATGTTCCGAAAATTCATTGACGCAAGAATTTCTAATAACGTTTAAAAATTGTACATAAAAATAAAAAAAAAAATCATCTGAGATGTTGGTTTCCTTAGGTTTCCAACAGTGAAACTAATGAATTGAAAAACCCTGGGGGTAAAATTTAGGGAGCACAAAGACAAAAAAACCCTTTGGTGTGGTTTTCCCCTAACCAGGGGAAAAAGAACCATTTGATCTGATCCAAAGGCTGGATGAGTACATGAACTCTGCATTTTCAAGTGGTGTGTATTTTAATCCTAATCTAACCTCAGTACTCAATTTTTTAAACTGAAATATGCAAAGTAATTCAAGGTCAGCAGCACCGACGTTGGGTAGCTGACTTTTGCTCACCTATTATAAAATGTATGTTTGTGCATTGATAGTTTCTAAACATATATAATAACCATCCGATTATTTAGTTTTTGTAAAAAAAAAAAAAAAAAGTTTTTTGTATTTTTCCTGTCTTACAATGACTCATCATAACAGTTTGTTCCCCACAGTTTCTTCCCCACTGCCATTAGACTGCTGAATGTTTTGTAAAATGGGTTATTGTATTGTATTTTATTATATTTATTATATTTTATCATTATATAAAAAAATGTTAGAAGTGTAAATTTACAGTCATATGTTTATATTGCTGTTTTTATAGATTTATTTATTTTTTTTAAAACTATTTTTCAAGGCTGCACTTTAAAAAAATGAAATTGTCCAGAGAGTTGTTCCAAATGAAATTTATTTTTGTTTTAAGCTTGTGTAAACAAAATGACAAATAAAATCTCTCTAAGTCATAAAAGCGACACTGCATTGGCTGTTGCAGTTCCCAGTAAGTCTGCTTAACATGACCTGCTGTGAGGAAAGCCTTATGGAGGGCAGCTGAAGCACCACTCCTCAAAGGATACGCTGTTAAAAGGGAAACCACATCAAAAAGGAGAATGCTGTAAATGATTTCCTCTCAAGATAAACTGGAAGTACACTGAAACAGAGGTCGAACTACTATCAACGAGTCTTATCAAAACAGAGAAAATAACTAGCCTTACTACAGCATTTCAGTTCATGTGGCTTTAAAATTATTTTTGAGGGGAACAGGAAGAGGGGTATTTCAAGATTGAGTTTATGTGATAAACCAAGAATATATTTTTTGTTTTTGTTTTTTTATCTGGAGAAAAGTATTATTGGAGATAAATTGTCAAAACATCATATAAGTTTTATTACCACGCCAACGGTTTGTTGAAGCAGCAAATTAATTAAGCCCCTGTATTACCATTGACCCGATTTTAATTTATCTGTTTAGTTTCAGCAGCAACAACAACAACAAATCTATAGTTTATGGAAATATAAACTGACACTAGCAGAGACTTCTAAATGGTGGTCATTGTGATTGACGGTATACCATCCTGGCTGAGATAACAGATGCACATTACACACAAACAGCCTAAGCAGGGCATTTTAAGCATTTATGACCACCACTTAAACCTTAAAAAATATAGCACCAACGATTAACGCTACAGTGAATCTGGATACCCTCCCCAGACCACACCCATTCTATTTCAGGTACTATAACCAGGTCCTTATCAAACCTTTAGAAACCATTAACCTAGATGTCTTTATCTGGGAAGGAAACTACATAATTTCAATGGGAGAATTATCCTCAAAAACAAAAAAACCTATGGTGAAAACATTATTTTAATTCGGAATAACATAAAAGATATGCAAACTAAAGTATTGAACATAAAGCAGTGGCTTCAAACTGTCTTTTTTTTAATTACACTGGCAACAGCATTTATGACCACTTACAGCACACAATAAAAAAGGTTAAGTCACTGTTTGCTTTTAACTGAAAGTATTTAATTGCAACATGATCTACAATTCAAAAAAGAATTCAATGTGGGTCACTTTTCAAGGCTGAATACTTCATGTTATGAACAAACCAAAAGATGCCCAACCAAATCTTATTGGTGTTTTTCCAAGCCCAACAACTACATTTTCAAATGACTGAACATAAAAGAAAGCCTGAAAAGTGCCTTTCATTGTTTACGGATGAGACTGTAGTTATATAATCATACACTATGCTCTGCCCTCCCATTATCTACATTAGAGCTCAGCTCTTGGTTACAGAGCAAACAGCGCAGAGGAACGTGTTGAGAGGAATACTGCCTCTCCAGGATAGAGCATTTCACAGTCTCAGGAGGAGGACATCCCCTGCTTCATTTTTAACTATTTTTATATTTATTTGTTGTTAATCTTATTGATTAGCTGGAGGATTCTGCATATAGTCGAAGAACCGCATGCTTTCTGCTTTAGTGAGCACTTCACATCAATTAGCATTGACCGTTTTTCAAAGACGATGAGGACGAATTTGTGCCCTTATCTGGTTTCAAGAATCAATCCAGCTGCAGAGGAGCTGCAGACATCTGACTTTTGACCTAATCAGACCTTCTGGGATAAAAATTTTTGCTGGGACTCTTCATCATCTGGTGGATATAAAATGCTTATATATAATTTTCTTACCAAACAAGTGACTGATATGAGGACATCTTATCATCTTCAGAAAGAAAGGACTGAAAAGGACTCCACCATGAAATCTCTGTCACTCAGAATGACAATTTAAATGTATTTATGCAGCAAAAAAGATATTCCTGTTAAATAATATATGCCTCTAATCCATCCCTCTTTGTGAAAAAAGTATAGATGTTAACAGAGAGGAGACCCATTCCATCCTAACAGCTAATCTAATTGCTATCATTATCAAAGTGCTGGCTGTCTCAGTGAGGTGTAATTATGTTTGTTCAAATAGGCTAGAATTGGACAAAACAGATTAGTTACCCACATACTGCATCCCATTTGGATGTCTAACAGTGACAGCATATTGGATTGAGTGGCTTTTACTGGAACTGCATGGAGACTACTGGGCTGCGGATGAATAACAGTGTTAACCAAATAAGTGAAGGGGAAGATGTGGATATGATTAAAACTTTGTTGCCCTTCTTGGATGGGTTTATCCTGCTGAGTGGGCTGATTGGTCAAACCCTGGTGATAATTATTCTCACAAGCAGAAGGAAGAAAGAAAGTCAGCCCCCTCACGGTACCGACACTCTGCTGCTGGCTCTCTGCGCTGCTGACCTGTTGCTCCTGGTCTGCCAGCCCTTCCATACCTTTGCTATCACACGGGGCGCCTGGCCTTTTGGCAGCTTCCTCTGCAAAGCAATCAGCTTCCTTGGAGTCGCCTGTTCGACTGCCTCTGGGTTCACCCTGGCAGCTTTGGCAGTAACCCGCTACTTTATAGTGGTGCATCCCACCTGGAGCTACCGTGCAAGGATGAATAAGAGAATCAAAGTCATAGTGGCTCTGCTCTGGATCCCCGCCTCTGCTTTGGCATTACCACAGTTTGCCTTCCGCACAATTTCATTTTCCAACACTGTGTACTGCTTCGCCTTCCTTTCCGACCTCAGCCGCATGGTCTACAGCATCGCTCTGTTTCTATGTGGCTTTGCTCTTCCTTTAAGCATAATCGTAGTCATGTATGGGAAAATCTATTGTTTCCTTCAGCACACTCGGCGGATAGGGAATGCCCCACAGCTGGAGCGCTACCAACGGCAGGTCACTCACACCTCGGCTCTCCTAGTGTTGGTTTTCACTGTAATGTGGCTGCCCTCCTACATCCTCATGTTCTCCATCATCAGTGGAACTCCAACCGGCTCGCCAGGCTTCAACACCTTTGCCCTCCTAGCCAGAGTCTTGTCTTCCTCCGTCGCTGTCGTCAACCCTGTGCTGTATGGTTTTATGTCTCAGAAGTTTAGAAGAGATTTGGTGGAAATGGGGAGAAAATGCTTGGCCAGGTGCCAGAGGTGTCTGATGTGGTGTTTTTGTTTAACAAGGCGGGACGCAGTCCGGCCGTTTAAGCAAGATACTAGCTCAGAGAGAGCCTAAAACTTGCTCTGTTTCAAAATCAACAAAAGACTAGATACAATGGAAGGAGATAGTAAATGATTGGGAGGATTTTTTTTTGTTTTTCCCATTTACATTTATATAATATGTGCAATATTTTTCTGTTTTCACTTTAAAATGTTTTTATTGAGGAATAATAATAATAATAAAAACAAACTTTTTTTTGTTTTTTGTTAAATCAATAAAAATTGATAGTTGCAGCCATAGTACTTTTTTTTTTTACAGTGTTTTTAATAAAAAAATAAAAAAGATTCTTTTTTTTTTTTTTTTCTAAATCATAGATAGCATATTATTGGTAACCCCGTTCTATTTTTTAGAAACTCTAAAACATAAATGCAACTAAAGCAACCTCTTTTTTGTGTACTTTTTCAAAAGCTGAACTGCCTGAACAGAAACCTTCAAATTGTAACCACTGACTTCCTGTTTTATGACTGTACAAATAGGACATGACACAAAACCTCCTCATAATGGGCAAGACAGGAAAACCCATAAACGCATCAGGAAGTAAGATATGTTTTGATGTTCACAAAATAGAATGAAAATTTTCCATTTGTATTATTCAGTTCTGCAGCCAAAGCACTAGTTAAAAGCTGAAAACAACTTAAACCATAATAAACAAGGCTAAACACGGTTTAGAGTGCCGTGTTGAGGTTGCAAGCTCTGTATACTACTTATCGGATGATAAGCAAAAGCCATGTACTAGGCTTTCTGTAGTATCATTAAAAAAAGGTTATTAAACAATTCTGGGACTTGAACAGGAACAGTGTTTGTTTGGGAAATTATGCCTAGTTTTTAGTTTCTGGACAAACTCCCAGCTTTGGTTTGGTGGGAAACAAGTACCTATTTTTTTCTGTAGAGACCAAAGATTCAGTTGCTTCTGTAGAAGCCATTGGATCTTTGTTAGAATGCATGGTATTACGGTCTCTTATTAACAGCAGGATATGTAGTAAAAAGTCGGGTTAAATCTGCTGGAAAACTAAAGAAATTAGAAATTCAAATTTCAAAAGCCATATAGCCAAAAAACACACTATCATCTTAGTCAACAGACTTGAATCCAAAAGAAAATAAGCATAGAATATTGAACATCTAGTTAGATGAGAGGACTGGATCCCTCTTGCTGCTTGTATTTATTTTTTTGCCACTTGTCTCTAAATGATCAAAGAGAATGTCATTAAACTCAAGCCAGAACCACAAAACAGGCTTAAATGGGAAGGGAACTGCCCTTTTGTTTAGTTTTTTCTTAAGATTTTTCAACACCTATCCAGGAGTCTTTGTGAATTCTGTCGGCTTGCAGACAGAATTATCATCTGACTCCTTCAGTGCTCCAATCTGCATTGGAGCAATGATGGAGCACCTCCTCCTCTGTTCAGTGATTGGCTTTTCTCTTTAAGAAAGATGGCTTCCTCGCCCCTCTTTCAAACAATCTGTCCTCTCTGTCCAAAATGCGAACACTTTGGTCTTGGAAGGCGTGTCCTTTCTTTGTGAGGTGCAAGTGAATAGCTGATTCTTGCCCAGAGTTACTGGCTCTCCTATGCAACGCTGAGAGGCAAAATTCTTGATAAATATTATGCAAGAGATATAACTTGTTATAAATCCACATTTCACAAATTTTTCTCGCCTGTGCTTTCATTTCTCTTTGTGATCTTCAGCATTTCTGACAATAATCCCTATCTGGTAGGAGGCTTCTACTGCACTGAGACCCCATCCAGCAGGCTGAATATTACATTGGTGTGAAAGTTTAAACTTTTGACACTTGGAACCAAATAGCCCGCTTTCATATATCAAACCTTCTGGAATGAAGATAAATCTTTGATATATAGTGCCGCCCTTGAACCACAGATTTTACCTTTGGTTGTTAAAAGTGCTCAAAGATTCATTTAAACTGTATTAAAGGGGATGAAGCAGAGCTTTGAATTATGGCTCCACTGCTATCTTATTTTGTTCAACTGTGAGGCTTTTTCTTTTGAAAGAAAAAAAAAAACATTGAAGACTCAGAACTTACTGTCCACCACAATCTTGCGATCAGAGCCATCGTCGTTGATCTGCTGGATGTTGCCAAAGTGAATGTCACTGAAGAAGATACGGTTGGCTCCCTTTCCTCCGCCGCCGTGGTAGTCGAAGCTGAGGGCAATCACGTTCTTCATGTGGTCCGGGTCCTCGAAAGGTTTTATCGGCGCATTGAGGTTGGTCTCATCAGAGAGGTGTATGCTCTTCAGAATAGTGCGCTCCGAGTAAAGAAGGTATCCGTCGTAGTCACGGCAGCTTTTTCTGTCCTCGGCCAGCATGCCGTGGGCGCAGGCACAGGTACGCTCCCCGTTGCCACGGTAAAGACACAGCTGTTCGCAGCCGCCGTTGTTTTCTTTGCAGATGTTTGTGCCTGTGCAGAGGCAGAGTCATTCAGGTATTAAGCAGGAAATTATAACTAAGGATTCTTTTAAACATGTAGTCAGACCATAGTACGGCTATTTTTACCTTGCTGTCTGGCCCTGTTGAAAACTTTGATGTCTTTCAGTTGAACACCAATGCCTGTCCTGAGCTGCACGGCATCTGTAGCATTGTCTTTACTTCCTCTCTTGATGGACCCATTGGCGTGAGTCCTGAACCAAATACAAGATATATTTAAAATAATACCCAGTTTTTTGTAATTAATTCAGTATCTTTAAGAACAAAGTTCACCTGTCACTCCAGTAGATGTATTCCTCAAACACTGACACAGCAAACATGTCCATGTTGTTGCTGGCCAGCACCAGCTCTCTATTCTCCCCTGTCTCTAGGTTGATGCGCTCGATCTTGTCTGTTCGAGCATCGCACCAATAAAGCAGACCTTCCTGTGGTGCAGAAAGATAAAACCATGACTAAGTGGTCAGGGAAGCCATTAAAAATGTATAATATTGTCAAAATAGATGTTTCCCCTTATAGATTTTTTCTATTTTTTGCTTATTTCTGTACATTTCTTATTTTTTATAACAACTTAGAGATAACCAGAGGTAAATAAAAAGAGTTAGTTTTCAAAAGGATGATTTCACTTAATAAGGAATTAAAGTATCCAAATCAACCCTGCCCTGTTTAAAATTAGAATTACACCTTTGCCAAATCTTGGATTAGGATTACTAACATTTAGTTGGATAAACTAAATCTGATTACTGAATTTTATGTTTACTCAGGCTGTTAAGATGCAGCAATAAAATTCTATGTCCAAAACATTTCATTGTAGAAGACTTTTTTTCCATCAATATATACTGCTCTTGAGTAAACTGGCTTGTTAATAAATAGTTGATTAATTCACAGACATCAAAATTAATCGTTAGGATGCCAATCTTTCTCTAAAAAAAAGTGAAAACATTTATGTAGGCCAGTAATTGATATAATTTAAATAATGTTCAAAAAAATGTTTAGCAAATATAAATAGCTCCCGAAATTATAAAATTGAAATAAGCTATTGTCATAATAATTAATTTAGTTTGAAATCAGCGACCATTATAATGTTCCTGTCACTTTGATCATTGATGGAAGTTAAGCTACTTTAATGTAAAAAATCCTTAAGTTTAATTAAAACATTAGAAACAAATAATAAATCATTTTAAAAAAAAGTTTAAGCAACCAAAATCAATTTCATTGATTAATAAAGTTTTACGTTTGTAAAGATTTCATTTTTGGAATTTGGGGCTTTTTTCCCCAAAATGGGCTCCTTGAGCTTCCATGAACCAGAATGACAACATTTATCACTTTTTGTTCTTGTATATTACCTCACACTGCAAAATACTGACTATATAATATTGCTTGTTGCAAACATTCAATGCGTTAGATTTCTATTGTTTGTTTTAAAACATCACCGTTTTACAAGGTTTCAAGTCTTGAATTTCATTGCCCTTTAAATTAAGGTCACCTCCCAGAGAGGAGAACTGAAATAAAGGGTTTTTTTTTTTCAAAGTAATGTCCTTTGTAGTTCTTATTATGAAACTTCAGGGAGAAAAAAAAAGATTAGTAGTAGGACAAAAACGGAGGTTAAATATTCAAGCCATATTGCTCAGCCACAGGAATGACATTGTTTTGATATCATGGATATAGTCTAATATATACACCTGTCTGCTAATTAATGTTAATGGTTAGAAATATAAGAAAATACTGATATTACAAAGTTTGTGTCAGTTTTTTTGTTTTCCACTTATATTTTGCCATTTTTTTAAATAGAAATAGGAATGACTTCATGACCACCAGATATAATTTTAATTACATCATCTAAAAGCAGCCAAATACCCAGTCAATTATGAGAAAAGAATAAATGAACAAACCTTAATGTTAACCTAATCACATCTTATAATAATTTAATAAAAAAATAAACATAAATCAAAGTTAGCCAGCTGAATATCCAAAAAGAGCACAAGTAATCCATGTTAATAAAAAATAAGATTACTCTATTTTCAAAGAAATCAGTTATTGCTGAATACACTCCTTAACTTTTTTGCTAATAAATGTGGAAAACATTACAATAATCTAATGTATTAATCTGTATTAGATGTATCTAGCGGGCTGTGTTCTTACAAAAACAAACTGCTTGCAGAATAAAGTAAAACTGTGATTTTACTAGTTTTCACACCTCATAGTCGATGGAGATCCCATTGGGCCAGCTGATGCTCACATTAACCAAGACCAGCCTCTGGGAGCCATCCAAGCGGGAACGCTCAATACGAGGGTACTGACCCCACTCCGTCCAGAACAAATACCTGTTCACAGACACACAAGAGGCTGTTCAACTGAACACTCAGGTGAATTATAGACCTGCTGCTTCCTTAAGGCAACCCTGTGACATAAGAAAGATTGAGTTAAAGATTTGGTAAGGAGGCTGACCCTTTCACTGGGTGGACAGTTATAGCTCTGGGTTTGTCTAGGCCCTGGGAGATGACCACGTAGCGGAACGAGCCATTGAGCCTGGCTACTTCAATCACATCAAAGCCCTGGTCGGTCCAGTAAATATTCCCTAGAAAGGCAAATTTTTACAAATCAATTGTGTTGTTAATTTGCATTTAAACTACTTGAGTGTCAAAACAAAATGAATAAAAAGTGTAGAGGCTAAACCTGCTATCCAGTCAACGGTTATCCCCTCCACTCTGCCGATGCCGTTGGTCACCACATCCTCTCTCCACGTCTGATCCCTCTTTGCTCTGCTGATGGTGCTCAGTCCCATGTCCACCCAGTAGATGGTGTCATTCTCTGCACAGGAGATAATCACAGCTCTCAATGTCACCCCCAAGATGGGCCCTCTATTTACTTCCATCTTTAAGTTCTTCTCACCAGCGTGGAAGTCGATGCCAACAGCCAGAGAGGTGCCAGACACCGGCACCAAGGCGTCAGATTTGTCTGCCGGGTCGAGAGGGATTCCCCGAATCCCCTCATGAACAGAATAAAGTAGGAAAGATCCCATCCCTGCTCAAACGGAGAGAACCGTATGTTTCAGATAAACTTTTAAAGAACAAACACACATTAAGCATCTGTTGTTGTGGATTAGCTTCCTACCCTCACAGGACTGCTGTCCTGTTTTCAGGCTGTATCCAGCTGTGCACATGCAGGATCTTGTTGTCGGGGAGGTTGGCAGACACAGCTGTGAACAATCACCGTTGTTGTTGCTGCAAAGGTTTATACCAGCTAAAGGAAAAGGAGATAAATTATACATAATTTATTCATTTCGCTTATTAAACTAAATATTTCAACCTCTGTCAAAGTTCTACTTCTGACCTTTCTGCACGTCCTCATCATAGATCCTCATGTGCATCATGGGGGAGGTGTTATTCCGCAAAACCTTCCAGTTTCCACCATCCTTTTTGTCACATGTTCCAATCTGGTCCGTTCCCTGATCTGCCCACCACAGCTTGTCTCCTAAAGTGATGGAAATTTATGCCCAATGTTCTACATGATTCTAGACTGAATACAACCAAAATCCTGATCTGATGGTCAGATTTTCTGTCTTACCCATTATAGCCAGAGCAGTCGCCTTGGTAAATTTGCCTTTCACACCCTCCAGGATTTCCAGTTTAGATCCGTCCAGTTTGCACCGGTTAATGGTGCTGTTACCTGAACTGATCCAGTAAAGCTGCTTCTTCTCATAGTCAATGGAGAGTCCTGGGAAAATAGAAATCAATTCACAATCCAAGTATATCTGTTAAAATAAAAGTTTGTGATGATTTTGAGCTTGACTGCCTTTAACCAATGGCTGACTGCTAAGAATAAGTCTGATCTTTTTCTGATCAGTAAATGCAACATGCCCTAAGGACTGCAGGGTTGATACTATTGATGAAGGAGGAAGACTCCTTTATTACTGGCTTCACTTAGATGTTTAAAATGACAAAGAGATACAGAGTTTGAGACAGAGACGTTTGAAAATGGATATATATTTTATGTTCAGCTGAGCGATGTCTGTTGATCATTTAGTTACAAGAGATCAAGACTTCAAGTGGATAACAGGAAGGCTGGTTGTATTGCATTAAAATTAAACTCTTTTGTTCTTATAAGAGTTAATCCTGTCACACAACAAGCATTCTCTAGGGCAAGGGTTTCCAACACGCTATCCCCAAGGTTATCTGTGGCCTTCAGAATAATACTGTGTGGCCTGTGAGTTAATGCAACATTTAAAGGGACAAATGAAGCCCAAAACCCCCCTGAAAAAAACATGTTCTGGTCTGATAAATGCAGATATTCTTTTCTTTAAATTTACTCTCAATTTTATTTTAAGAGATTACAACACAAAACATCCTGCTTTACTGGAAACACATTATTTTACACTAAAATAAAATACTACAGTAATTTTTTGCCTCTTACTAAAATATATCATTTTCAGTTCATTTTTGAGCCAACACCAACAAGTCAACCTTGAGTCATATTTTATTTTTCTATTTAAAGCTTTTTTGGGTGATTTTTGTAGCAACTTTCATTTTGATACATAAGCCAAAAAAATGGCCTCTTATCTAGGACACATCTAATCTAGAAATGACACGCAGAGACTGGTTTTTAAGGGATGGAATCTGCATTATGGGATTCAAACAAGTACTTTAAATGCCATCTGCATTATCACCAACAGTAAACCCTGTTTCGCTTAGACAGTTTTCTCACACACAATATGTGATGTCACACCTGCCCATAATATAAATATTTGTTCATAGACGAAAGGCTAGAAAAATAAATTCTTACATTTTGTTCTAATATATTTATAGTATTAATACAAAACCTGGAATAAGCTGCAATGTGTATAAGCAGGTAAAATCAACGCAAAAAATGAAACAAAAAACAAAGAAACTAGAGATAAAAATCATCACCAAATGTATAGTTAATATAATTCATAAATGATGGGGAATTTAACAAAGTTTCTGTGCTGTTTCCTAGTTACTTTATGTCTGATAGCTGGTAAAACATGAGCTCACCAACTGGGCCTTTCTGATTGGTAAAAAGAAGGGTCTGGTCACTTCCATCCATGTTAGCCATGCTAATGTTGTCACCATCAGTCCAGTATAGCTTCCTAGAGGAGAACACATATTTAACCTCCATCAATTAGTTATTTTAAAACAACCTTGGTAACTGACATATAGGTGGCACTTAATCAAGAGGAAGTTGGATTTAAGATAACAAGACAGTATGGATTTGATTAAATGAGAAGAAATCCATTTAAAAAGTAAGACCGAAAAACTTAAAACTTAACAGTTGCTTTTAAGTCAGGGAAAAGCCAATAGAAACAAATGATGAAATGACTTTGGTTATTAGACTGAATTTAATCAGATAGAGCACTCACCCCAGTAGAGGATGAACCACCAGACAGTGGGGCTTATCTAACCCCTGGACGACGGCGTTCTTGAAAGACCCATCCAGCCTCGCCACATTGATCTGCTTCTTATTAGCATCATAGCTGGTCCAGAACAGGTTCCTGGACACCCAGTCTACTGCCAGGCCATGGGCATTAGGAAGGTCTTGAGAGTTTCAAAAAGAGTAAATCAGATTCCGGGGTATGCAACAAGCTTATAGTTAAACATGAATTCTAATGTCCCTCACCAGCAGACACCACAGTTTCCACTCCTGTTCCATTAATAAAAGCTCTTTTGATGGTCTGCGTGCGCACATCTGACCAGTAGATGCGGTGCTCCACGGCATCATAATCCACCACGGTCACATTATCTATGTCCGGCACGGTAAAGGAGATGATGTAGTTGTAGTAAGGGTTGTCAATGTCCACGCCTCGGATCTCAATCTGTCTAGCGTAAAGCAGGAACTTGCGGGACTCTGGAAATCAGATATATGCATAGATATGGTGAATAATCAAACAGCATACTTCAAAAACAAACACTTTTTGCTGCATTCAACATTTTCCACCCCCTTTTATGTCTCGTTTGCTTTTGCTTCACAACTGTTGGTTATAGACAGATAATTTTAATGAAATATTTACATTTCTTTATCACTATGATCATTTAGCCACAGCAGGATTGCCATACTATTAGGAATTAGGTTTATATTGGAACAAATATTCATATCACAGTTTTCAATCCTAATCCATAATCTTCTGAAACTAAAACAACCTTAAATGGCCATCATTTCATGTAAAATAAACACAAATAATAAAAAAAAAAATGCTGTGAATGTAAGCCACGGTATCTTCTTACCTTTGCAGGTGCGCTTGTCTGCCTGAAGCTTCATGAGGTGGGGGCAGGCGCAGGAGAAGGTTTGGTTGAAGTTGATGAGACACAGGTGGGAGCAGGGGCCTTTACCATCACTTGTGGCACATGGGTTTGGAGCTAAAGGGAAGGGAATAAAAAGCACATCTTAACATTTTACAAAAATTAACTAAACTGTGAAAAGAGTTGGATAGAGTATGACTGTAAAAACCAAAGTTAATCTATCAGTGTGCACTTCAGTTTTAATCCACCCCATGTCAAATGATACCGAAATCAATCACTAGGGATCTTCCTGCTGTTAAAAGGGGAAAGATTGATGATTTCCATGAGGAGTGGTTACAGCTTTTCTACCATCTATTATTCTTGTTATTAGTTTAAGAACTATTCCACACACTGGAATTGGGGATCCCTAAGCTGTTTGCAGCCGGACCTCAAAGAAGCAATTTGCTGTGACAGAGCAGAGTCAGAATTGACCATCCTTTTGCCATCTCACCAACGCTGCTCGGCTTTCAGATTAACATGTGACATTTATCCTGCAGCAGCACGGTTTTGTTTTTAACCAGGTCTGTGGAGTAATGACGAACAATAAGGGGACTTTTTGCTCAACAAGGCGGCAGCAGGTGTCCAAATTGAGCCTGTGTGAGAAAACAACATGACTCACACCATGAAAAGGTCAGCTGTTATTTGGGGATTTAGGGGCCGTGAATAACAGGCTGAGCAATGGACTGTCAGTTCATCGCTTTCTCCTTTAAATGAAGCTCAACTTGATCAACAGAGAAAGGAAAAATCAAGAGAAAACTGATTCTATAATGTTTTGATTTTAAGGGGCCCTAAATATAAATGCTTGCTTTGTTTTCCAGATTACCATTTATAAAGATAAAAGGAAGGTTTATATTGTTTTTTACTCAGCTTTATTATTAAGGAGTAAGTGTAACATATTACCAAATGACAGTTGGGAAAAGTGAAACTGTAAAAACTATTTTTTAACAAAGCAGTAGTGAATGTATTAGTAGTGAAACCTACCCAGAGGTTGTCTGGAAGGGTGATAGACCTGGAGGTCAAAGGGCTGCGTGTTGGTGCGCTGGACAACTGTGACGTTGTGACCGGTCCATTTATTGGCTTTAGCGAGCGTGTTTGTCCGCCAGTCGGTCCAGTAAACCTCTCCTCCGTACATGGTGACAGCAAAAGGGTGGGACAAATACTCATGACCTCTCAACACCTCAATCAGCCCAGAGCCGTCGTACTTTGCAGAGTAGATTGCGTCCGACCTGAGGGAATCGCAGAAAAGAGTGGGCCGTCAATCATTATCATCATCATCTTTCTATGCCTCATTAAAGAAACTGAAGATCATCTATGGTGATCTACACTAAAAACTCAAAGGCAAATGTTACCTGGCATCAATCCAGACAATACGTCTTTCCATGTAGTCCACAGTGAGTCCATTGGGCCAGCCGCCACTGCCCGTCTCCCTGTGGATGGTGCGCCTGCCTTCACCACTCATGGATGCTGCCTCTATCCTGGGCAGACTAGCATCCCAATCCGTCCAGAATAAAATTCTGCAATGGAAGAGTTGTAAAATAAGAGGATGCAGCATTTAGAAAAAGAAACATCTTTCTCCTGATAGGTCTTTAAATTCCAGTACTCTGTGAAAGTTTGAAACGACCAAAATTGATTTACAATTATGTGCTGATAAATCAGACAGTTTTTTTTTTTTTATCATCAGGTCTTTAGATTTTCTGAAGATACGGGGAAAAACAGGAGATATGTGTTGTAAATGTTTCTGATTGCAGAAAAAAAACAAAAACAATGCAAAACTTAAAGGTTGTTTAGGTAATGGCGAAACTTCACAGATGCCTCATGCTACAAGATGCATTCCTTTAAAAGGAAAATCTTTTGCTTCAGAAAAAAAAAAAAAAAGATAAGTCATTACCTTACAAAATATTAGTAAAGTTTGCTTTTCTGTTTGAAATAAAAACATTTAGCTCAGATTGTACATTTTCTCTTAAACATTTTGTGTAAGTACTCGGATGTTTTAGAACAGGTGTACTTCACATCCCCTTTAATACATTCTCACCCGTCTCGTGGGTCCAGTGCAATGGCCCGGGGATGCTCTACTTCTCCAGCCAGTAGGGTGGTTCTCATGGTCCCGTCCAGTTTGGCCACCTCAATCTGGTCTAGATTGCTTTCCACCCAGTAAATGTTTCCTGCTATCCAGTCCACAGCTAGGCCCTCTGGGGTGGCCAGGCCATACTGAATGACCACCTCGAAGCTAGTCAGGGCTGATCAGACAGAGAATGAACAAAAAAAGAAAGAAAAAAAAGAAGATCAAGGATCGGGGGCAGAAACAAACAAAAACATTTTGCAGTGTTTAGCATTCCTCACTCTCATGAAAACAAGGGAAGTTCTGACTAATGTGGTAGTCTTTCCAACCACCGAAAATGAGCCTCATGTGTCAACGTTCACTCTCTCCTTAATGATTTTCCAGAAACAATAGGATGTTGTGCAAAACAAAATGCAGGATGATCATCTAAAGATGGTTCACCAACATCTGAAGACCTTTTTAGCACCAATAAGGACACAACCTCTTTGCAGAATTAATATTATTCTCACAATACAACTACATATATCCACATGGCTGCATGGCTGTGTACCTAAAGTGACAGTCTGGGATATTAGAGCATTGATTAGTGATGGAACCAAAATGTGAGAGAGAAAAGATGGGATTTACAAGCAAAATGCTGTTTGGAGAATGGCATGGTTCCATAAAACAATCCTCAATGGGAAATTTGGTAGTGGGAGTATCATGCTGTGGGATGCCTGTTCTTCACTAGGAAGGAATTTGGATGAAACTAAATATAGAAGATTCCTGTAGGAAACTAGGAAAGTTCATCTTCTAACAGGATGAGTCTAAAACATACATCCAGAGCTATAATGGAATGTATGAAAATACACGAGTACTCTCATAAACAAATACATGGATTCCTAACTGAATATATTTATGTGTGAGACTCCAATTTTACAACAAATACATCAAATACTCAAAGCAACATAAATACATGCAAAGGGAACTCTAAATTTCACATTGAAAAATGTCCTCTCTATTTAGCTCTAAGCACTGTTCACTGGACACTGAAATGATGACAGCAAGCAGCAGGAGCTCATCTGTGAGCTGGTTGTCATGTTTCAAGCTCATAAGGCCTGTGGAGGACTTGAAGAGCTGGGAAGGTGAACAGAAAACTTCTGTTCCACCCACAGTTTCCCACATAACCTGATGGCTCTTGTAACAGTCATGCACCGTGAGTGCCGAGACAAATGGGAAGAGACAAAGCCTTCCATGTCCCCTGAAGCGCAGTAGTGGAAACACAACCTTGATTGGCAAGGAGGCCTGGGGAAAAGCTGACCATGACCTGACAGATTTATTACGGGTCGCAGAGTGCTACCTTTGAACAGAGACTCCTTAGATTCCAGGGTATGAATGAAGTTACTGAATATTTTCACAGAGTTCCTAGGCATTTTTTATTTTAAAATGTCATTGTTGTCTAGACTTAAATTTAAGATTTCCTACTACTTTAAACCTCATTTGTCAGGAATTGGATGGATGGATGGATGGATGGATGGATGGATGGATGGATGGATGGATGGATGGATGAATTGGATGGATGGATGGATGGATGGATGGATGGATGGATGGATGGATGGATGGATGGATGGATGGATGGATGGATGGATGGATGGATGGATGGATGGNGATGGAATAATTAGCTGCTTCACCTCCGTTTTCAGACAGCTTCCCCCTATAGATCTTGTCCTCCACTACATCAGTCCAGTACAGGGTGCTCTGGTTAAGGTGGAAATCCAAGGCTATGGTGTTCCTCAGGCCTGGTACCAGCACACTGAACTCCCCCTTGTGAAGGTCAATCCTTCTGATCTCATGTCGATTTGAGAAGATGATGAAAGGTTTGAAAGGATCTGCCAAACGAAAAGTGTACGCTTAGTTTCATCTTAAAAACATTTAAAGATCTTCAGCCCTTCTAATAGAAAGAGAGAAGCACTATCCATCAGATTACAGGTCAACAACCATTACAAATTACAAGCTTTGAGAACAATTTTCTTCAATAAAATCCCAGCTTTGGATGGGTTTTTTTATTTTTCTCACCAGAACTTTTGCAGCTTTCCATATCTGCTTCCAGCTCCCAGCCCTCATAGCAGGAACACTTGACTCTAGATTTCTCCTGTTCACACTTCTGGCTACATTTTAAGTGTTTGGCACAAAAGCTTTGGATCTGGCAGGTCTTGTTGTCAGCTCCCAGCTCCATACCCAGGGGACAGGAGCACATGAAGCCCTCCCCAGGAATAATGCTGCAGTTGTGACTACAGCCACCATTATCCACTGAGCATAAGTCTGCAGGAAACACAGACGAGTCACTTAGAAAATCTGTAATTCGTTTTTTTTTTTGGCATTATACTTTTTTTTTTTTATTATTCTGTTTTCTGTTTACCGCAAAGCTTCTCATCAGAGCCATCAGGACAGTCATCAGTGCCGTCACATAGCTTCTCGGCGGGCAGGCAGATGGAGTCGTTGGTGGCACACATGTGGTGAGACAACTTGCACACCAGCGCCTCACAGTTTTCCTCGTCCGAGTTGTCCTCACAGTCGCTGTCACCGTCACACACCCATGCTTTGCTGATGCAGCGGGCTGATGAAGCCAGAAGAAAAATAAATGATTAATCTACTGCATACTGCGTTTCAGACACAGTTACATTTGTCTTCAAGCTAGAAAGTGAGATATATTCATATTTGGACATATTTCTTCGTTTAAAATGAACTCCTAACACAAAAAAGGTACTTTATGTCTTAAAATGATAAAAATAAAACCTCATTTGTTAGACTTCTAACTGCACTGGTAACATTTACGTATGCCCTCTCCATGACCTTAATCAGCTCCAGGAATCCTCACCAGAGTCTCTGCAGCTGAACTTGGCAGTCGTATCACACGTGTGGTTCCAACCATCACAATTGCTCTCATCACTGAGATCCATGCAGTCGGTGTCACCGTCACAGCGCCAGCGCATGGGAATGCACAGTGTATCCATCTGACACTGAAACTCATCAACATGGCAGCCACCAGGGGGGCGGGGTTCTGGAGAAGAAAGAAAATGTTTAGCTTTTTCTTTTTATCTTCTTAAGCTAAGTAAATGGTTAAATTAGCAGCACTGATATAGCGAGTTCTGCAAAAGTGCATATACCCCTTAAACCTTTCCACAATCTTCCCCAACACCTGAATTATATAATCTATTTTATCTAGATTGTAACTGATGGACCAAAACATTTTCCTAAAAGCAACTCTTTTGCAGTTATAGCTGAAACTCTTTCACAGTATGCCTTTACCAGTTTCGCATATTCTTTTTAAAAACAAAAGCTGCAGCCAAGACTGAATGGAGAGAGTGTATGAATATCGCTCTCTTAGTTTCACTACATATTATAGGTCTGGGATTAGTTTTTAACCTTTGAACCCTTGAACTTCTAGCCTTTGCAAATGTAATGAGCCAAGTCTACTGGAGCCCCTTATAGCAATGCCTGGCCTTTAACCTCCTTAATCCAACCATCAAATCAAACTAGCTTTCATGTCTCTGCTGAAGAGAAGCATCCCAACAGCATGCTGCTGCCACTGCCGTGCTGTGGTTTGTGGTGCTCAAATTTTTCCAAATAACTGCCTCTGGCCAGAATATTAAAACGTCTTGTTTCAATCAAATATGGCGAGAGCAGCTTCTTTCAGGGTAGGCAGTTGTACAAAAAAACTTTTTTTATTTTCATATGATAGACTAAAAGGTTAAGGGTGGGGTTGGCAACCACGTGCTACTTTAAAATTTACAGATCAATTCTGAGGACAATCTTCTGAACAAAATTTGATCTATTGTCAGAGTAAGTGAGATTTATTCAAAACATACAAAACCCATTTGGAAAATAAAAGGGACAAAGCACAAATCCTATCTCTTCTATTTCAAAACAATGCCTTTTCATGCATTGGTTTATTACACAGAATCCTGATAAAAATGCTTTATTGTTAGTTTTTGTGGTGTGAAAATGTCCTTAAAAAGGTTTTTGACACCCCAAGGCGATTGGCCAGACAGAGATTGGTCTATTACAGTCCTTTATTACTTTTTATTTACACTCCACAGACTCTCTCACTAAGCCAAATCAATTAGAACAACCTGCTGTTAAATGCAAAAGTAAACAAGGAGCACACCGACCAGTCACCTCATAATGACCAGGACAAACAAACTAGAAAATACTAAACCCTTAAATAATAAATGACTTTTATCAAATTCTACTTTTTGTTTCTTTTTTTAAATATGCAACAGATGAAGGAATCTCAAAACACACAGACGGAGAGGAGGACAGATTGCACATTAGAGCAGCAGGTCATGCTGGGCCTCTTTTCTGCATGCTGGGGCTTAACAGCAGTGAGCCACATTCGTGCTTGAATCACACAGTACGCACAGCATAGCGCACAGCAGCTCATGTTTGTGGGCCCACCAAAAGCAGAAGGAAGAGACCATCAACCCTGAGTTAGCGCCTCAGTCTGTTCAACTGAAACTGCGCAGCCGCCAAGCTGTAAACAGACAGGTCCTATCTCTGTAGCAGTCACAACATCTGTGAAGTCTGCAGGAGACCGTGAAAGAGTTTAATTGTTGTTTAACCGCAAAAGTTTATCACATCCTAAACAGAGCAACTGAAGAGGGGTTTGTTTTTGGTGGCTAATGAATAGAAGACAGCAAAAGAGTGACAAACACAGGAAAGAGCAAAAGGAAGAGGAAGATATCATCTTTGAGGAGTAAAATGCAGACAAATACAACAAATAATGAGATAAGAGCTCCAATCAGCTAAAGGAAAAATATTCTGCTTATCAACAAGCACCTTTGGGGAGTGGAGATTATGAAGAGTCAAAGCCTGTTATGCAATCCATTTCTTACCCCGTATGGTGCAGTTTGCATGAGTCTCGTCACTGTAATCTCCGCAGTCGTTGTCGCCATCACAGGTCCAGTATTCTGGGATGCAGCGGCCGCTGTTGCATTTAAACTGCACACTGGAGCAGGAGTGGCTGCAGCCGGCTTCATCGCTGTTATCCCCACAGTCATTGTCTGTTCAAAATAAAACACACAAGGGACTTTATTGTTGTTTTTTTATTGCTCATAGGGCTGTTGTCAAGTTTTATGGGAGCTGAAAGGACAAAGCTTGTCACCGTTGTCACAGCGCCAATTGATATTAATGCAACGGCCGTTAGCGCAGGTAAACTGGGTGAGAGGGAAGCATGTTGGGTAGGCTACGAGAAAGATACAGATATGAGACATAAAAATTATTACAGAATTATCATAAAACATTAAATAGTGTAGCAGAAAATTGTGATTGAGTAGCAGGTATTCACCACAGGACTCTGGCTCATCTGAGCGATCTCCACAGTCATCGTCCAGGTCACATGTCCAGGAGATGGGGATGCATCTGCCACTGGCACAGGGGAACTGGTTTGGTGGGCATGTGCGAGCTAGAAAACACAAAAATATCAGACTTGGTTTTATGGTACAGAAACTCCTTTTTTTCCCCAATCCACCTCCTCCCTTCTTCTATTTCTGCACATTAAAAACTTTTATTTGGTTCTCTGTTTGCCTTCAGCAGTGGAGCATAACATTACATTCAGCTACACAACATTTGGCATCAGTTGTGAAAATATATACTTCTAAGCTGTCATTTTCAAGCTGTAAGAAGTAATTGGCCCTAAAGTAGATAAATCCAATACATAATCTTCTAAAGCTTAAATTTTTCTACCATATGTTTTCCTTCCACTTAACATTCCACCATTATTCTAACAGTTTTTTAGTAGAAGCCATTTCCTGCTTTCCTTTTTTTTTATGGGGACATCAATTACTGTCGGCTAGACAACCGGCTGGTCTGAAGTTTTTCCCATGATGCTTTAAAGTATTATTCTAAATATGTCCTTTTTTATCAGCAAAAAGTCTTTATGAAAACACACTGAAGTACATACATGTGATATATCACACTGAACCTATAATATGTTATATTATTTTTTGAACTGAAAATAAACCTTTTAATAATACTATAGTTATCTCAAATGTACGTGGATGTTTAAATCTCCCAGAAACAGTACGATGGGGTTTTGTTATTACTTATGATATTAGAAAGGGATTTAAAGGAAAGGGATTTAAAGGAATTAAGATTTTACATTTAAATAAAGCATATGAAAATGATATGCCAATGATATGCGGTTGTTTATTGTAGGACATCATTGGGAAAGACTATTTTCAAGCTTACTTCTATCTACCCTGTTTGGAAATAAATTATATATGTAAAAACAAACAAAAATATTAAATTATTATTATTATTAAGTTGTCATCTTTTAAATAAAATATGTTTCCATGGAAACAAAGCTGTACTTAAATGACTCTCTTAAATACCAGAGCAGGTTGTGTTGGATTCGTCCTCGTCATTGCCGCAGTCATTGTCACCGTCACACAGCCATCGCAGAGGGATGCAGCGGTTGTTTTGGCATTTGAATCTGTCCGAGGGACAAGTGTGCTGATCTGGTGGTAGAATTTCACACAAAAATGAAATTCAGCTAAATAATTCAAGCATCATACACATAACATCCCCTTTGACCTCTAAATTCCTTTTAGTCCTTTAAATATTAAACTCCCATTAATTTAGGGCAGAGTTTTCTGGGGCAGAAATGCTTTATTTGAAAAGCCTACAAAAAGAAAAGGAAGAAAAACCCAATTAAGGAAGGGATGAAAAAGGAAAGAGTCATAAATGGGAAATAAAGTTAAGAATGCTGTAAAGACCAATGGATGCAAGGGGAAAATATATTAAATAAGGAAGGAAACAGGCAGGGAAGAAAAAAAAAGGATGAAAGGAAGCAAGACACAATGAAGGAAACAAGAAATTGCAGGAAAAAGGTACCAAGATTAAGGGAGGTAGGACACGGGAAAGAAAACCTGGGAAGAAAGAACAGAAGGAAGAAAAGGAAGGAAGGAAAAGTTGAAGAACACAAAGTAGGAAAGTAAAACTCGGAAGAAACCAATAGAACTGAGGAGACAGCAAGAAAAGGATAAACAGGATGATGATATAAGGTAGGAAATAACAAAAGGGAGGCAGGAGAAAAGAAAGAAAACAAAGGGAAGAAGGACGCAAGAAAAGGAAGTAAGAATAAAAAACAACCAAGGAATGAAGAATGACCAGGAACAAAAGAAAGGATACAAGCAAATGATGTCTGGTATCAGAAAGTTCACTAACAAAGTAAATAAATCACAAATAAAGTAAAAAAAATAATAATAATTTAAATTTAGACAGGAAATAAAGTTGGGAAATAGATTTATTTTACAAAGATTTTCTTCTTCCAAAAGACCCCAGACCTAAAATCAAAATCAGTTCTTTCCCATACTTTCTTAGAACCCTGAATTAATCATGTGTTTAAGCTGATAGCAAGAAAAAGTTCCAGGATAATTATAAGCTCTGGTTGGATTCAAGCTAATGAGAAGAAAAGTTGGCTCCTTGAAAACTACGTCACTCTGTATGGAAAGAGACAAATCCTGGAAACTTTGCTACATGCTCTGTCAGACTTTAAATGTAATTTTATTTATTTATGTGTTGCTCTGTATCCATGACAATGTTGTGGGGCCACATGCTTACGGCAGAGGTCAGGGGCCTCGTCGCTGTTGTCCAGACAGTCGTTGTCCCCATCACACTTCCAGCGCTCCTGGATGCAGCGATTGTTCTTGCAGGCGAACTCCCCGGGCTGGCACTTGGGCGGGGGAACGTAGGAGGGGTTGGCTGAAGATGAGATCAGGGTTAAGGCGGGACACAGATCATTCACAAAGACATGCATTAAACACTGAAGCAAAACAAAGTCTTTTTATCTCAGAAATTTAAGACTTGTTTTGGAGAGAAACATTAGCCTTTATATGTGTTGGTTTTAAGATCAGGCTGAACAAACCAGTTCTTTCACTCTCCTTTTTACATGTTGTTCAGATAAGCACAGAACAGCAATCTAATCACAAAAAGTGATTGCAGTATAGTGTTTCAATCATTGAGAAGCTTTGTAAAGCAGGTAAAAGATCTCTGTGTTGAATTTGTCCTAAACTGTTGTAATTTGTTGGACTATTTTCAGCAAAAGTCTTGGAAAAACTTTATTTCCAAACCAAAAAAGCAGCCTGGAATTCCTAGTCAGCTCCAGCAGAGTAATGGATTTCCCACAGCTGTTGCACTGCATCCCTATGCCATGTTCATCATCTGGTGAAGCAGCTAAGTACCTTTGCAGGTAACATTGTCGACATCGAGGATTTGATCGTCAGCGCAGCCGCAGGACCTGCCGTTAGGAATGGCGAGGCAAAGACTGCTACAGCCGCCGTTGTTTCCTCTACATGCATTGGTACCTGTATAAAGACGGAAGCAAAAGGAGGTTTTTACCTCTTCTTTTTAACAAGCTGACATTTTATTGTAGAAGAGTGGCTTACCTTGCTGCTGGTGAGCATCGTACACTCTGATCTCAAATATAGGAGGCCTCTCATTGCGAAGTAAAGTGACAGTTTTGGTGACCTGGTCCAGTTTGTAGATGCTACCACCGCGGTACTCGTTCCAAAACAGAAATTGTTTGTAGTGACATAAGCCAAAGGCATGGTTGAGCTCCTGACCCTCATAGACAACCTGATTAATCAGAAAGAAAGAAAGAAAGAAAGAAAGAAAGACAAACCCGTCATATTTAGAGAAAACTGAGCATACATTAGCATATATAGCATTATGATTGGAAAAAAAAAACCCCAAAAATATTCATTAAGAAGCAGTTGTGTTAATGAAGAAGCCTGGTTGACTTGAGATGCATTTGTTGGTGACCTAAATCAGCCCATTTTATGCTCAAAAGGCCCCATTTTGCATTCGGCTTATCTTTCAATTCATCCTTTTATAAAGGTTGTTGGAAATCCTCCATTATATTTCTAAATGTTGCACCTTTACCAAAGAGTCAAAAAAGCAGCTAAAGTTAAATATCTACTATTTCAAATCAGTTTATATTACAAAAAAGTCTGTCTCCTTGCAAACAAAAAAATAAAGAGTTCTAAAGCTAAACAATATTTCTTTGCCTTGGATTCATGTATGAAACATCCAGAATGTCAGGATGCGCTACTTGATAAATTATTCATTAGTGACTTGCATGCAAATTCTGCCTGTAATTGTGAGACTTTTGTAAATTTAAAAAAAAATTTGACTGTAACCATAATATCCGGAAATATAATTCTAATCATAAATTTCCATAAAGGAGCTTAACGTTGTTAAATATTTTCCTTTTCCAAAATATTTTGGAATCCCATTATTTTTTGTTCCTTAATAACAGAATCTGACAGTTGATAGGAGTTTATACCATTCTCTCTGTGGTATTGAGGTAAACCATCTCGATTCGGTCGTAGTAAGCATCCACCCAGTACAGGATGCCCTGAGGAATGTCCAGACTCAAGCCGTTGGGCCACAACACTGTTTTGCTGGTCAGGAAGACTTGATGGTGTGAACCATCCATCCAGGCTTTCTTAATCTTCCCTCTGTTGCTCTCTGTAGGATCCTCCTCCCAGTCTGTCCAGTACATCCACCTAGAGAGTAAGAAAAAAAAGTGATATATTCATATTAGACCTCCAAAAAAACAAAAAAATCATGCATAACTTTGATAAGTGAGAATATTTGATAGAACATTCAACAACTAAACAAAGAAACGAGTTTCCAGAAATCTGTTGAATGCATTAGGAAACTGTCCTGCTGCTGTACCAAGGCAGCTTTTATGAGCAATAGGAACCCCCTAATGGTCTTACCCATGCTGAGGGTCCACAACAATAGCCCGGGGGTGGCTCATTTTTCCCTCAATGAGAGTCTTGCGAGTTTGGGAAGCCTTCTCCAGCCTGGCAACACTGATAGTCTTCTTAGGGCCATCATCTGTCCAATACAGATTTCCTCCCATCCAGTCGACTGCTATCCCCTCCACCGTGTGAATACCTGAAATAAGCAAGAGTTAAACTATTATGGAATATCCTGAGGCCTGAAATTAGAAAGACACAAAACAAAAATAGCTTCCAATTCCTGTAAGAAGGCAAAACGTCACAGTTACCATCCTTTAGGATGGTGTCCCTCTCTGTGCCATCAATCTTCTGTCGGCCAATAATGTAGCTGGTGGCGTCTGCAAAGTAGATGAATTCACTGGCGGCGTGGAAGTCCAGAGCTCGGGGGTTCATCAGGTTCTCGATGGGAATCATGTACTCATCAGGCACCTTGGCATTCATGTCCATGCCCCGGATGATACCAGGACGGCCCTTACCATACACCAAGAACAGTTCGTGGTCTGGTTCTTTAGAGGAACAAAATACAGAGAAAGTTAACATTTCAATTACGTTAAGAAACATATTTAAATTTTTTTTTCATTTATAAAAAAAAAAAATTAAAAAAAATGATACTCACTTTTACAGGACTTCCCATCGCTGCCCAGGCTGAATCCGGAGCGGCAGCGGCAGGTACGGGTCTTGTGGCTATTGCTTAGCAGGCAAATGTCAGAGCAACCTCCAGGTTTTCCAAACTGATCCAAGGCACAAGCATGGCTGCGCACTGACAGCAAAAACAAGAGCATTCAACTGATGTGATAATATGCTTACATTTTTTCTCAGCATCTCTGGTAAAAGTTCAAATTGTAATTCTAAGTCACTTTCACTGAAAAAAATTAAGAAAATAAACCTGTTATGTTAGCACAATTCTTTTTCAGTGACAAAACATAATATAACCATGTAACAAAAACAAAAAACTGCTTAATAAAATCACCAATGGTGTAATTAATGTTGGCCAGAGATGCCAAGCAGGATGTTTTATTTTGTATCTGTGAAAAATATTTGACAACAAAGCTATCAGATTAGCTCTGAACTTTCAGCGCACCTTGAGGTTGGCGCCTCTGGTGGTACACATGCAGAGCGGCTCCCCGATCCAAACGGGTCACCACCTGGAAGTCAGAGCTGTTAAAGCGGTTCACCCGGATTACGCTGGTCTTTGGGTTGAGGTTGCCTTCCTCAGAGTTTGTTGCATAAAGGTAGTTCTCGAATACAGTCAGTCCGTACAGGTGCTCAATCTGGAAGACATCAAGACGGCCATGTGAAAAACAGTAGTAAGGAACACCAGCCAATGGGATTTGAAGGGTTTCTGTAACTTTCAGAAAGTTAAATTCCATTTATCTACCGACATGATTTAAATGTAAAATCTATGACAGTTGACATCAAACTTAATTTGCTCAATAACTTACATTTAATTTACTTAAACAAGTAAGTTCAACTATACAAAGTTGTTTTTTAAAATGGCTTTATCAATAAAATGCATTTTAATCTTATAGACTATATTTGTGTTTCTTAGCATGTTACAGGAGTGCTTTTGCACCAACTCTGAGACATTTTATTAAACACTATAAGTTTTACAAGGTTGCGGCAGCGTCATGCTGTGGGGATGCTTCTCTTCAGCTGAAACAGGGAAGCTGATAGGAACATAGAAGCTTATAAGAACATGGAATGGTTTAATTTGTTAGTAAATAACTTAGAAAACCCTGAAAAATGACAAAACGTGGATAATTTTGACAATGTTGAGAGACAATTATGACTAAAGTAAAAACAACCAATGTCCAACTACCATCACAATAATATTTGCATTAAGATCATTTCTGCTGGATAAAATAGATTCAGGCATCACCAGGGGCCAGCATAAATAGTTTAGAGCAAAATTAGCTTGAAAAATCAAGGATCACTGCCTCTTATGCTCACAATTCCAAATGAATGTAATACAAGTACTACATGGGGCTGAAAAGGCTTAGATACACAGACGGTTGCTGGAGAATCAAGATGACAAATGTTTATTGTTATCTATATGAAATGAAGTGTGCATTTTGTGATTCTAATCACATCTGTGAATGTGTTTCTGTATATTTTTTACAGTGGTTATTTGTATAACCATCACTAAAGCCTCACCAGCAGGCCCTGGATGATGGTGTGTCGGTTCTTGCCCTCGTAGTCCACCACTTCGATGTAGTCCAGGTAGGCGTCTGCCCAGTACACCAGTCGGTTAACCAGGTCCAGGGTAATGCCATGGGGGAAGACAATCTTGCTGTCAACCAATTTGGTGCGGTTCTGGCCGTCCATGTCGCAGCGCTCCACCCTCGGCGTGGAGCCATAGTCAGTGAAGAACAGTTTCCTGAATCAAAAGGAGCAACAACATTTGGAGGACAGAAAGAAATAAGGAACTGCATCACATGCAATCATGTTAACTCCAGTAATCAGCATTCAAGTGTCTGTCTGGAGAAAGTGCATTGATTTCTGCCTGCCTGCTTGGTCAGCACCTCCTCTGGTCATAAGACAGCATTTTCCTACCATGTGTTGCTTAAACAGCACTGGGATTGGGGGGTGGACTTGGTCAAGAGCACTGAGGTGAAATAAACATATATACAAACCCCATAGCTGGGTCCAGGGCTATGCCCTTTGGGTTGTACAACTCCTGATCCAGCAGGGTCACACAAGTCTGACCGTTCTTGTTGCACACAAACACCCGGTCATCCACGTCATCCACAAAGTAGAAGTTTCCTGTCAGCCAGTCGATGGCCATCTGCTCCACATCTGATGAGTGCAGAGGAGGGAAGGAGAGAAAAGAGGAATGCACAGTTGTCATTTAAAAAAAGAAAAGAAAAACAGACTGTCTCATGTAAGCGTAGCCATAAATCTGGGACAAATTCCAGGAATATGTCTTAACCTGTTGTTTATGACACCCTGCTCTCTTTTAAAATAAAAAGAACAGCAATTCTTTATGTTAATTTACAATATTTCTCTCCATCCATCCAAAGGAAATTGAAAATACAAAGATCCAATTTGGGTGCGCGGTTAACCTCTTGAAAACAGGCTTACATAATAACCAAGGACTGCCACTGAGAATCAAGCCTGGTTTTACTTTTACATGTCGCATGCATGACTTTAAGTACAGATTCACTATCACACAGAGGCCACTGGGAGAGGAAGAACTAAAGACTCAGAGTGATAATGTTTGCCATCAGCAGCAAAAATTTACAGATTATCAAACATTTTGGACAATAGCTCATAAAGGCAACTAGATCCTTTAACTGCTTGATAATAGGTAAAATATTAGTGAAGCATTGGTCTGGGTTTTCCCTCACCAATACTGATTTCTATATTTCTTTTGAAGGTTTGATCCATCAATTCCATTTTAGACCAATTATTATTTTTATTTTTTTTTACCAGATCAAACATAAAAAGACATAAATCTGTTGCTGCTTTGGCCAGGAAGTGTTTCACATTCAGATTATTCAACATGATCTCTTATGCATCACAACACATTTCCTAATGATTAATCAGGTTTTTGAAAGAGAAGTAGAATTCCAAACATACATACTGTAAGCAGATTTCTTTAAAAAGGAAAAAAATATGAATAACCGAATAAATCCAAAAGATACAATGCCTTTTTAGTATATGACTTGCAGATCAGATCTAACTGGTGTGAGCTCTTACTTGCTGATAGTTGCATCTCTGAAAAATGTATTGATTATTAAAAATCCTAAAGAACAAAAGATAGTCTTCGTTTTATTGGTACATCTTTCAGTGATGTTACAGTTGACATTATTTGGGCCATATACACAGAATTCTGAGACATTCATAAGGGATTCAGATTTGTTTGCAGAGCACAAAACAAATACTTTTACAAAGCTGCGTTTTTCTCTTCAGTCCTTTCCGAGTCCTTTCACTCACATAATAAAATAAACACTTTTCTTCTGTGTTCGTTTCTGTTTCATTTTGTCTTTACATCTCAGGTGGGAGCAGAAAGATAATATATATCCTTCTAAAGAATTGTGGCGTAGTGGTGTTACCACAATTTACTCAATTACCGTAAGCTGAAAATACATTACAAATGGAACTATATATATATATATATTTCTTTCTAGAAGGAAAGGAGCTGTTTCAGGCAATGATTCCATATTGATACTTTCAAATTAATATTAAGTATGTTTTTCACTAAATTAAAAATTTGAAGCTTTCATAATTTATGCAATTTTCTAGTATTTTGAAAAACAGATTTTTTTTTCCTTTCACCAAGAACAGGTTAACAGAAATAAACATGTTCCCAAAACAAGTCGCTTCATCTGGATGCACCGATTGCAAATTATAAGTCAACCGACAGAAAGTCTGTCCCAAAGCTTTTTCAAAATGCCTGTAGTGGTACCTCCTACTGTGAAGTCTGAAGTTACGCAACAGAGCCCCGCCACATCTGGGCTCAATTCAGAACCCCTCCACACCATTTAACAAACATACAAAGAGCTTTGAAATGCAAGTTCAACATGGGAGTTAAAGTATGCTTAAAATCACAGTGTTAGGAGAGAAAACAGGAAAACCGCAGTGACTGAACTTCTGGAAATGTGCCTTCAAGATGGATTCAATCAGCTTCTCTAGAAGAATATTTTAACAATAGCAGAAAACGACAAATGGTAAAGCTCTTTTTCAGGGAAGAGGGGTAGTGATAGTCCTGATATCAGATTTTTATAAAGAGATCCAGCTGGAAGCAATGATTCTTAGTCGATTCAGAGCAGAGAGGAGGTTGTGCAACCCAGCAGCGACCGTGTTATGCAACAGCTCAGCAGACCCCCTTATCCAGGGGGAGCCAGCCTGTCTAAAACCATGCAAATTCTGGTAAGTGGAAACTTTGCCGGGAAAATGACTGAGCCCACCCCTTCCCTCCATCCACCCTATACTTACAAGTCATTTTCTCATCCTGTCTCAACACCTCCAGACTCCCTTTTAATAGGAGTAAATATTTCATAGACTCAGGTGTTGTTCTTGTCAATGATGTTGCTTTATAATGGCAGTATAGGTACTTGCTCACATGGTCTGCCTTCTTTTAAATACAGTTTGATTTAAGCAGCACTATACTGTACCTTCAGAGTTGCTTCCTTTTTACTGTAGTAAGTAAATGTTAGAGCAAAGCAAACCAAAAAAAAAAAATGGTTATCATCCAGCTTCCATAATCCTCTTTGCCAAGATGATCCAATTAATTTGTGTAAAAGCCCCTTTGACCTCTCAGCAGCTCTATTTTGGAGTTCATTTCACATAGTCAAATGACATATTTAAGAGGCAGTAATCCTAAACTGGTAAAAATCCTCCTGCACTATAACTAAAAGAAGAAAAAATATGTGGGTTAGAGAGGTTTGACAGCATTACTGCGGTGAAGGCAAAAAAAAAAAAAAAGCTCTTTTGCAGCTGCCAGAAATAAATATGCGACTAATAATTGAAAATGTTTTGTTTAAAATATTAACCACAAAGCCTGTAAAAACTTTAGAGACTTTCTCAAATAATCTAGACATTAAAGAATGAGGATAACGTAAAACGTAATTTTTTATGACACAAATATTTGAATGTGATGGAAAGTTGAGTGGAAGAAAAAAGTGTGCATAAAAAATGACCATAAGCATCAGTGATAACAAAACCCTCAACAGGACTTATAACCAGACTCCTTTTAAGGGTTTTAAAGACATCCATAAGACACCAACTGCAGCTGCACTCAAAGCTTTAAGAGCCTTCAGGTACAGATGCATCTCCATTATGACAAGAGCTTATACTTTAACTCACTACTGGAAAAAAGGAAAACAACTTCAGAAGCTTTGCACTAGGGCCACTGACAGAAAAGGACCAGATGGCTGCTTTGTGGTCTCAACTTCCTGCTTTAACTTGGTCGATTATGTTTGATCAAGGCATTAACCACTCTTAAACTATATATGAGGAACCTTAGAGTACTTCAGGCTCTCACTTCTGAGAAGCTTTGTGATAAAACTACCTGACCTTAAAAAATGAACACTATCTGATTTAATAAACTGACTTAATTAAAAGGCATTAATGAGCTCTATTGGCCAGCAGACCGCCTGTTTGAATATGTATGGAGTAATGTCATGGGAAGAGGAAAAACAACAGATCCAACAAATGTGAAAAGAAGACTTCTACATAGCAACCTGAACACCAGAAAAGAGCCACAGGTCAATAGACTCCATGTCATACCACACTGATGCAGGGCTGCCAACTTTTCACCAAACCTTGGGGTGAGATTTTGAAATAGTTTGGACAGGAAACCTTATAAGGGTGAGACGAGGATAGGTGCAGCTAATGGTTGGAGGTTTTCAGAGGACTTAACTGAAACAAAGTGGCAAAATGTGGAATGTTTATAGCACAGTAAGTAGTGGTGGTCTGTAATTATGTGGAACATTTTTCTCACAATATACATTATTTACTACATTCTGATGATTTATAGAGAATTGAAGTAAAGCAGAATGAGCCCTACTAAAATACTTGCATCTTAAATATACTTTAAACTAAGAATTTCACAACTTTGTTCATTAATTATTCTCTGCAATTCAACTCAATTAAACAAATAACTACTAATAAGCTATTACTGGATTACTGGCACCGATACAGGAACCATTGCAATCGAAATCTATGCAAACTACAATGTGTATGAATATTTGGTAATACGCTAAGGATTAAAAATCTTCTAGGAGGCTATAGATTCAATAAAAACTCACCATGACAGGAGATGACACTTCTCTGGAAATTTCAGTTTGGAGGGTGAGATGGAAAGTTTTTAAACATACTCAATGGACCGAAATAAAGATAAATTAATATGATAAATAGTAATAAAAGAAGAACATCCCTGTGGTTTCTTCTCTGAATCCTGGATAACTGATGTGGTTGCTCTTTTCTTGGGTGGCTGATCTTTTGAAAAATAAAATGCAATGATTCTTTTTCTTTTTGTGGAGCTCCAATAAGTTTGAGAGGCAAACCTGAAAGCTTTAAGAATTAAAATATTTGAGTTGGTTTAATTACTCCTAAATTCCAACAGGAGATCATTAAACTAGACTGAGTTGAGTTTTAATGTCTGTAACTTTTTAGTGTCAGAAATTGGGAATATGGACAGAGAGTGTTTGAAGACACTGAGATGGGTGAGTCTCACTCCCAATGAGTGAGAGTTGACAGCCCTGCTGATGCTGGAATTAATGCTAAAAAGTCCTAAATTAAGTGAATTTTCTTGTGTCCTTTTAGTGAAATTCCTTTAAATATCAACACATTATAGCATTTAACTAAACTTAGTCAATATAAAGAACATAAATTCATGACAAATTAATATAAAAATGTTATAACAATTACAATAAAAGTTGTCTAAATCAAAGTTAAAATAGTACAAAATCCATGTAAAGAAGTTAACTTTTAGAGACCAGGATAGGGCCTAAAGTCTGTGCTCAGTAGCCAGTTTTTTTTTTTTTTTTCTAAAACCTAACCAGACTTATAAAATGGTGGCATCAGGTTACAAACTTACATACTAAGATTTTTTAGGAAGTAAATAAAAACCAAAGACTTATTTCTGTTTCAGATTTTCCACCCCAAAAGGACAATGAAGAGTATCCGAATATAGCCTATGTTTTCTAGAAACTCACAGGTATTGCTATATTCTTAAAATGCACAAAATGAAAGCAGGATTCACAGCCAGGATCGCCCGTATTTGTAGCCAAGATGTGTGCAGAGGGTGGAAATAATAGGAGGGTGAGCTCCTGCTCAGTTTTTATCTCCGTTAGAGCATTGCATGCAGACAGAGAAAAGATGCATCTGGAGCCCTCATCTGCTTATCTGCCCTGCTGTCTCAGGCTCTCAGGAACCGCACATCTTGGCTCTCCCAGTAGAGCCTTTTTTGGTTCTTATGCTGAATGGAACACTATAACAGTTTGTTAAAAGCTTAAGAGATAACCCTCTTCTATTGGCAACAACTATTTGCTCGGGTTTGTATAACCTTAACTGTACTTTTTTTTTACTACTAATTAGTACCAGGGCAATGAGGACAGCCCCACCCTCCATATATAATGTACAGTTTTAAGGCAGACTTGCAGTAAAAGATGAGGTTGGGAGCAAGGCGAAGGAGTGATAGGAAAGCCTTAGAGCAACTAAACTATGGTCATACATAACCATCGCTCCAATTTTCAGCGATCTAATGGCTGAAGGTATAAGCTATTATAATATTGATTCTGTCTATGTTTGAGAGTCATGAGCAAACTTTCATAAAAACATTTCAGCAGTCGTGTTGCCACAAAGGAGGCATTGGCACAATAGCAACAGTAAAGTAATATAAGTTACTAAAAAAACTACGTCTTTGCAGGACAAATTAATGCAAATTAAGACAATCTTTGTGAAATGAACCAAAATGAGTGAACTTATTAAGGCATGTTTATAAACGATAATGAACTACACAGTTAAATCTACCAAAAGACCCAGTGCGTCAACCTAAAGTGTAAATCCAGAACTTGTGTGAATTTATTTTCTAGTTCATTTTGTTTTGTTTTTTGACGGCTATGCGCCTACTTTGGTTTGAAATATTTTGGGTCCATATTCTGACGATAGGTAGAGATAAGTCCAGCTTTTTAGAGCCTAATCTTACTTCAAGTACAAAGAAGTTGTCAATGTGAGCTTTTCCAGGCTTTGCGACTGATATTAATTTCTTTAATGTAACTTTATTTCACATTTTATTTATTCATTTTTACCTCTGTTTAGATCACCTTCAGATTCTTATATGGAAAGTGAAATATAAATAATATTCCTATAATTTAACCACCCAATAACTGCAACCATTATTTCCACCAACGCCTTGGTTTAGAACTTTTGTTTGTCAGTAGAAAATCCAATTTACTTAACTAAATGGGGCAGAACCAAATCAAATTTTTCAGACAATTGTGCACGCCTTATTTATATATATATTTAAAGATCTGGCCTTCGGTGACCAGCAGTTTTCAAAATGACTCGGTATAGTTGGTACTAAATAATAATAAAAAATAATGCCCTGACTACGGTAGATACAGAAAAATATCTTAAAAAACAGATATTGTACAAAAAAATACATTAAAGGAATCAGGGCCACACTGCAAGAGATGTAAATGTAAATAACTCTTTTTTTTCTTAAAATAAGTGCATTTTCTTCTTGCATCGAGGAGGTGAGACATTTAAAATACGGTAAGAAGAAAACTATTGTATTGTCCTGCATAATACCAATTTTCTTATTTTAAGACTAAACATTCTAATTTCATTTGCAAATCATCTTATTTACCTACTTATATTGGGGGTTAATACACTTAATTTAAGACATGTTTACTTATTTCTAGATTGTTTTTGCAATGTAGGCAATATTAAACACTGCTTAAGTAGACAGTAGTAATAAAACAGAGTGAAAGGTAAAGTTTAAATGAGTGTGCATGAGTTTTCAACTGGACAGGAACAGTGAGATAGACTGAGGAATGTAGAGACTGTTCAGGCTGACATAACACAGGGGGAGAATATAAACACCATCTGCATGACCACTTATACACACAGCAGCCAAGCGACAGCAAATCACTACCTTCTCCTTCTCCTTTCATCTCAGAGTCTTTAACTGCGCTAAAGTCTCTCACATCTTTCAATCCTTACTCCAACCCCATCCTCATGGCACATCGTCTTTGGAGCCAACTGTTGCTCTACATACAGGTAAAAGTGAGACTCATTACTAATTTTGACCTGTTGCTTAAGAAAAAAAAAAAAAGAAAAGAAAAAGGTCATCCAAAAATGGTAATCGAAAACAAACTGCAGCCAGTAAGGAAAAAAGGAGGGTAAGAATGGACGGATACATGAAGGGGCTAAGAAAAAGAGAAATGAATGGATAAAGGGAGAGCTGGATAAATTGTCAGATGAATGGATGAACAATTATGACTGAGGGATAAACAGTCTGATGATGGATGATCAGAAGGACAGATGTTTGGTAAAACAAAGGGAAAACTTGTCAGGTTGATGAATGGGTGTGCCACAAACAGACAGATGGTTCAGACCAGTGGTTTACAAACTCTGTCCTCAGGACCCACCGTCCTGCATGCTTTAGCCGGTCTCAGCTCCAGCACTACTGCATCTCATGATTGCATATTGAACACAGTTTGAAATCTAATGAGTCTTTCTGCCTCCGATTACAGTTACAGTTTGCTGCCATTATAACAAGTACGTAGACGGAATTCAGAAAGTTAATAAACCCAAAGACCTTAAAAGTTGCCAGAAGGGACAGCAGTTTTACAACCTTAGCTGCTCGTAAGCTTACAACATCTCAGTCATGTAACAGAGCTACCTCTCCACGTGTAGGCTCCGCTACGCCTGAGGCTGATTCTCAAGGGAGACTTTCCATGTTCCCGTTCACAGGCAAACATGGATAAACCCACACCCTCGCTTTCCATGTTTTGACTACAGTTCTGAACTCCTTCTTATATAATGCCAGCACCGTAAGCCAAGAAGATAAAGAAATAAAATAAAATAAAACTTGTCTGGTGTGTTATCAAAGAAAATTCCTGTCATCGTTATATGACTAACTGTCAAAAACATGCAGAATCATAAGCTACGTCTTTCATGTGCGTGTGTGGGTGTAAGTGATTAGAGAGAGAGTGGATGTGCAGGCGTGTAGGTGTGTGTGTGTGTGTCTGAACTACAGGCCAGATGTTTCAGTTGTTGTCATTACTCAATAAACAAACATGCATTATCTCGCCATTAAATCGCCTGGGACAAAATGTCCGGATTTTGAAAGATTTATAAAAGTAAAGTAGGTTTTCCAGGGAAAAACCGAACCTCATATCGGATCAAATCAGACATTAAGGACAAGGAGATAACAGGGATGAAGAGATTAGGGTTATTGTGGGTTTTTTTGTGTATGTTTTTTTTCCGCAAAAATCTAATGATCAGCTTCCAAAACTTCTTCGAAATAGATTTTGATATATAGTAATTACTCATTGGAAATTGATTTTAAAAAAATGAAAATCCATAAATCAGAGCTATTTATTGTCATGCTGACATCATACTGGGTCAGTATCAGGATCTGTCAAATCTCCAAGTTACATGTGTATTGTGTCGAAAATGAAAATGCGGCACCAGGACACCCCTAAGAAGTACAGTAAGAATGTGAAATACAGCAGTTCTGTAAGGCTTAAGGGGTTTGTTTAAGAGCTTTAGTGAAGACCAAAACCAAAGCTGATAAGTTGCTCATGAGATCTAAGCAGACATGGCAGTCCACCTAAACTGCTAAGTTGGGAATCGAAAAAGCAGCAACCAAGAGCCCCATGATGCTACAGATCCACAACCCAGATAAAACGATTTGTTTGCAGAACAACGAATAACGAAGTTCTTAAAGAGTGGAAAAAACAAAAACAGAAGACAGCACTGGTAACCTTGCGCTGCGAGCTGGAATGTCGTAAGATCCGAGTTTCTGTCTTACAACAAATCCATCTCGAAAGACTCCCACTAATAGTCTCTTAACAACCAGCGAGTCAGACCAATGGCATGCCAGCAGTGTTTTTTGTGATGAGACAGCCATGAGTGCCTTGCCAGGGCATTACACACATGGCTTCGCTGGAGGACTCACCTGTCGATTGAACAATTGACTCGATTTTAGCTAAAATGACGTCAATTTGTCATTTAAAAAAGGAGCAAATAGAAGAACTTTTTGCATTTGTAGATGGGAAAGATGTCTGCGCTTTTCTTCCGACAGGATTTGGAAAAAGTTTAATTTATCAGCTTACAAAACGTCACGATTCGCTGCAACAATTGGCTGATTATTATGGAAGTCGGGTAATAGCTGGCACTCATCCAATCAGCTCAAAGTATTATACTAAACGTCCCTCCTTTTCAGGGACAGACTGAATGGCAGCCATCCTAAATTGATAACGTAGAACTCAACTCAGTTCTGCAAATATCAATCTGGCTACTGCCAGGTTAAATCAATGGCCTTCACTGGCTGAAATGTTAGAGATAAGGGAGAGGGGCGGGGACATATCAGAACAGTTAGAAAAGGAAAGTAGGGCTCTTAATTTTAATGTAAGTAGATAAAAGCAAAACCTAAATCCAAACGAGAATCCAAGCAAGCCTTGCAATGTGTTGTCCACGGACACTGCTAAGCATTTGGTGGACTTCTTAATGCAACCATTTAGAGATATCATGGCATAAGGAGTTGAAGACAAATGCTTTGCTTTATCGATGTCCTTACAAACACAACAAAACAAAAATACATTGCTTTACAACATAAAAATGAAAAGTCTTGAAAAAAGCATTGTATTGAATCACTTTAGGATGGTTGAGCATGCCTGGCCATAAATCTAGCCCCAGAGTAGTTTAGAGACTGCCAGTTAATAATTATGAAACTAATGCCTGCTGGCCAGCTGGCAGCTGTGGGTGCTTCTTATCACATTAAAAAAACAAAATAGAAATTGTGTAAAAGGGAAGACACAATCGTGTGCCAAGGTGTCGCTGTTGGTAACTGATAGGCATTTCAAATCGGATAAAGCTGAGTATATTATTTATATGTATTTATATTGTATCTTCTTGGAGGTAGAAACTTACTCTGCTTGAGATCCCTTATCAGTCTAAATGAAAATAGATTACAGCATTTAGTAAAGCTGTATCACAGGGTCCAGCTTATTAAAAAGCATCCGGATAGAAAACTTAAAAATTGGAATCAGCTTCTTTCACTTTCTGTCCGAGAAACGACCACTTACGATGTAAGCTGAGGGTGATGTTGATGGTCCGGATGTTACTAACAGTCTTAAGGTCTTGGATGCTGGCGCACTTCAGCTGAGTGGCAGCAGGGGATTCACCCACATCTATCCAGCAAACGGTCTCCTCAGCATAGATAAAGTCCATCGCCATTGTCTGCTTGGTGGTTATGACAGGAAGCCGGGATGTGGAGCCGCTCAGAGACGTGCATCGGATATCATGGAGGTTGGCGATCAACAGAACAGGCAGGCGATCCACAGGCTCTGAGTAAAGATTTCACAAAACACGGGAGAAAGCGTCAAACACTGCCATGCAGATGTGACCGTTGTTAATGAGCCGTTCCCACAACAGATGAAAAGCCATCTTCTAAATCCCTGTGGAAACTATAAACACTAGTGTAGGATGGATTTTTTTTTTCTACTCACTATTTTTAGCTTTGCAGGAGCGGTTATCTGGTTGCAGCAGATAGCCTTCAACACAGCTGCACGCGTAGCTTCCTTTTGTGTTTGTGCACGTCTGACTACATGTCCCATACACACTGCATTCATTGAAATCTAGCAGGCAAAAGATGAGAGAGCTTATTAAAAACATTATGGAATACATAGTCATATCACGTAATAAAACCTTAAATCAATTTCTTTTTCTGATAAAAAAAAAAACAATCAGTTTCTGCAGTAAGAGCAATTGGATCGGTTTTAAAATAAATTAGGTTTAACTTGAAAACATCTGCTAAATTATCACCCACCTTTACACTTCTTTCCGTCTGCTGCGACCTCGTAACCATTTCCACAGTAGCAGCGAGGCCCGTCATGGGTCACTGCACAGTTATACTCACACTCCAACGAGGCACACTCTGGTGCTTTTTCTGCACAGGAAGCAAACAGAAATCCAGAGTTTAACACTGAACGTAAATCAATATCAACACAAGTAGCTAGGTCGACAAAAGTGCATATTTTCCTTTGGAGGTGTTCTATTCAGTAATAACCAATGTCACAAAGATTATGGATCACTTCTTTTCCAGCCCTCAGAGAGAGCTGAAGGATGGATCTTTGAGCAGGAAATGAAGGAAAGGAATCCAAACATCCTCTCATCATGGCCTCTGCAGGGTGTGGGTGTGCATGCACATGTATGTCTGGGCTTCCAAATGAGTAGGGTCAGCTGCCTATTGCAGGCTGTTACTTAAAAAATCTCAAAACCCTGAGATGACCTGGACTTTGTGAAGTTTCCCTGTAAGGTGTTTGGTAAATGAGACTAGGGGAAAACATATCAGGACTGTCTAAAGCAGTTTTCTGAATACTTTCATAATAACAAGAGTATTTAAAGACTTATGGTGCAATTATCCCTAAAGGAAGTTTTTCCAAGAGCAGGGGAGGTTATCTAGGCTGTGTCATTCATTTCCATGGCAGAAACCAGAGCCAGATCAGATAAAACATGAAAAACCATTGCAGGATGCTGCTCTAGTAAAGCCATGGTACTTTTTTGGTGGCGAAATGATTTACCCTCTAGTTAAATATTTACACACTTTTGTTTAAGTAAAAAGATATTTTCGTTGAACAGTTAAGTCATTTCCGTTTCTAAAGTAAAAGAATAAATGATACAAATGACTGTTTTTTTTTAATGAGCTGTTTAAACTGTTTAAAGATACAGTAATATATTCAGGGTTGATGTGGATTTTTTCCAGCTTTTTTTTTTTTAATTGTCATTACACTGTCAGAATTTGGCACCCACTCCTCTTAGTTTTGAGTAACTTTTCATTTAAAATAATTCTAACGTAAAAACAAACAAAAAACTATGGAACTGGTGAATATTTAAGCGGTGGTCCAATTTAGGAAAAACAAATTATTCAATGAAATATCAAAGGTTAAATTTCTGGGTTTTTTTTATTACATATGACTTTCTGATTACAGCTCTTTTCCAATTTCCTTCTTAAGGTTAAATGCATATTTATGTAATTGTTTCAAATAAACATTCAACAGTTAAAAAACCTTAACTACTCAATCAGAAATAAGCAATCATGCTGCATGTTCAACGAGTTTAATAGTTTTCAATTTAAGGCATAATGATGTATGATAAGATAGTAAACATACCTATCAGATCTTTAAACTAAATATATTTTGTTTTTTTTAATGCAGGCATCAATTGAAAAACGGCAAATTCTACAGTTTCATTTAATACATGAAAATATATACTTTGAAGTTAATTAATGTTTTCCTTTGTATTATATATTTACATCCGAACTGCAAAGCTAAAACACTTTATAATACCTTTGTTTGACAAATACGATTCATATTATAATTAGATTTTTTTTTAGATTTAAACAGACTTATGTGGGTACAAAGGGAAGACGACCAACAATATGAAAATGAACCACAACAACCGACAAATAAATGGTAAGCAGTCATGCATTGGGTAACTAGTGGAAGCCTGGCTGTGAAGAGCAGAGAGTGGACCAGTGAAGGGCCCTCGTTACATAAAGCCTGTGGCACTCTGGGCCATAATGAGTCTTTTGTTGTGTGGCCTCTGAAAGGAAGAGTCCCCCAGCGCACACTGTGGCCCACATCAAATCCATTCACTGAGCTTTAAACTGGGAGAGACCACAGGCAACTTGAGAGCTAAAATACTAACAGCGTCTACCTCTGTCCAGGGTCATTGTGTTCCACTTTGTACCCTCTTGTCTACCTATGGGTGGGCGATATGAGCAAATACCATAGCTTAACATTACAATCAAACCATTTCTAATGGTTTTTTTTTTACATTTTAAGAACAAAATCCTTAGCATAAAATATTTTACTTGACACCTTAAACTTTGACTTGACTTACTTTTCAAACTTTGGAGGAATGTTAGACAGCGAATGACTTTATTTTTATTGAAAAAAAAGGTCAAGCTTAAATCAAACCAGGATACAGCTAAAAGAAGAAGCCATTGCTTTGGGGAAACTTTATCTCAGTCTTATTACTTTCTTAAAAAAAACAAATTCAGATAAAGAGACAAGAATCTCAGAACCCATAGGTCTGAGTGGGTAGTGCAAAAAAAAAAAGAAAAAAAAATTAGGTTAGGATGCTTCAAGCCAATTAAAATATGTTGGATATTTGTTTAAGGGTTGTTGGACGAAGCAAAGAAATAGAATAGACAGAATAAAGAACTTTGACTTTGATCCTGTTGCTGCATTAATAAAACACTTATTTGCTTTCATGCAGGTAGCAGTGGTTTAAAGCAAGTTGCTGAAATATTAAACCTTACTTTAGGCTGAAAGCATCATATATATATGTATATATATATATATATATATATATATATATATATATATATATATATGCATTTTCATTCATCCCTTTATAATTGCTTATCTTAACAGGTGCCTTTCCTCTCTTATTTTTCTTTATCCATTTAGGTTTTACCTGTAAGAACTACAATAAAGATCAGTCTCCTCTATCCTATTCTACAAATTACGCTGTGTTCACATGCCTAGGGGAGTGTTGGCCTAGTGTGTTAGAGGAGTGCGATACTGCTCTGTGAGGGTTGCAAATATCCGGTTTGGTCCCCACAGTCTCCTATCTGGGTTCCTGAGCAAAACCCTTAACCCCACACTGCTCCCTAAGGGGTTGGTTAAATGCACAGAGTGAATTTCCAACATGGAGGGACAATAAAGGGATTTACATTACATTACATTTACATCTTACCCAGATTCCATTTATAGCAATGAGTCAGCATGCAAAAAATAAATTAAAAAACAGAAGAAAAACTGGACTGTGGAGCTTTATTGGGCTGCTCATCTATGCAATCACAAAATAGGTGCCTCAATAATCCAGAAAGGTAACCAGAGTGAACTCCAATAATTGCTCATCGCACTTATTTAACTTCCATTTCAAAATCTTCTCTAAGTCCATAAAAGGAGGCTTGAGCTGATTGGTTAACATGGAATTCAGGATGACCTGTGTGGGCTTTGTCCTAATCATGCAAAAGTAAACCGAACTTTATTTGAATTTTGCCTTCGCTGTGATTTTTTTGAAGACAGAAAGTGAACAAAATGCAAAATGCAATTAACAAACTTTTAGGCTTGTTTAAGTCTGTATAACATTCCGACCATTTAACTCTGTTTAGAAGCAAGTTCGGACATGCTTTTTTTCTTATCTGGCTTCCTGTAAGGAGCATACACTTTTCAAACAGTGTATCATCGCAGCACCTCCATTCTATTTTAAACATGAACCGCAGGACAAATCTGAATTTGGCTGCCACTCAGGCCACATTACAAGGTGAGTCATCAGTTCTTTTGTTGAATATATTTTGCTCTTTTGTTTGGAAAATCAAACTGTAACACAAGCAATGCATTACTGTAGCATCTGGGGCCACAAGGTTGCATTTACTTTGTTATTTCTCAAATTAAGTTCAAAATATTTTCTAAAATTTCACAGATATTTGTGTAAATATCCATCATGTAGACTTATTGAAGCATCATACATTTTGCAGATATCAATAAAGTCCTGGCATGTTTCTTGTTGGAGAGATAGTCAAATTTCTTCCCAAACATTTTACAGTTAAAATAAAATTTATTATGCTTCAGGCTAAAGAATTAGCTATAAATTGCATGTCACAACAGGATTGAGGTCAGGGCGATTTCTGTTGTATCATGTTGAAGAGTAAAACTTTAATGTAATTAGGTATTCCTACCAGACAATCATCACAGAGGGGGGGGAAAAAGGTTGGCAACATATGAAGCAGGGTAACATTAAGCATTTAGCCCATTAAAAAATATATAGACTTTGCTTTAAAGCCAAGTTTTAGACGGACTGCACCATTTCTGACAGCAAGAGTGATCATGTCTATATGAGAAGTATGCCAGGATGTTATCAAAGGCTATAAAAAGTATGTGGCATCACTGCAACTTCCAACAGGATATTCACTGAAATACAAAAAGGTTTGCATAATTAAGCCTTTGTGCATTAAGATGGTTTGCACTAAAATCCTTGTGCATCCAATTGAGTAAAAAAATAAAATTGGCTGAAACATAATGGATATGCATATTTATTCTATGCAACATAAAAAAATAATGCATGTTTAAACTCAAATAATATGACATTTGTGTCATTTATAGGTGTGTGTAAACATATAACTGTCAAAATAAGAGTATCTGTTAAGGTGAACAAACTCCTGTTGTTCAAAAAGGTTTTCAAGTGACTGAGGTGTAGGCAGGAATTAAAAAGAGGGCAGGGTAACCACTTGTAAACATGCAGGGCGGCGGCTTGAGGAATGAGCAAACAGTGACTACATTCAGGCATAAACAGCAGAAGTAGCTACATAGACACCTGTAACAAAAACCATAACAGATAAACAACCACAAAAGTACATATAGTTTATACCTTTCCAGACAAATGGTAATTTCCTCCCCCACTAGGAGCTTAGAAATCTAGTACTACTCATAAAACTTCCATATCTTCATCCTTGCAGTAAAACCTGTCTTATCACACAACACAGCTCTGCTAAAGGACACCAATAAACTAATTCAGGTCGAGACTCATTTATGCTTTAAGATGATAATTTGGTTTGTGCAGAGGCAGCTTGGAGTTGCCCATGATAAATCATGTCATTGCTGGTGAAAGTGCATGAATAAACATGCGCAGGCCCTATGGAGTAATCAGGAAATCACTCCAATGGGGTAAATTGGAAAAAAATATATATCAATAAGGAGTATATATGTGATCCGTCTTTCCAGTTCCTTGAGTGTCAGTCACAAACCAAGATATAGATTTTATCTATAAGGAAAGCAGAGCAAAACCCATTTCTGACAGTTTTTAACCACATAAACTGAACCAGACCTTGAAAACACAACCCTAGCCACATCATGTGTTATTTCTAGGAGATTGTTA